CCCTACCTATACCTACGTCCGTGCGACCTATACCCTACCTATACCCTACCCTAGGTACATGGTACCCATCCGCCAGTCTACTCTGGATAACGGTAACCCACTCGCGATCACCTGGCTGAACAAGCTCTGGCTGAGCACGTCTCTCTAAGCCTGTTACAACCTTTAAAGACAAAGCAACGCCTATCTAGAACCTAGTTTTATTAAAGTTGTGCATGTTGTTATTGCAAACACTATACTTAACTTAAGTATCCTCTACTAGCTTAAACTACGCGCTAATTATCTTAGGATCTTCCTGTAGTATCCTCTGTCTATCCTTAGCTTAATTAAAGGCTATTTTAAGCTCGTCTGAACGCGTTACAAGCCTGCTAGCCTATAGTTTGCCAACAGGCTCTTCACCACGCACACTAAGTATCTTATTAGCTATATCTGCCACCTCACATAGCTGGGGCGCAAATCCTCGCGAATCAAGGTTAAGTATATACTAGATAATTGTCTGCTCCTCTAGTATAGTAAGTTTCTAGCAATTAGCGTGTATGTCTAGTTAAAACGTGATATTGCAAAGGTAATTAGAGACCTGCTAATAAGGTATGTTCAACGCTTTAGCAGTGCTGTGGATACTGCAAAATTAGCTAGCATAGAAGGCCTAGATAGCAAGGATAACTCTGCCTTCTCTAGTAGTATTCTGAAGTTGTTGTTGTTAAGGCATGTTATATTAGGGTAAAAGGTGGTTGTGCCAAGAGAAAGTGGCTAGTTTGGTGATATGGCTGGCTTGGTGATAATCTACGTTATATATTATCTACGCACATTGGGAAAAGTTTTTCCATTGTTGAAATTGGGAAATTGTGGCATTGTACTGTGGGCAACAGTAGGACTTGTAGGCCTACAACAGTTATTTAATGTGCATTCAATGTCTAGCCAATTTTAAGCCAACGGCTCTAACAGTCCTAACAGCTGCAATAGCCACAACAACTCCTAATCCTGCTATAATAGTAGCTCTGCTTAATAAACTATACTTTTATTATATTAATATACTACTATGTCTCCTCTTTAAAATAAGCTATTAAATAATATTATAGGCCTAGTAATAGAATAGTTATTAAGTGTAGAAGGTTTTAAGCTTAATGTTCCTTGCCAAGACACTAAGTTAAGATTCTTTGCTAGGGCTCTAGCAGCCTGAATGTTAGAAAATATAAGAATATTATTCAAGAATAGTAGGTAAACCAAGAATTTTACGCCTAGGCCTGCCTGTCCTGCAAGCTCCTGTTGCGCTGTTGCTGTGTGTGTGTGTGTGTGTGTCGTGGTCAGCAGGTGCTATGCTATATGCTGTTGCAGCTGCTACGTTGTGTGCGGGCGCAGCTGCAGCTGCTATGGTGTGCTGTCGCAACTTCAAAACACAAACCTTTAACAAACAAACCTTTAACGCTCTATAACTTGCGTTGTAGTAGGCCTACAACAATAATTTTTCGCTTATTTTAAAGCTACAATTTCGCTCTATCTGTATGTGAAATTTCGCAATTTTTGAATATTTAATGCTAGTGCTAGCACCACTAAGGGTAGCTATGCAACGACGTTGCAATGTTGTTTTAAGTTTGTTAAATATAGGCACTCAGCGTTTTGGCTGTTAGCAACGTTGGCGCGAAATTGGGGCCGTTGGGCGCAAATTGGGGCTGTTGGGGCCGTTGAATGGCCGTTGCACGACCATGCCACGACTGTCAGCAACGGCCGGTCTAGGCCGGATTTCGAAAAACTTTTCCCGATGCAGTTAACTAGACGTCTAGTTAACTTGTGCATGCTTTTTAGCAAAAGTTGTTAGGAAGTAGATATCCTTTATTGGCCTTTGGCCAGACTACTACACTAGCGAGCTAGCTTTGCCTCTAGCTGCTATAAGCGCTATGCCACGTGTTGTGCTCGTGCATAGTCGTTACAGTGTAACTAACGTAATCGGCCATTGAGTCGGCCAGGCAATTGAGCCGGCCACCTTATGCAGCCACCCACCTTGACACGCAGATAACTCAACACCACAACGTCGTGCTGTGGCTCACAGTACGTCAAATTAATCCACTCTGTCTACAGTATCTTGCTTACATGTGCGCTTATTGTGCCTAGCCTGACCACACCTCCTACAGCGTTGAGAACCCTCTCTACTACCACCTGTTCGCACCCTCTCCTCACGCCTCTCTGCCTCTGCCTGCACCACCACCTCTCGTGCAGCTATTATTTCCTCTGCCTCTTGCTGTGATAGGGTTCCTCTATACTAGATCTGCTTCCTTTTACGTGCTTTACGCTCAGAAGCAGCTTTATTTGCTGCTTGAAGCTTAACTATCTTAGCCGCCATAAGCACCTGGGAATGCACCATTATATCAGCTCCCTTTTTGAACTGCTGCACCATCTCAATAATTGAAGCTGGAGATGAACTGTGGTGCTGCCTAATCCAGTCAGATATCAGCGTTAATTGAGCCAATATTTCAGCAGCGTTGCTTGGTGTTCTAGGTTGCCAGGTAGTAGGCCCTGGTAAAGGTGGTGTTGGCGTACGAGGCTTTACTTCAAGCTTTAATAGCACCACCTCTAGGTTGTCTAGAACTAAGCCTGTTGCTCAGAAGCTTGATTAGATATTATTAGATGAAAACGCCTTATTAAACACCTGATTAAAGGCAGCTAAGAATGCTTTCTTGTTAATGTAAGTAACGTGGCTGTTTGCTAAGACATTGATTTCTGTCTTATATGCTCGTTTCAATGGGGCAAAACAGCCCACATCAAGTGGCTGTAGGATATGGGAGGTGTGAGGAGGCATACAGAGAGTAATAATTTTGTTCTCCTCACACAGATCCTGGAAGGCAAGCGACTTGTGGCTCTCATGGCCATCAATAATCAGCAGCCGGTGGCTACCCACTGTCCGGGCTGTTGTATGCTGGATGAAGTGCTTCAGCCACTCTAGGCCCAGTTCATTTGTTGTCCAGCCATTCTTGCTGACACCAATACGCCAATCCTTTAGGTTGTGATACCAGGCTTGGTCGTGGTTCTTCGCTTTGAAGATGATAAAGGGCAGGATAACCTACCCTATGGCATTAATTGTGGCAATCAACGTCGCCCATTCATGGTCGCCAGGCTGGACTCTAAGTGGCTTAAGACGCCTCTCAGACGCTGTCACCACCTTGACAGACCCTCCAACACCTATCTGGAAGCCAGTCTCGTCAAAGTTGTAGGTATCTTGGTCCTGGATGCTATATTTAGCTTTGACGTTGCGCACAAGGTTAAACCAGGGGCTGATAATAGCTGGATCACTGCACAAGACTCTCTGGTGATCGCGCTGTCTGGTTACCTGAGACTTGATCTCAGGCTTCCGGTTTACAAGGTGCCTGGCCCATTTTTCTCTAACCTTACTACCACCATGGGCAGCTAGCAGTTGATTGGCCATTTCACGTACGTAGCTTAGCGTAGGGGCAAAGCCTCGCGCGTCAAGCTTCCTTATGTATTGTATAACCACCTCCTCTTCAGGCTTAGTAAGCCTTGATCTGCTGTGGTGGGAATCGCGTTGTGAGGTGGTTTTGGCGCGTCAGTCTTGGAGGGTTGATCGAGGAACGTCATAGATAGCAGCAGCGCGCTGTTGGCTTATTAACGCGTTGGATTTCATAGCTTAGATAGCAAGGATTATCCTATCCTTACAAGGAAGTAATCTAAGATTAGGTTGTTGAGACATTAGATGAGAGGTGGAATGAGGTGTGATCTTGGCAAAGGTGGCCGGCTCAATTGCCTGGCCGACTCAATGGCCGATTACGTTAGCTTAAGTATGTAATTAATAATCACCCTCTCCTTGTCGTCGTCTAGATTCTGTAAGTTAGCTATAAAACTAACGCGTGAAGGTTGTCCAGCATATTGATCACTTAGTGTGCTTTGAGAGATCTTGTAGATAGCTGCAGCGTGTCGCAGGGAGAGTTTTGGGTCTTGTTTAAGCGCCTTAAGCGCAAGCTGTATCTGACAGTTCTTTGACACATCCCACTGGTGTTGTTTGGGAGTAAAGGCAATTTGCATCATGATCCGAGCAGATATCGCGCCGTGGTGAGCAAAGAACGAAAGCTGCTTCCGACGGAGCATCGCGGAGGGAACCGCTAGTCCGGATATGGCATGGTCTGCTCGCTTGTGCAAAATCGTGAGGGTCAGCGGCCGAGACACCACGAAGTCACTGCGCAGGCGCTCACGTGAAGTCAAGTGTCCTCTTGGAGATCAACTTCCCGATAATATCACGTCCTCTCTCTGAACCTTGTTTTCGTGCTTCGAAACCATGGCAGATCCACTGAACACCACCACCGGTACTGCCTTCTGCGCCATCACCCACACCATCCAACTAACGGTCCATTAGAGCCACAAGCGGAAGCGTCTTCTTCCAGCAAGGCGCCCGAAGCCTGCGCAAAGTGTGGCAAGACTGATGCTTCGTTCAAGCTCTGCAACAAGTGCCACACCACATCGTACTGCGGAAAGGACTGTCAAAAGGCACACTTCAAGACGCACAAGAGAATGTGCGCGTCGCTTGCGCAAGAGCATGTGAAGAATAATGAGCCGAGAATGGCAAGCAGATCAGTATCGAAGACAACAGACAGGAATACTGGGTTCAAGAAGTGGGAGGTAAGTGAAATTCTTAAACTGTGTTGATGTAATGCGCTGAGTGTATGTAGTTCGACACATGAGCTCTGAGCTCTGCATACGAGCTTCGAGATTTGAACAGTCGAAATCAGTCCCGTTCTACAACTCTAATCTCCGCTCCGCTCCGCTCCGCATCTGTGAGTGCGTGAGGTCTAGATGCGATGGCGGAAGCACAGAGCCGATTTTTCGGAAATACGGCAAGATGATGCAAGGACTTCGCCTACGGCAAAGACGGCAGCCCATGTTCGCCCTGCTAGCACTGGTTTGTTTAAGAGGATCAGCCTTCGAAGAATGAAAATAAACAGATCGTCTCAGACCGTTGCAGCAACCTTCAGTGATCTTACCAAGCTGTCTAGATGATCGAAGGCCACTCAGACAGGGTCTGAGCATTGGCCCGAGACAGACCGATCAAACGTACAATCAGCATTGATTGCGCTGGACTCCTTGGAGGCCAGAGCGTAGGCAGAAAACATCCTGAGATCGAAGCATGTTGTAGGACCCTCGATCAGCCACTCCGCTCCGCTGAAGTCTGGGGCCATCTGACTCAGCCCTCTCGCTTACTGTGTAGGCTACCGGATCAAACTGCTTAGCACAAAGACAATTCAGGGCCTCATTGTAGATGTCTGCCCCACTCCGCTTCGCTGGATAGTGGAAATCCTAGCCCATCCGTGGCCTCTGCCTTGCACCGCTGGCACCGGCTGAACCCTATACGCCTGACAAGCAAAGGCCCTATGCTTAGCAAATCTTAGCAGTTCCCTATATAGAAGCTTCTTAGCCTTTCTCACCTCCGCTGTTTTGCGGAGGCTCGTGAGCCGTTCTGCCGGTAAAACGGGTACCTGATGAGACAACGCCCACAATCGCGGATCGAACGGCAGAGGTTAATCCAACGTCTTGTGGCAGCTGTAAACCGACATAGAAGGCCAGGCATGTTCTGCAGGACAATCTCAGATGATCAAACTGCATCGGTCGATTTGCAATCGCATGGACCCTGTGGGTGACAGTGTGCCCCTATTTCTGAAGGGCTGCACAGTTGCAATGTCACTTGGGGATGGTGAATTCTTGGACAAAGACTTAAAGATGAGAGAGATGAGAGGGGGAGATTATCGAGAGGTGAGGTAAAGTTCAAGACCTCCAACTGTCCAAGCAGGTACTCCTTCAGGCTTCAGCCACAGTGGCTCACACACGCTCAGCGAGCCACACCACCGAAATTGTAGACCGTGTCGCGATAACGATCTCATAAGTAATATTTACGACATCTCGATCAGCTCGCACAAGAAATCAACAGGTATTCGCCTTTGGTGCCGTGCATCAGCCACCAGGTGCATGGCTACAGTCTAGACGAAGCTATTCAGAAAGGTAGCCGCAGAGATTGCCAGGTGCTCCTGATGCTAATCTGTCAAGATGCACTTGTGGGACCGAAAGGCATCAAGAAGAATATATTACATGCACTGCATGTCCTTCGTTATGTGGAGTTCGAAAAATTATGTACATAAACGAAATCCGCTTTCAAGGCTTACGATGCAACGAATGCATCAAATCGTCAAATGCTGCACCAAGCGTCTGTGATACCATTGCGAGTCGCAGTAGCAATAGCAAGACAATCTGTCTAGCAAAGCGAAGACGCTTAGCAGGATTGGATGGCAGAGGCGGTGTATTTGCAGTAGTTGGAGGGGCCCTTGGAGACGGACTTGGGCTCGTTGCCGGGGGTGGTGCCCTTGAACTCTTCGCAGATGGCCTTCACAGAGGAAGCGCAGGTGGAGGAGATGGTGGCAGTGCCGCCGAAGTTGGGGTTGATACCGGCGAGGAGCTTTCCAGAGTAGGCCTTTCGTATGTTAGACACCGCTCGAGATAAGCGTGGGTGGGTGTTGCTTACCTTGACGTTCTTGATGACAACAGAGCGGGAGACGGAGTTCTTGCAGTTACCGCAAGCACGGTACAGCTTGCCGAAGTCGGAGACCTGGAAACCGTCGATGGTGACGGTTCCCTTACCGTTGTGCTGGATAACCTTGTCGGAGGCGGACTGGGCACCTCCACCCTTAACGAGGGCGTTACCGTCACCCTTCAGGGTGAGAGCATCCTCACAGACGTCGACCCACCAGACATTCTCGATGGTGCAGGAGCCCTTGCAGTGGATACCCTCGATTTGATCTAAAAACTGTCAGTATGCAATTAAGGTGCGACTGCAACTCTACTCGCCTTTTCCGATAATCACATTCTTCAAGATCCCTGAGAATGCTTAGTATAGTTATTACTCTTATCTCCGAAGTACCTGCAAGCCTGATACTAGAAGAGAATCCAAGCTCTCAGTAATATAGCCCACCTACCGTTGTTCTCGATCAGGAAGACGGCGTCCGAGTCGCCACCCTCAGCCTGACCAGTGCAGGAAACACCACGGCCGTAGGTCTTAAGACCACCGTCGAAGGTGCCGGAGACAGTCTGAGGCTTGGAGAGCTTGACAGTGCCCTTGGACGCAGGAATAGAGATCGTGGCACGCTTCTGCATGGCAAAAGCCTCAGCAGGAGCGGAAGCGGCAGGGCCAGCGGCGATGGGGGCCACAAGGGCGGCAATAGCGGCGACAATAGTGAACTTCATTTTGTCGGTTGGTTGGTGATACTTTGAAAGTCGAAAGTAGAATTTGTTGGTAAGTAAGCGAAATGAATGAAAATGTAGAGAGAGTGGGTTGCTTCAAGCAAACGAGAGACTGTACTAAGCGAATGAACTGCTCTTCTCAGGGTGCAGAAGCCATGGGCTTTATAGTTCGTATTGCTGGAACGCTACGGAAGCTCCTCGTTCTGTGTACATATGATTGTATGTGCGGTAGACTAGAGCTTCAGGCAGATTGACGTCCCGACACTACACAGCGGCAAGGCACTGCAGGCCAGGGCTGAAACCCGTATACGGCCGCATTGGTATTGGGAACAGCCAAAGCGGGGGAGGTGCTAACGTGTACACACCTAAGACCTGGCCCGGAACATTACCTGGTGAATAGTTTCCTCGACTATGGGCGCCAAGAGTTCAAGCAATTGTGGGTTCCATGTTGATGCTGCGTTCCAACTTTGCATGTTGGGCTGAAGCAGTGACATGAACAGCGGGTCTAGTGGTTGTCCCAAGAGGCTGTTTCGAGATTCTCCTCCAATCGAAACGAGTTTCGGAATTCAGTGTGCTGCACTGATCCGCAGGACAAGTCAAGCCATCTTGGCATGTTTCGCCAAAAGCTTGGCTATGGGCATCTCGACAGGCGCCTTGACAGCTGTCAACAGGCCGTCATTCCCATCTGTCTGTGGATAAGAGCAATCCCGAAGATAGTCTTAGCTTCATAGAGCCTGATGCGATCATATATTGAAACAGTGGGGTGTGATGCGGTCCAAGACCTCCAAGTTCTCCTAGCTCTTGCGGCGATTATTGAGCTGATCCACGGTTTTGAGAACCGCACGAAGCGCGTCGGAAAGGACGATCAGCTGAGTCGAGACAAGACATGATTTGTGATGGTTACAAGGCCTTGGAAGAAACAGAGACTTGGTGACTGTCTTGAGGGCTTAATCCAAGGTGAATCCAAGCTACTTCTGCAAAATTGGATACTATTTGTAGTTGTCCATCTGCGCGGAGTCGCTTTATCTGATGTTCATTATCGTTATCGAGGTCATCAAAACAGCATGTTCTGCGTCCCGAACGCCATGCAGGTGATATCAGTGCTACAGAGCAGTACAACCGCACAAAATGACAAGCTTGAACAACTCTGGAGGCCTGATGGGGATGGAGATTGCAGTGATGGCAACGGTGGAGAGTCCAGGCGTGCCTGCCGAACCAGCCAAGCTCAAGGCTGGCTTGGCAGGTACACACGAGTCATCCCGACCCCCTTCGTGGCGTTGCCCCTTCATCTCATCACCGACCATGATGAGGAACGTTTCGGCGCAATCTGACCGACACTGAATACCAGGTGTTCGCCCTGCGAATTGTTGCTTGCCTGACCCCACCGCGGTTACCGCTTTTTTACGTGGCCATTCGATCGAGGAAACTGAATAAGACACAATCGATGCAGTGCTGCAACGATAGAGCTGTCTACTGGCCGTTCTCGGTTCATTGCGGCCATACCACAAACATCTGACAGGTCGTCCCTGGCACGCATCTGAACAGTGACAACCGAAGCAATTTTGGCTAGACGCTCGATCACTCCATCTTACGAAAGATCTTGCACCACCACCTACCAAAGGATTCCATGGCCCTGACACATTCCTCGTCACAATGAAGTTGACGCGTGCTACCTGTCTCGACTGCTTAGGTCCGAATAGAATACTTTTGACCTGGGCATCTTAGATGGCTTGCCTAGCTCAATCGAGCTTTGAGGCCTGCGAACACCATGGCCGGCTCCCCAGTCATTTGGTCTGGCACCGACAATGACGTCTTGTCAGCCATTGAGGTGCTCATGAATTCATACAGAATAAAGAGCTGTACTTCTACACAGTTGCGACCATCGTCTGACTCACTGCAAAATCGTTACCTATGCAGCAATCGTCAACTCAGCTTACCTTGCTCGCGCAGCTCAAGCTCACAGCCTCATGAAACGGGGACAGCAACAGCAGCTTCATGGGACCTGATTTAGTACTCAGGATTTGGGACCTGCTTATGAGCTTGCAACTTATCACGCATTTGTCGCAATTCTCAAATATCATTATTTACCCGACGTCATTCGAAGATGGGAGCTTCGAGTGGTGACGCAGTTGTGCCAGCTGCTTCCATGACCAATGTAGGAATCAGTGCACAGCGCTGTGACGCAATCGTCAAAGCTTCCCCCGCCTCCGGAGCTATGCGGCGCCAGCATCAACATCAGCATTTTGCGCGCGACAGCTTAACTCTTTCTTCAACACGCCGAACCAATTTATATAAACCTCATGCGCTTTCCGTCCTTCCCACAATTTGTTCACGCCTTCCACGAAATCAGAAACACCACCAGCGCATTTGTTCGCACAAATCCCGCCGGCGTACTCGGCCGCACATTCTACAACAGCCCGCAACGCGCAACCCTTCAGCATTCTATGCCCAATATCCCCTTTTTAGGCGCGCTATTTAAATCGTCTAGCAGTATGGCCGATAACAGCAACTTCCCCGTGAGCAAGCCCGAGGGCGAGTGGCAAGCTCAGCTTTCGCCAGGTACGTTTACCTCGTAGCCACGAACAGTGGATGTGATACGTAAAGATATAATATAGGGCTAAGATGTGACGACAGAGCAATTTCGCATCCTCCGCAAAAAAGGCACCGAGATGCCCGGCTCCAGCAAGTACGACAAGCACTACCCGGACGCGGGAGTATACAAGTGTGCAGGCTGCGACGCGTCACTGTACAAAGCAAACCACAAATTCGACTCTGGGTGTGGATGGCCTGCGTTCTGGGATGCTTTCCCTGACGCAGTTGGGCAGAAACCCGACCCTGGCCTCGGTATGATGAGGACAGAAATTGTCTGCAACAATTGCGGTGGGCATCTGGGGCACATCTTTAAGGGCGAGAGATTCGGCAACCCAAAGAATGAGAGACACTGCGTCAATGGCGTAAGCATCAACTTTACGCCGGAGGAGAGCAAGTAGGGAATGGGTAGGATGCCGCATTCGTGTATCGCTTATATTAATAAGAAAGAAGAAAAGACAACAAAAGGAAGAACTTTGACCAATCGCGAAGTGTTGAAGAATACGCTGTACATCTGACATGTGTTGCAAATTGCTGATAAGTAATTTAAAAGTGTGCGCAAAAACACTTTCAAGCGGAACCTATGTTTGAATCCCAGTCCGAATCAGAGCACCCAGTCCAGTAGACGAAAAACTGGTCTCCTCTACGCTAAGAGCCGTTGTGAATTGTGCTAAGCTCTTCTCTCTGCTAAGGGCAAGTGCACATGGCCGACGTCCTGGGCTCGAAATCGAGCGGACATTCTTCCTCCGGAACGTCAAACCTTATCCGTCTCTTATAATCCGCAGCCGCTCTGGTGGCAACAAAGCGGCTGCTTGCAAAACGACCATTGCCAATGAGAGCTCCAGAAATACCTTGACACGGCAGCAGCGCGACTACGTGCATTAGTATCAACGATAGCACCGGAGTCGTCCCTTTCGCAGGACTCGATGTCGCGTGCCCGCTCACTGCTCGATTGCGACAACCTAGGAGCGACTGAATTGGCTTCATAGAGGAGGCCCGACACGCTGATGAGCGCAGAACCCAATTGTGAACCCAGCGTCATTGTCGCGTCCGGGGCTAGCTCCGTTCAAGCTCTTCGGAGTCGCGAGATTACAAACGCCGATACTGCCGACACATTCGGCAGCGACAACGACAAGAGCGATGATGGGCGAGGCCGTAGCCTCCTGGCTGCAAAGCGACCCCACGCACAACGACAGTTATCGATAAAAACGAATATTCGTGCTGGTACAGGCCTCTCGCGGATTGACGACACCGAGCAAGCAGAAGCCGCGAAAGAGAAGCCGATATCATGGCGTGCGCTCCCTCGCAAAGATCAGCTCTTTGTGATCACACTGGCACGGTTGTCAGAGCCATTGACGCAGACGTCTCTTGGATCCTACCTGTTCTACCAGCTCCAGTCATTCGACAATAGCTTACCTGAGGCAACAATCTCATATCAGGCGGGTATCATCCAGGCCGCATTTCCCTTTGCGCAATTCCTGACCGCCATGTTCTGGGGTCGCATTGCAGATGCAGAGTATGGCGGGCGCAAACGAGTCCTCTACATCGGCTTGCTAGGGACCATGTGCAGCATCGTTGGCTTTGGCTTCTCGAAAAACTTCCCAATAGCAGTGGCGTGTCGATGTCTGGGCGGTGTGCTGAATGGCAATATCGGTGTCATGAGGACCATGATCAGTGAGATCATCAAGGAGAAGAAGTATCAGAGTAGAGCTTTCCTGATCCTGCCGATGACGTTCAACATTGGAGTTATCGTTGGGCCAATTCTTGGTACGTGTCGCTCATATGACAAAGCTGATATCCTCACTCACATCTTGGCAGGTGGTTTATTGGCCGATCCAGTGGGCAGCTATCCCTCGATTTTCGGCTCTGGCTCACTCCTCGGTGGCAAAGATGGAGTGTACTGGATGAAGCGTTGGCCCTACGCACTGCCAAACATTATGAGTGCGTGCTTCCTCCTCTTCTCGGCATTGGCCGTTATCTTCTTCCTAGAGGAGACGAACGAGCTGTGCAAAGATAAGCCAGATCCCGGTCTCCGCATTGGCCGGATAATCCGCCGCTACATCTTTCGTCAAAATATAGCGAGCTATGATGGATATGTAGCTGTAGTGGAGGATGAATACGCAGCTTCAAACAGCCTCGAGCTACAGTCAACGCCCACCTCAGCCCATCCGGACACTCACGCGACAATCGACATGACTAACAAGGCAATCCGTCAAAAGCTACCCTTCCGCCGCATCTGGACTCGCAGCCTCATCATCACACTCCTTGCTCATGGCTTGATGGCCATGCATGTGGGCGGCTTCAACTCACTGTGGTTCATTTATCTGTCAACACCACGCTTCGACCCTGCCAACCCGCATCCTCCGGGCTTCAAGCCACATGGGTTCGTTCATTTCACCGGCGGACTTGCGCTACCACCAGCGCGAATTGGAGTCGCACTGGCCATCCTGGGTTTTATCGGCATCTCGCTACAGCTGTTCCTCTACCCACAACTTTCGCACCGCCTTGGAACAGCAAAGAGCTACCGCATCTTCTTAGCACTTTTTCCAATAACCTACACACTTGCGCCGTCCTTGAGTAGGGTTACAAGCTTCAGTAAGCCGCCGGCTGGCGTGAGTGGACCCTGGATCTGGATGGCCATGATTGTGGTTCTCTTCATTCAAGTCCTCGCCCGAACGTTTGCATTACCGTGTACAACGATTCTTGTCAATAACGTCAGCCCGCACCCTTCAGTACTTGGCACTGTTCACGGCATTGGGCAGTCTGTGTCCAGTTTGACAAGAACGATCGGTCCCATTATGTTCTCTTGGGTCTTTGGTAAGGGTCTGAACATGGGCATCGTGGGCTTGGGCTGGTGGCTTATGGCAAGCGTCGCCGCCGTTGGCTTTGTGGCTGCGCAATGGGTAAGAGAAGGAGATGGTCATGAGATTCTGCTCGAGGGTGAGATCAGGGGGAAAGATGGCTCCGTTACAAGAGCCGACTGAGCATCACCCTTCGCTTGACCCCGTGGCATCCATAAAGTCCATTACTTTTGGCAGAAGAATACAAACATAGACACTACATAGTTTACTCCTGGCACCCACGGGTGCGCTAGGCCTGCATACTATACGTAGAGACGAGCCGTGTAGGATGCAGCCACGTCAGCCAAGAGATCAAGCACTCTGGACATCACCATCGTGTGAACCGAAACGAAAGCTCGCAACTTTCGAAAGTGGAGACAGAATTGTCGTCCACAGATGAGCGAACCCGTCAACACGTTCGCCTGAAACAATCTTGCAATGCGGGTCGCACAAAGCTGACAATGGAGCGAAGATGTTGGTTGGCATTGGCATGAAGGCAGAGGTACGCAAGAAGACGAGAGACGACTCGCGGTATCAGAAGGCGTGATCTAAGAGAGTGGTGTGCATACAAATACAAATCGCAGCTTGGACGAAGTCAATCTCTCGCTCCTTGTCCAGCATCAGCAACAAGATAGTACAATCTCTTACCCGCTCTCGCCGGAGCGCTTCTTGCGCAAGCTGCCTCCGCGCTGTCGCTACTATCCATGGCTCACGATTTTGTCTACATTATGTCTGATGACTATGGTCCAGCATCCCAGACCATGGCGCCCCTCAAGAATACGATCCTCCCTTGCTACGTGTTCGATGACCTGGGCGAGACCGAGGTTGACACTGTCTTCGAGAACAACAGACTCGCTCTTGATCCTTTGAGCCAGCCGAGCAAGAAACACTCTTTCAGCACAGTGCTGGGTTGCGAGGCGAGCAATTGAGGGCTGCTATGGCGAGTTACTAGGATACGAGTGACGGGGATGACATGCAGCTTCCAGAGTATATTGAAAGTGTGCCGAAGCTCAGTATCAAGAAGGCTATGGAAAAAGCTGCGTTCACAACCTCATCCAACGTTCCCAAACTCTTCGCTCCCGCACTGCGCCATCGCTGCCCTGCATGCATCTAAGGCTGAGCCGAGGATCATCCAGAACCCGTTTGCTAATTTTGTGGTCTTCGGTCCATCTTTTGTGGACGCTTGGCGGGTATTAGGAAAACGATTTCCACGTTCCCGCATCGCGATCGACGCGCGCACGTGAGGCGCTTGCTTATGTCAGGCAGCCAACCAGTGGTCGTGCGACACGAAGGTCCTCACGTGTGTAGTTCTCCGCGCTGGTGGCCTTGAAATTTTGAGATACGAGGCTCACCGCGCATCCTCGAAGACCCAGGGATCGATAGGTGGAAGGAGTGCGGGGAACAATTGCTGTGCCAAGTGCCAGGCTCCAACTTGAGTGTCCCGCGTGCGACGCGTTTGTAGGATTGCATGGCGCAGCAGAGGCAGCCCCGCGCTTCCCACTGTGTCCTGCGCCCGCCTCGCGCGTCTCTATGTGACACCTTCCCCAACGTTGCTGCCGAGCGTAGCACTGGAACGTTAAACGTGAGACAAAGGAACGTCGCATGCGTCTTGTCGAAAAGGAAGGTTCAATTTCGGACTCGTATTGGGGTATCAACGCGTGAAGAACCCAGACCTCGGTCGAAGCAAAAGACCGAGACCCACCAAACCTAAATCCAAACATGTCCCATGACAGTATTGCACCGCTGAACGCCGTGACTATGCAACGCTATGCTATGCTCCAAAATGCCGGTCTTCTTGTCTCCTGATTATGACCTTGTAACCAAATTGCACCCCTTCGGTAAATCATCATGCGTGTAATGGTATCGTTCCTAATGAATGACATTCTCCTTCTGTTCAAAAACCACGCCTTTCTTCTCGGCAAACAGCTTTTGAATCGGGTAGGTGATGGCGTTCATGAGGTTTTCGCGGTAGTCGAGCTTGACGAGGTGCTTCTCGAACCAGTAGTGGCGAATGAACTTGCCCTGACAGTTGCTGACCTCGACGCCGGGGAAGCCATTTGCCTGGCCGCAGTCGAGCTCCATGATGTTCTCCTCGTAGTCGTAGCGGATGTACTCGCCGAACGCGGACTGCTCGTGGAATTTGGGCTCCTTCCACTGCGAACAGTTGGGGTAGCGGACATCGTCCGGGCACTCGTGCCATGCCTTCAGGATGGGCATGACCTGCTTGTTGTTCTGGACGATCATAAACCCGGTGTTGGTGTATGTGCGGTTGAAGCGATCGGAGTTGTATTGCGGCTCCTTCGCGGTCCAGGGGTCCTTCGCCATGACAAACGAGTGGTGGGGTTCCACATTCCAGTAGTTCATCATCCACTCAATGGGTAGCTGCATGAAGCGGAAAGTTGCGTCTGCGTCGAGGAAGACAACGAACTTGTAGTCCTTGATTACGTTGGCGAGCGCAGAGGGCTTAATCCAGGTTGCGTGTCGGTCTTCGAATTCTGTCGCATGGACGAACTTATAGTCATAGCCGTGAATCTGAGCGTAGGCGTAGTGAGCGAATACACCACCAGAAACGTGGTTGATGTTGCGCCAATCATATTCGCCCTTCTCGAACATCTCAGTCGACTTGAGCGGCCTAGTGTCAAGATCCAAGATCAAGATGTCGCTGCCCATTTTTTTCGTATAACGCGGGTTTCCGGGAAGCACGATCTTGGTGCCATTGGGTTCGCGGATGAAGGGCTCAGAAGGCGATACCTTGAGCGGCTCGTACAGGACGCGCAGGATGTCGTTGATGTTGGGTGTTTTCGCATCGCTGAAGGTCCTGTCAGTGCTGGTCAGTAGCTGTTCGCTAGTGGGCACTTGTCGATCAGGGCGAAAACAGTCAAGGGGCATCCTCCGAGATCCACCGAAACATTGGAAAACAAGGCTCAACAACGTACATTTCGACGTGCGTCGACCCTCCGCGCTGGGGGAAAGGTATGCTCTCCGGTGCTGACCATGCCATGAAACCAAAAATGAAGATCAGGGCGAAGCCGGCTGTGCACGCCAGCATAAACATCGGGCTGCGCGCCCCCGTCGATGGCAGCATCATATTGGAGTCGTGTGTTCGGTCTCCTCTTCGAACAGCAAAAGAGCGACAGCAGGAAGTAGCGGCGATAGCTGGATGCGCAAGTGGAAGGCAGGCGGGCGGGCAGGCGTCCCAACGGGCTCGGGGGCTTAGCACATTTAAAGGGACTTGTCAGCCGTCAGTCCAGCGGCCAAGCGTGCAGAAGCAGCGTGTCCGTGTCGGGGCGAGATTGCGCTTGGCGGAAGCCATCAGCCCTTACGAGGCGTCGATGCACAGCAGAGGGCCCGTTGCTAAGCCTCATTAGGCTGCATGGGTGGGACCGTGGCCTAGCAAAAGGGGCGAATGAGACGTGACCTGAGTCTGGCCCGTGCAGAGAGACGTGGGTTTTGAAATCGGATGGGGGCCCTCCAGGCTGCCAGACTTCATTCATTTGCGACCGCATAAATATACACAATTTCCATGTGACTGCGCCCGGGGATTCTGCCATTCTGCACAGTAGCTCGACGATGGCGCTGGTGTTGGGACAACGGCTTCAGGGCTGTCGAGGTGGGTGGCAAAGGGTCCCAAGGGCGCCGTTCAAAAAACTTGTTCGAATCAGGACAATCTCCCCGGATATCTTGCACCTCCTGAGCGCACCTCAAGGCGCACCGCGCCTATCGTCGTATCCATAGACCCCATTGCAACCTCAGAACCTCACTGGTGGCCTGTCGCACAATCCGCAAATTTGCGACTCCACTGAAAATCGGCTGCCACATTACCATGACCCTGAGACGGGCTGCATCCTGCGACAGGCCGCGAACGCTGCGCCCTGGGGCTTGAGCGCGAGCGGATGGCATGCTTGATCTGCAAGCCGCCTGGGCAACGGCTATCCCTGCATCGTACCGACATGCCCGTTTTAGCGTACCTATGCAATTTTCTTGTTTCGACTGCGTCAAAACATCTGCGTTTGACCTCACTCGGAGGCCCGTAGCAGCATCAACAAGGGAGTCGCTGTTGACCGACACATGTCTTCCACTGCATCAACAGGCGTAACCGAAGTCGCGCATCCCTTCCGTGCTCAGTCGCGTATCCCTTGCCTCGTGCCTACAAGGGCAATTGCATGGCAAACATGTGTTCACTGAGGTGACGTGCAAGAGCAGGTACCGGCCACAATAGCACTTTCTTTATTGAAAGAATACTGCGTGAACACTCAGCCATTTGCTGGGTGCCTGGCCCTTCTGCGCCTAATGTACAAAGAGCAATCATGTAAGTCAAATTGGGGGTCTCGCTCAATCCCGCTTCAATCAACGCTCCAAACAGTATCGTTACACCCTCTAAGCCGACTCTTCGGTCCACTTTCGCAGCATGTTGGGCGCGAAGTTCGTCATATAAGACACGTCCATCTCATGCAGCCTTTGGTAGGCGATCTTTTGCAATTTGTCGACGATTGCTTCAATGTCGTAAATGTCTTCCATTTCCTCATCGTCAAAATCCTCATCTTTAGTCAATACTTCTTCACTCCCTTCGCCCAAACGGACCATGTCAAACATTGGTTCGTCAGTGAATGCGACTGATTCTCTTCCTTCCTCGTAGTCTTTGACGTCTTCAAGGTCTTTGCCGAGATAATTAGTGGGCGAGAAGGAATCAAGGTCCGAAAGTGCAGAGCTCAATGATGACGGCATTGATGAGAATATGTCATCATACGCCGAGGGCTGGAGGTTTCCAGCATCCTCAAGATCCTGCATGTCTAGACCAAGATCGCGCATATGATCCCGGGTTTTCTGACCGTGCATCGCACGCTCAGTCGAGGATTCACACGTGACTACCTCCAGGCTGCCCTCAGACCTCAGCTTGTCGACGAGGCTAGGGGCAAACCAGACTCCGTTCAGATTCACGCGTACTGACGCGCGAGACGACAGGATGTGCTGAAGCGCGAGGGTAAATGGGTGCGAGGCGTCCAGCACACACTCGTCAGTCGTGCTTGACACAATCTTAGACGCAGTCGAGGTAAAATTGAGGGTCAGGATTGTCAGGCTGGCACAGTGGCTTGCCAGGCCGGTGAGGCACTGAGCTTGCATACAGGGCCTGATGTATCCGAGCTTGAGGTTGATGGTGAGAACCCTGGAGTAGCTCAGGCACTTGTCGGGAATGGGCGGCAGGATCGAGGCTCCAGGCGATGACGCGTCAGTGAGGTCGATGGCAAGGTCGTTGTTGTAGTAAAAGTAGGGCGCTGCTTCTTCATGCAGCAGCCTGGAGGCAGTCAGCATGTCGAGGCAGGGTGTTGAGTTGGTGAGGAGCAACCCATAGATGCTGTTGCGCGTCTCGGGCGGGAAGTCAAAAAAGCTAGCCATGGCGTGGAGGTATTCAGGAAATTTTGAGGCGACCAGAACAATGGTTGAGGACTCGAAGATGTTGGCGATACGATACTGCGTATGGGAGGACGACGAGGTATCTATAGGCGGCGCGCAGGCGCAAGATCAACTCTGATCCTGGAGGCAGTCGCTAAAGGATCATATGCCAAGTCTTTCGGTAGCGAAAAGTTGATATTGTGTAGAAGTATGAAGCGTGGAGCGCGTATTGTATCTATAAGCGAAAAACGGGTGAAGGACTGCCTAACCATGCACTCCTGACTCAACTGATTGGCTTAGCACCCATACCTGTTCCCGATCTGGTCATAAAGGTGCTCGTGATATCGCGTCTTAGTCGCGGATCGCCCGATGTAGGAGCACTGATGCGTTGATGTTGACGAGGCGGAGTACGTGTCTGCCTGGGGCCTCAAGCTGATGGAGGGAGCACACAAGATGTCGCCGTTGATCAACTAGCAAGCAACGTCACGATTGTTTAGAAGATAGTAGCTGTCATTTGTACAGTGGTTGGTGCCTACCCTGATGGACAAGCCATCATGGTGTCACATGTCCCTGTGCACAACGCAGGGCCTGACGTTGGTTCAATTCTAGTCTATGGGTTTCAAGGTATCGTTTCACTCAGAACTGTGCACCTACACTGAGGCTAAGGTCTGTTGATGTCAAAAGACCGGAAGAAGAAGAGTTATGGGTTGGCGATAAGGTTGACGGAGACCAGGGCATAGCCGGCACTAGCTTGATCGGGCAATAGTCCTCCACATCTCTACATCCAGTCATGCTTCGTGATCTTTCAGGATCAAGCTGGCATCGGCGACAAACATTGTGACTCATAGCCTAGAAAAGGCGGCCTCACACGTTGCCTCCCGCACCTCACGGTCCGCATGACTCACGACCAATTAGCGACGATTCTACCGCCAACGGCATCTGAAATGCTTTACGCAGCCCGTAGTACCTCTGATTGAATCAATAGATCAAATGCGCACAAAGTCTACAGAATCACAATCCGAAGCTCAAAGACAAGACTGGAAGCATCAAGAACCTTTCTGGCAAGCAAGACACCCGGGACGATTCTTGTGCAGTACAAGATCTCGTCCGAGCTGCGATGCCAGATGGATCAGCTGGGCCCACAAAAAGACCCTTGACTCGATCTGAAGCCATTTTTTCATACACGCGCAAGAAAGCAGAGGTTTTCGTGGCAACTTCATGATTGACTAGCCAGGAATCAGGAACGAATAGCCATGAGATAGGCCGACCCTTCTTCGAGACAATTATCAATACTGTCGAGGGCTATGCCAAATTGGCCTTTGGCGCTCAGCGCTCCGAGCTGGACTCGATTGAACTTGACGTCAGAGCAGTTCTTGTTGGTGAGAAGACTGCACGACTGCATGCTTCTGCATTGACGCCTGGGGCATGTGCCTTCGTTTAGGTAACTGCTCGAACCAAGTGAAGGATAAGAGCATGTTTGCGTAGGAGATTGGAGATCGCACACTCTGTGGCTGACTCGTTTAACCCCATCTGAGTACACGGATGAGTTATTGCATTCCGAAATGACCAGGGCGTTCCAGTTATTCGCACTGACGGGTCGCCTTGATAAAGGAAAGAGTCGAGGAGCCCGCCGCGGCTGTTTCACTTGATGGAGGGGTAATTGTGCCATGTGATAAGCTCTGCCGCCTCATTTTACTAAGGCTTTGCTCCATTTCTATGTCTTACCCAATTTATCGCGGACGAAAAATGAAAGATTGCGGTTGTAAAAGAATTGAATGAAAGCTCAGGTTGAGCACGCGTCTGATTGGACGAGTGACGCCATCAGGGTTCGGCAGGAGCTGCCCCTCGGCAAAAGAAAATGTTATCGTGGAAGGAGACGCGATAGCGAATGTTGCAACGTGCAAGGCCTCTGTTAATTGACTCTCTGTCTCGCAATCGTCCCCAAATCTTCTCTTGCAGTATTTCAATTCCGTACCGCAAGATGGCCGGCGTTCCCAGCACCTACGATGGTGCGCTCCTTTCCCACCGCACCCCACGTAAATACCACTGACACCAACCCCAGCGCCCGTTCACATCGCCGTTATTGGCGGCACCGGCATCCAGTCGCTACCTGGCTTCACCCTCGCTGCGACTCTCGACGTTGACACACCATGGGGCAAGCCTTCCTCGCCCGTCAGCATCCTGCACCACCCCTCGCCCTCTTCTGGCAAGGTCGTCCCCATCGCCTTCCTTTCACGTCACGGTCTTTCCCACGAGCTTGCGCCCCATGAGGTCAAGAATCAGGCCAACATCGCCGCTCTGCGCCACCTTGGTGTGCGCACCATCATTGCCTTCTCTGCCGTGGGCTCGCTGCAGGAGGAGGTCCGCCCGCGCGACTTCGTAGTCCCCGACCAAGTCATCGATCGCACCAAGGGTATCCGTCCCTTCACATACTTCGAGAAGGGCATGGTCGGCCACGTTGGCTTCGGCGATCCCTTTGACGTCAAGCTGGCTGACATTGTGCGCAAGTGCGGCCACAGCTTGGAGGGTGAGGGCGTTACGCTGCACGACAAGGGTACCATCATCTGCATGGAGGGCCCGCAGTTCAGCACGCGCGCCGAGTCCAACATGTACCGCAGCTGGGGCGGCACTGTCATCAACATGTCTGCTCTGCCCGAGGCTAAGCTAGCACGCGAGGCTGAGATCGCCTACCAGATGATATGCATGGCCACCGACTACGACTGCTGGAGGGGCGCCGAGGGTGAGGATGTCAATGTTGAGATGGTTATGGGACATATGAAGGCCAACGCCGACAACGCGAGGCGCTTCGTTGGTGCTGTTCTGAACGAGCTCAGCAAGGAGGAGCACGCAGAGCAGGTCCAGGGCAAGCACCTTGAGAACCAGACCAAGTTCGCTGGCTCCATGACCAAAAAGGAAGCTCGCGGACAGGAGACCGAGAAGAAGCTGCAGTGGCTCTTCCCTGGCTACTTTGACTGAGCAATCGAGGTGTAAACTTTGCTAACGAGTATCACGACATAGACCCATAGACCTGGGTATAAGCTACCCATAAAAAGCATTATAAATGTTCAGCCGGATACAGGCCGGCGCATTCACCAGCCTTGCTTCTGCACGCTGTACTTTGCCAAGCGTGCGACCCCATTGGGCAGGTCACTATCAACACTTTCGCATCAAATAACGGTCGTCGACATCATCGAATGCAGACGGAGATATCGATTTGTACCCGCGTCAAGCAGCCAATGTCTGTCCAGCCGCGGACTGATCTCCAAGCTCAAGTCCATCGCACCTGCCTATTTCAGCTAGCACGACACGCATCATCGATGAACCACAAGCTTTGGAGTTGACTAACATGAATGCAACCGAAACACGGTCATTCAACGGCGAATTGATACTATCAGGCATATGTCGTGTACTCTGTCAAATAGCAGTTGGTAAGTCACACGTTTCGACGCATCTCACAACAGCAGCTTTGCGTGGTACAAGTGACACGCATGAACGGCAGAAAGGGTGGTGCGTACATATGTGCTAATGTTAAACATCGAGAATCCTGAACAACAGCTCTTACACACCTTTCTTATCGTACAGATCGACATATGTCCGGCTTCGCTACGTCCCGCGGGGAGGCGAATTTACCGTATCCTTGTATGACTGGTAAGGGCCGGCAAGTCGAGGCGGGTGGTGTTTACAGCAATGACAGCTCCGACTATAAGAACCGTCGTGCAGTGCGCAAAGCCGATAATCATCAGCTGCCTATCCAACCATTAGCCACACTCTCCCTTCCACAAGTGACGTCTTACACGGTCGGCATAATGGTCTCGATGTGGTTACTCGCAAAGGTCTTTGTGGCATTCGCGCCCTTGACCAGCGTTGCCGCCCAGTACTCCACAGCGCCAGTGCTTCCCGAACTGTTAGATGCCACTGCAGATGAGTTGATTGCCGGACTGAAGGCCGGCCAATTCACCAGTCTTGACTTGGTGCAGGTAAGCATCCATGTTTACTTCAATGTGCACAAGTGCAGCTTAATGACTTGCGTCAGGCTTACGTAGAACGTATTCTTGAAGTCAATGCAACCCTGCACATGGTCACAGAGATCAATCCTGATGCCTGGACAATTGCGAAAGAGCTCGACGAGGAGCGGTCATATGGAAAGGTCCGCGGGTGAGTTGTGATAAACTCATGTTACCGGGCGCCACTAACCTATGATCAGCCCTCTCCACGGCCTGCCTATACTCATGAAGAATAATATTGCCACTGCTGATGAGATGAACAATACTGCCGGATCATTCTCACTACTCGGAGCCAAGGTCCCACGCGACGCCACTGTTGCTGCGAAACTTCGTAAAGCGGGTGCCATCCTGCTCGGCAAGACAAACCTCTCTCAATGGGCTAATTACCGATCCGCAAACTCTTCCAATGGCTGGTCTGCGTATGGCGGTCAGACCTATGGTGCCTACTACCCGGGCCAAGATCCCAGTGGCAGCAGTAGTGGTAGTGGTGTTTCTGCCAGTCTGGGTCTTGCTTTCGGCACTTTGGGCACAGAGACTGATGGCAGTATCGTCTCACCGAGTCAGCTGAATAACATAGTTGGTATCAAGCCAACTGTAAGTGCCATCAACATCGTGCAAGGGATGTGACGCTAATAATCATCCAGGTCGGCCTGACAAGCAGAGCCCTTGTCATTCCCATCTCCGAGCACCAGGATTCTGTTGGTCCTATGGCACGTACAGTGAAGGATGCGGCTTACATCTTGCAAGCAATTGCTGGACCTGACCAGTACGATAACTACACATCCGCCATTCCGTGGGCCTCAAATACCACCAATGCCACAAAGCCGGATTACGTTGCGGCTTGCAGGCTGGACGCACTGGCTGGCAAGCGCATTGGCATTCCTCGCAACGCAATTGGCGACCGTAACATCGTCTCAGCCCCCATCTTCGACGCCTTCGACTCAGCTATTGCCATTCTGAAAGAGGCAGGCGCGATCATTGTCGACAACACCAACTACACCGCCTACGCGCAATACTTGAACTCCACCGCCGAGGACACCGTGCTGGCAGGTGACTTCGGCCCCAACCTCGCCGCATATCTCGCACAGCTAACATACAACCCCAATGACGTCAACGATCTGGAGGAGGTTCGCAACTTCACGCAGACATTTCCTGCCGAAGAGTTTCCCTCCCGCGACACCGCAGTCTTCAATTCAGCGCTAGGGCTGAACTTTACAAACACCGATCCTCAATTCTGGGCCGCGTACCAAGAGGATCTCTTCCTCGGCGGACCTGGTGGATTGTTGGGTGCGCTGGCCACATACAACCTCGACGCCGTTGTCCTGCCTACTCGCACCGCATCGTCCATCAGCGCCATCATTGGCGCTCCCATCGTCACCGTTCCGCTTGGCGCGTACCCGTCCAACACGACTGTTATCGCCAACACGCGCGGGAACCTCAACGCTACCGCGCCTAATATCCCGTTCGGCATTACTTTTGCTGGCAAGCACTGGGATGAGGAGAATCTTATTGGGTTTGCGTACGCTTATGAGCAGCGCTCGAATGTGAGGACTAAGGTCAAGCCGTACATTCAGCCCACTATCGAGTTGGCGGATGTCATTAGGTATAAGATTAGCAAGCTCTGAGACAGCCATTCGTAGCTTCTGAAGAACTTAATCGGTTCACTGCATCTCTAACAAGTTCCAACCTGAACTGCATATGCCCATCCCATTCGCCATCGCCGCATATTTTCTTCGGAGATAAACATGTGCTAACACGTGGGCTGATTTGCATGCTACCTCTGCCTCTGCGTATGGACCGTTCGCCAGCGTTATTTCGGTGGATGTTGTCCGTTGTGTACGCTTGTCTGTCAACTCACTCACCACAGCCAACAACCCCTTCGGACGACGTCTGGTCCGCGTTGCAAATGTATGTACAGACGTATTCATATGAACGAGCGAAGAGGTACATATAGCAGTGTAGCGGGTACCATCAGGACCAGAGCCCAGCTTGCTCAGTTACCATTGCCCTTCACAATGCCCTTGTAACGATCGCAACTCCTGGTGTTGCTCTGGCATGAGTTGATAATGTTGCAAGTGTCGCCGTAGTTCGTATTGATACCGCATAGCACGCCGCCATCCCTGGCCGTCACACCCTCGATGATGATATTGCGGGGTCCGCCGTTGGCGGTGCAGTCGCCGCAGCTACGAATCTGTCGCGTTATGCACCTAATAGTTTGCTGAGTGAAAGATGTCTTTTACTTCGACAGAATCTCTTTTCTACAGTCTTCGGCGAAGAAGTTCCTGATACTGACTGTGCCGCGGTCGTTGAATTGGAAGGGTTTGTCTGCATCGCCTACGATGTGTTAGCTGAGCTGTCAATTCTTGATGATTGAGAACAACCGTATCTTCGCTCCTCCACCGATTACGTCTCACCAGTGGGTTGCTTAAACATAGCAGCGTCCTCGCATACATCTTCCCACCACACGTTCTCGGGAGTGCAAGGTCCGCGGCAGTGGTTGCCCTCAGCCTGAGCTTCAGCTAAGATGCTGTTCTTGATGGTTGCGTCGTCCTGAACGATGAACGTAGGACCAGACCGAGACCGATGAGGTCTACGAACTGATTTTCCGGGGTCATTGTCCTGAAGAACGCAGACAGAACTCGGCAGCCTTGAGTTCGACGAAGGGTCGTAGGCCGGAACAATATGGAAATTCATCGCACGCCGGTGATTATTTCATTCGTCAGAAGCTTTGCTGACCAGGTTGAGCTGAGCGTCAGCAGAGCGCTTGTGAGAACTGGGGTTTCTCGGTGACTACAGCGGCAAAAAGTCGCAGCGGCGTGATATACACTAAGCAGATAGCGAATGTGCATGTCAAAAGGTCAGTACTTCATCGTGCGAATTGACCCGGAATGGAAGACAGCGCGAAGCCGGTGAGATGAGGTTAATGAGCGTTGATGGAAGTGCGATGAGGGCGACTGCCCCTGGTGGCACCTGGTGTAAGTTGGTCTGCCAAGCACGTGGCTGCTGACGCGCTCTTGGCTTGGTCTTCTTCGCACAACTTCCGCTTCATTTCATCGGCATCACTTCGCCGGCCACAACTTGTGCTAATTCTCTCCGCGTAATCGCAAGTCAACATGCAACGTTGTTCTTGTTATTCAGTAATGTTGCCGCCTTCCAAGCCCGGTGCGTGCCCGGTGCTGGCTTAAGGCCTTAGTATGTCGCTTACCGGTCCATATGGCGGCGGGTGGTGACCTTTGTTTCGCGACCCAGGAACGACAGAATGTCGATTGAGGGATGCTCGCAATACGAAGATAAAGACAGAACACGGCTGAAGGCATGGTGACCAGCTCATCTGTTCTCAACGTCTTTCGATCCCTTCGCAACAGGAGCGCTTGTGATATTGTGTCGCTCTGCCGTACGGCCAACAACCATCCCGTACCTCGTGCTCGCCGCATGTTGCAGATTTACCTTCCTCTCTCGTTTACCTTATCAGCATCGTCGCTTATTGAACCGTTCGTCATGGTTCTCAGCAGGGCAGAAATTCCCTCTGCATCGACGGCTTCTCGACCAGGCTGCGAACATACTCGCCCATGCATTCAAGAGGGCGTCATATGTAAGTTCTGAAGTCTCATGAAGCGATTCGATACAGGTCTGCATTTCTGGTCGCTTACGCTTCGCTAGCCATGACTACAAATTGACTTTTGAGCGTGCAGGAGGCGTCTGCTCTTCCATCTGCAAACCTCTTGGCATCAGTTACAGCGCATGTCATTCGCTCAGTTCTGACGCCCGATATTGACTATGCAGGAATCGATACAACGCTCCTGCAGTCCACTACTGCGATGTGTATCTTCTCCACTTTTTGTACTCACGACTCAGCCTTAGCCCGGTACACGGGAACAACAGTGGAGCTCCAACAACCCGGATTAGGCAACTGTATCGAAGAATGCGATGCCGCGTACCGCCATCCCGGTAATGGTTCCCTCGGCCGGCACCGCTGCACATGCCCTTGATCTGAGCCTTCACCGGTCAGCGTCCAAACCTCCATAGGTCAAGAACCTACGCCTTGATAAATATATTGTGCATCTGCAGCCTCTCAATACCTGAGTACGCAAGGTCCAAGGACGCGAAGGATGCGGATAGCGTTTCGGACAGGGGCCCCACAGCTCGCATTCAGCGCTAAACATTGACACCTCATAGTCACTCTTCTCCCAAGATGGTCGGTGAATATTCAGGTATATCTTTGGAAGTCACTCTTAATTGCGTGGTGGGAAGTAGATGAAGGAACGCTGACCCAGCCCAGTGATTCTTGTCCGATCCCAAGCCAAATAAAACTCCATTAGGCCAGTCAAAACCACTCAAGCCAAGCCGGAGAGACAGGAACGTCAGCCTGGTAGGCGGCCATCGTGCATCGTGGCTGTGGTTCAGCCTTGGTATTTTTACTCAATTAGTGCTTTGAGGTGCCAGATAACGTCTGTACGTAGAAGTTGCATATCCACACTGGTCGACAAGAGCTTCCTGTCGATGACATGCGACTAGTACCGAATAATTCCAAAAGAGTTGGGGGAGGAGCTTAGTAGTGGCGCGGGATTTTGTTCATCCGAACCAATGCCGAAGAGGCTGCCGATCCACTTGTGTCAGGAATATCAGAATCTTACAGCCAAATTACTAGTAACTTATTTATTAGAACTCTATTGATTGCCGAGGTACTCAACACTGCCTAGATAGTACCCAAATTATTAAATTAAGTATAACTTGTTAGATTTAAACATGCTGCTGGCTAGAAAGTCTTGGATTGCAACTGCCGGTAGGGTGAGGATGAGGGTACATCAAAGGTATCGATTTACTCACAGATGATCAATTATGAATAAGTTAATATTAACAAGCGCAACTCGGTAAGTTGGGTTCACCCCTACTAGTGTTTTCGATACTATTGGAATTATGCGGTACCACGAATTGCATGCTTGGTTCGCAGACACTGGCCGTGGATCCTGTGGGCAACTGCTAGGGCTAGTTCTCGATCCAATGAACACTTTCGAAGGAGCGAATCCCAGCTCTTAGGCAAGGTACCCACAGAAAAGGGAGGTCTATATAAGCTTCAGACTGCCATGTGTGTATGTTGTATTCACTCCATTCATTTCACAATGTTGCGCCCAAACGCCATCGCTCTCGTTTCCACTTTTTGTCTTTTCCAGACTTCGGTAGCAATCAATGCATGCCCTGTTACTGATACAGCCTTTACCGGAAGTCAGGGCATTAGATATCGTGTCTGCCCCGGCACCGACTTGATTGGAGGTTCACAATCAGTCACGCCTAATGTCGCCTCTACTACAGCGTGTGCGCAACTTTGCGACGGTGCCATGAACTGCTTCAAGGCCGTTTACGATACACAGACCAAAGACTGTCACATCAAGGCCACCGCTGGCCTGAACTGGCAACCCAATGCACGCTACAATGTCATCCAGGCAGAGCAAATCAACATAGCGAAGTGCCCCTACCCCGAGACAACGTACACAAATAACGGCGTAGGTAATCTCTCCCATCCAAAAAAAGTCTATGCTGACCACCGCCGTGTAGAAGACCTTCAATATCTGCCGTGACACCGATATTCGGGGCGGAAGTGCGCAAGTGATCAATGGAGTCACAACACTAAACGATTGTGCTCAGCGTTGCTCGTTAGTCGACACCTGTGTCCAAGCAGTCTACGATTCGGCCGCTTCGGTGTGTCATATCAAGGTGGACGCGAACGCAAATACCCTGATATGGTCGACAGACAAGCGTTTTGATGTCATCCGCCGAGCAATCACGGCTAATTCAGCGACAAACGGAGCCTGGTCTGACTTAGTCAGACTGCCAGTCATTCCAGTGGCTGCTTATGTAGTGCCGGCGTTCCCCTCTTCAAGCCGATTGATGGTCTTTTCCAGTTGGGGCGTCGATGCTTTCGGAGGCGAGAGTGGCCGCACCCAGTTTGCAGACTACAATTTCAACTCGTAAGTCTTGCCAGAGAGTATACCGTACTCCGATACTGACCACATGCAACAGTGGCGCTGTTTCTGCCCGTACAGTGGCCGAAACTCAGCACGACATGTTTTGTCCCGGTATCAGTGCTCTGGAAGATGGACGCATCCTCATTCAGGGTGGGTCAAACGCCAAGAAGAACAGCTACTACAACCCCTCCACCAACACTTTCACCGGCGCACCAGATTTGATCATGGCACGTGGCTACCAGACGTCTGTTACCCTGAGCGACAACCGTGTCTTCACCATCGGTGGTGCCTATTCCGGTCCGCGACAGGGCAAGGACGGCGAAGTTTTCGACCCGAGGAGCAGCACTTGGAAATCACTCCCCGGCGCAAGGAATGGACCAATGCTCACTACCGATGCCGAAGGTATCTGGCGAGAGGATAACCACGGCTGGCTGTTTGCTTGGAAGAACGGTTCGATCTTCCAGGCTGGCCCGAGTAAGGCTATGAACTGGTACAGCGCCAACGGAGATGGTGCTCAGGTCGCAGCCGGTACACGAGACACCGATGATGCCATGTGCGGTATTTTTGTTATGTACGAGCCCGGCAAGATCCTCACTGCCGGTGGCTCGCCTGATTACACCAACTCCGACGCCAACAAACGTGCTCACTTAATAAGTATTGCTGAGTACGGCCAAGCTGCTACCGTAGAGCGTGCTCCTGATATGGCATACCCTCGTGGTTTTGCGAACGCCGTCGTGCTCCCTGACGGCACTGTTCTTGTCACTGGTGGTCAGCGCCGCTCGAAGGTCTTCACCGATGATGATGGTATCCTCCAGGCTGAGCTCTTCAACCCGGCAACTAAGTCTTGGAAGACCCTCGCAGCTGAGGCAGTCCCTCGTAACTACCACGCTGTTAGCATCTTGCTCCCGGATGGTCGTGTCTTCAGTGGCGGTGGCGGTCTTTGCTACATTGCTCCAGTTGGCGGAAGCACAGTCAACTGCAACAAGCTTGTTGACCACGCTGATGGCCAGACCTTCTCGCCTCCTTACCTCTTCAACGCTGATGGCTCCGCTGCTGCCCGTCCTGTCATCTCAGCACTCAGCTCCACTAGCGTCAGGGTCGGTGGTCAGTTTAGCATTACCACGTCTACTGCCAACCCCATTTTCGCTCTCGTCCGCATTGGTAGCGTCACACACTCGGTCAACAGTGACCAGAGGCGCATTCCACTGACGACCGTCACGCGCAATGGCGCACAATATACCGTCACTCTGCCTAACGAAAGCGGTATTGTGATCCCCGGACACTACTACCTGTTCGCTCTCACCGCTACTGGTGTTCCGAGTATTGCACGAACAGTCAAGGTTACTCTTTCCTAGATATCCCCTTCATTCTTTCATGCTTCTTGTATCGTCATGATATGAGCACAAACTACAACTTCCTCAGGAGTATATCTATATCTGTACTCCCTGCTGTACACAGTATCAAATATAGCAAATATGTCCTAAGAATATTGTCATCTACACTCGTGCAATTGTAATCAGACAGATGTTACTACGCTTAGTGAATACCAAAACCACCGTTGATCATTTCCATCGCGCATTTCGTCGTTTCGTCCAGGTCCTCCTTCTGCAATGGTCTCAAGACATGCAGCAAGGTGCTAATACTACCTTACATACTGATCATATAAGCAGCTGGCAAGCTCACCAGGCAAGAGCAGCTCAATAATGACAGATGTAGTATCCTAGGTAACGAACTTCGCGGATTTACACCAGTCACAAACTGTGATAACGTCGTTTCTTCCTAAACATCGTCCAAAAGCGTAGAACCCGCCTTCACGGAGCTCAGAAAGGCAGCCCACGGGGGATGCTGTGACGTGCGCGTGATTTGGTCACGCATGTGTCATGTTCAAGGCTACTGAGTAGCTTGATGTAGTTCCTCTCGCGGTCTGTATGCTGGTACCTACAGCATTATTCAATTTATTTTACCATATACAAACAACCACTTGGCATTTCGTGTGGAATGAATCCGCAATATAGTATCTACGAGCACAGCTAATTTCTAACCAACTTAAGCTAAATAGCCCCGTTGTATCTAAGCCTACAATTCAGGGACCAAGCCTTGCAAACCCCAGCTTAGCCTTGTGTTTCGCTAAATGGCTGTTCGTATGTGGTAGGGTGTAGTACATCTTCCAGACTATTGCTGTCAGCACTAAAGTTTCTGGATGTCCAATAGTAGGTAAGCTACATAGGCAGGCCCGATGTGCCCGCACGACTAAATGGCACGGTGTCAGTTGACACACGTTTCGGAAATGCAAGTGCTTTGCAGTCCTTTTCGCCGGTTAGTCCCACGAAAAGCAGCAGCCGCAATGCGAACACTGAAGGGCAGCTGATCAAGTGTAACCACGTGGCTCTGATCACATGATATCCTGTTGTGGCAGGCACTGCCGGGTGGGCAAGTGCACTTCCCTGAGAGCTGAGAACTTGTGTAACACCACAACACGACATCACACAACACGACAACAGATAGTAATACACTCGTTAATCACAGTCTCCGACCGACACTGTTCACGCAGTTACATCAAGCCATAGCGGCTAAACACCGTCACGATAGTTACCTGGTCATCTTTGTCGGACAAGGATCTGCCCTGCCAAGCATTATGTTGGTGTTTCAAAGCGCTCGGAGGTAGGCGGAGCTAAGCGGCAAGGACCCCCCCGCCTGCCACTGTGTCGGGAGGGACAGCTGCCGGTCCCGTAGCGCACGAACACGGCGATGTTTGCGATGCGCTTCACGGATGCCTCAGCCAAGCAGTTTCGGTTTGTGGTTTGTCTGACAGCCCGCTGGACCTTGATGGACGCTGCTGGAACACTCGTGTGGAGACTCGGGCAGATCTTCGTGTTGTTGAGAGGCGGCATGACGAGGAAGCTGTGGGGCGAACATCTACTTTACGAGATAGCGATAAACGCAATGACGTCATGAGGGTTGCTCGCAGATGTGTTCATGTTGAGCATATCAGGGGGTGTAGTCTCAAGTTACAGAGCTTTGAATAAGTCATAATTAGTAGCACAGCGACGCGAAGAATATTGTTCGAAGGTATCAGAATTCTTGAAATTGTAAATCTAGCGCGATGCAACGCTTTCTATCGCTAAAGTGTCATGACTTTTCCTTGCGCCAATCGCCGTTCAATGCCTTGTATGTGAATATTAGGTGGTATCATCTGGAAGTCTAGGTTCTTAAAACCTCAATCGCTCAATCGCTAAATGTAATGCATCTATGCAATCCTCTCAACAGTCTTCATAGCACCGTCACGCTCAAGGGCGTTGTAGGATTCAGTGAGCTCCTTGACGAAACGCTCGTCGCCGCGGAGATCATCACCGAAGAGATCGCCAATGCTGAGAAGCTTCATTGGGTTGCCCTCATCGCGAGCAATCTTCTGGAGCTCATCATTCCTAGGGTCAAAAGAGAGCTGGAAGTCGTGGCCCTGCTCGTCGATACCGCGAAGGTAGCGGAACCATGCGGCAGTTGCAAGGGTGAGGCGGCGGAGAGGACCTCCAGCGACGATCTGCTCGGCAATGGAAGGCATGATGAACTGGGGCAGCTTGCCGGAGCCACCAAGGCAAATTCGGGTGATCTCATCCTTGAGTGTGGGGTTGGAGAAGCGGCCGATGAGGGTCTGGATATACTCGTCGACGTCAACGCCGGGGATCTTAGGGAGAAGAGGCTTGACCTCCTCATTCATCATGTTCTTGATGAACTTGCCGAAGACAGGGTGACCGATGGTCTCATGGATGTACTGGAATCCGGAGAGGTAACCGGCGTATCCCATGGCAGAGTGAGAAGCATTGAGAAGGCGGAGCTTCATCAGCTCAAACTCCTCAACGTTTTTGACGTCCTTGACAACCTGGACACCGACCTTCTCGAAGGCGGGACGACCGTCACAGAACTTGTCCTCGACAACCCACTGGCTGAAGGGCTCAGTGACAACGGGCCATGAGTCCTCAACACCGAATTCCTCGCGAAGATTGACGACATCCTCTTCGACGGTCCTGGGGGTGATACGGTCAACCATGGAGTTGGGGAAAGCACCGTTCTGAGCGAGCCATGCGGCAACGTCAGGGTCGCGGTGCTTGGCGAACGCGAGAAGCATATCACGGGTGATGTGACCGTTTTTCTGCATGTTGTCACAGGACAGAACGGTGAAGGGCTTCAAGCCAGCCTCGTAACGACGCGCCAGCGCAGCGTAGACGAAACCAAAGAAGGTGCGGGGAGGGTGAGCGCCAGCAAGGTCGGCTGCCATGTCTGGGTGGTCAGTCATGAGCTCGTGTGTGTTCTCGTTGTAGAAGTAACCGCTCTCGGTGATGGTCATAGAGACAATGTGGGTGTCCTCGTGAGCCATCTTAGCAATGACAGCCTCAGCGTTGTCAGGAGCAAAGAGATAGTCTGTAATGCTGCCAATGACGCGAGCCTTGGATCCGGGTGCGGAGCGCTCGATGACTGTGTAGAGGTTGTCCTGAGGTACGAGGGCGTTCCTCATCTCAGCATCGAAGGGCTGCAGGCCGACACCGCAGATAGCCCAGTCCTTGAGCTTCAGCTGCTCAAGAAGGCTGTCGACATAGACGGCCAAGTGAGCGCGATGGAACCCACCTACACCAACGTGGACGATGCCGTGCTTCATGCTGGCGCGGTCGTAAGTGGGAACAGTGGCGTGTTCCAACTCAGGCAAGTTGGCGGCGTTGAGCCTTAGTGACTGGGGCTCTGTAGCGTGAGGCATGGCAGCGGCGGCCTGTGAGTATTTGCGAGATTGGGAGGTTGAGGAAGCGGTTTGCTGCTGCTGTTGTGTGGTTTGTGCGGCGGAAACTTTGGAAGAAACTGTTGTGTGTGTGGAGTGTGATCTCGCTACAATTGCTCGAGGGAAAGGTCTGAGGGAGGAGCGGAGGGTTGAAGTAGACGACTTCTGTGCCAGGGACACGGCGAACTTCGCGTGCTTTGCAAGGTTGAGAGGAGCCATTGTGAAAAGTTGTACGTTGTCCGCTCCGAAGTGGAGGGAAATGCTCAGGTTTTGTCTTTTTCAGAGGGGCCGTGGTGGGTCCTGTGCACGGATGTGTATGATTGACTAAGGCGTGATGTATTTTCGATGGAACGTGTGGAGAAGACCTGGAACACGGGTGGCTTTACTTTCGTGTTGACATTCTTCCCCGAGTTCCCCGACACAGAAGGTGCACAGTAATGGCGACCAGACTGGCGGTCAACAAATTCGGAAATTTACTAGGTATAGGGGGAGTCCAGGTGACCATCGTCCTTGGTTCAGATCTGCTAATTTTGGACGCACTGGCAATTGTGAATGCACAACGGTGCCATTCCAACAAGACTCCGCCCACGTGGACGCAGAATCCATTACCAATCTCCAGTTTCCAGCTGATGCTTTTTCAGCGGTGACGACGCCCACCTCCGAGCTCTGTCCGTTCGAGAAAGGGGCCGAGGAAATTTGCGCGTTCAGTGTCGCAAACTGTCCATAGCGCAGGCTTTGCAGCGCCGCCACATCAGGAAGCCGGTAACCCGGTGCATACAATTTTGGTGGGGAATTGAAAGGCGCATCCGCTGCCGCAAATCCATCCCTCTGCAAGGGAAGGTTCGAATTTTTTTCAGCCTTGAAAGAATCGACTAGCGGCTTATCGTGAAGGTTCGATTGGGTGGCGAGCCTCTGATAGCCTTGACGCGAGCGACCGGCGAGTCTCGCCGCGCCAGGTTGAGGCTCCTGGCGCGTGGCGGTTAGCTCCACCAGGAACATCGCTTCCATGCACGGTTAATCCTACCCACTTACCTGCAGCCGGGAGCGGAGCCGTGGGGGCTGGATCCATGATAAGAGGTTTCGGGAGACGGCGAAAGGGCACGGTCGTATGTTGCAGGACAGTCAGAGTGAATACCTGGAACTACACACCACATTTCAAGGAGCGGTGTCCGTAGGTTTGGCAAAATTCCGACAAAGTTTCTGAGAAGTATTGATTGGTAGCGTTGAGTCATTGATGGCGCTATTATCTCGGACACATTATCGCATCTCCAAGGTGCCCTTGCTGTCGAGCCCACGCTTGAAGCATGCCAAGGGGGTACATCGCGGTCAGCCGGTGGTACAAGCAAGAACGAGTTTCAACGTGCGGATCACTGGTGTGCACGTCGCTTGTGTAGTATTCCAGTCCATCGATCGCTTTGTAGTAGATCCCACGCGGCAGGCGTATATGACACGTGTTCATATCTCACACCCACGCGAACATGTTTAATGTGGTCGTGGTGCTGATTTCCCCAATTTAGAACGCATTGATCGACCTGGGCACCATGATATTGTATGGAGTGGCGAACGTTGCGACCACATTGCGCTATGAGCGGAACGAGATAAAACAGTGTGGGTCTTATCGTCCCTTGAAGACCAGTGTCTCCGCTGCAGCTGATTTTGCCAGAAGTTAAGTCCCACTTTCCGCAGATCCAGATCCTTGGGATCGTCGCGTTACCGGCCTGAGACTGAGATCGTGGACATCCCGTCCTTCGAAGGGTCATCTGACAACGAGCCGTACCGTTACTTTCTGACACCGGGCCTTGCGAGGCGAGCATGCCGAGTCTGCTACCTGTCAGAATCTCCGACTGTTGCAGACTCCGCAGACTCGGTTCCCTGCGAAGAGGGTGGATCCGCATGTCAGGAGTGAGGCCTTGCTTTCAATTACTATTCATCTGAGCATTGCACGTCCGCTACTCCGCATCTGCTGAAAGGTCCAGTTATGAGCAATGGCATGTTGGTCCGTGTTAAGGCATGCCGAGCTCTGCCTGGGCACGAACATGACCTTGATCACACTTGCAAAGACCTGTGCAAGTTGGTGCCTGGCGCCTGCTCAAACAACCCCAAAGTATCACTCCAAAGAGACAATGATGTGTGAGTCCGAGATTCATGGTGTTGAGAATAGAGCAAGGCTGGAGGCGGGGCCTAGACCGATGCACACGGACAGTGGAGATAAAGGATTGCCCACCCTTGCAGACCTTTGGAGCCTTGCCCCGGAGAATTCAGTGGACCGTAGCCGAGATACTGCGATGGTGCGAGAAGGAGTGGAGCCCTGCGGTGGCAAGTTCTCGTGTATCACATGCCCCAGATGCTCGTAATAGAACGGTCGACAGTACCCCAATGATCGGTCAACCCGTATGAAGAGGTGCAAGGGCGCGATCTCACTGGGTAGGCATGCGAAGGGCATCTTGTAGGGGCATTTGGCGCTCGGGTCGTCAAATGGTCACGCCCGGGAATGGCTTTCGAGATGTGAAAGAATGAAGCTGGACTTGGGAGTGGAGATCAACTTGCTCAGAAGAGGTCGCGTATGGGCATGCCGCTTCAATATATTGGTATGGCTGTGAAGCGTTCGTCTGCAAGGCGGTCAGCGCTGTACATTTTGAGGTTGCTGCGAAGGGGAGATCGATGAAGCATGAGAAATCACGGCCCGGTTGGTGTTGCACCGCATACACTTGTCGGCGTAGCTGATTGTTCAAATTGCGGCGAGGAGTCACCGCCCAGCGCAAGTCATGGCAGTGTACTAAGTAGTGAGGTGTGGGACATTGTAGGTGGTGTTGTGAATCGGAGCGAGACGCGCCGCTGTCCCCTTCCACAGCTTTGCAAAGACCATCGTCATCCGGCCCGTGCGTTCGCGCTAGCCACAGTGTGCATCCGCAGGAGCTGCCCAACTGTCAAATACTCAACTCGCAACCTTTGTTATGTCTTATGCTGTGAAGTCATCTACCTGCTTTTCCCTGCCAGGAGTCTCCAAACCTCTCCCGCATCTATAGGGCTGCACAGCGACTAGCAGGCATCGCCTTTGCCGTGTCTCTAGTCATATCAAGCTGATCTCTGAGCTATGAGCACTCCAACGACGCTTAAGCTGCGCCTTTCAAAGCTCTTACACTGGGTCTTAGTAGGGAATATTATGTTGCTCTCATGTCAATTTCAAGTGTTACATGTCGTTCATTTCTTTCGCCTCTTTTTCACAAGAATCACGCACGTCGAACTTAGAATCAATTCAGCTGCATATGCACTTTCCTCATAGAACTGAAAAGTGACCCGTGTCGCTGATGGGCTTTTGTCATTCACTTTTGTCGTTTATCCCGCCAAGACAGTAGTGGGATGGTTCTCCAACCGGCTATCCAGGATGCCCGTCGTTGGCTGCTTCACCAGTGACTGTTCATCCATTTCTTCGCCTCCTGTCCAGGATCTGTTATCTGTTCAGTAGAGAAGAGAATTGGAGTGTAGGATATTACTATCTTCCACTGGAACTTCTTCCCAAATACTTCGTAACCACTATTTGTCGCTGGTGGGCACTGAACTGTCTACTCTGTTGCGGCAGACGTAGCCGCTGTATAGTCGATGGAAACTGCGCTGAGTTGCTTGCTAGCTAGGAGGCGACCATATATACATGCCCTGAGACGTGCTAGTCCAAGGTGGTCAACAGAGGTGACGATCAAGGCCTGTCGGACCGACTTGCACCGCAACATATTCCGTTGTTCCACCAGGATTGGAAGAATGGAAGCCGCAGAGGTGCATGTCTAACGTTCTCTTTCACATCCTTCACTTACGCAGGTCACTGCACCTTCGCGCATGATGTACTCGTCTGATGTCCGTTTGTTCTTTCCTCACGCGTGGACGGGCGCACTCGCACAAATAAAAGCGCAAAACTCCCCGCGCCTTCAGACCATCCTTTCTACCTTCAACTTCGTATGTTGACTCCACTTTCAATGCAATCTTCCACCGTCTCACATCCACGCTATCCCATACTATGAACCGGACTCCCCCCGCTCTCGGCGATACTGGTCACCCTGAAGACCGCGTCATTCGCATCGTCAACCTCTGCCATGAGGCTGACGGTGAGAATGTCCGCGACTTCTTCGGCGATGACTTCACTGTCATCGACTTCATGCGGGGCGTCAAGTACGTGCTCCTTGCAACAGAGCAAGAGCGTATCAATGCGCAGGCTCTATCCGGCGGGAAGATCCTCGATCGTGAGGTCAATGTCATCCGCGCCCAAGGCTGATTCCGTAGTGAGTACTACATGTTTAACAGCTTTACGAGGAAAGTAGCCTAACCTCTTCCAAAACCTCCGCAGCTGGCGACAAGCTCCTACCTCCTAGCAATGACAAGCATGCTCGAGCCTTCAGCGCTGATGAGCCGCGTGATGAAGTTCCTCCTGCTGTTGGTGACGTTGAGGCATTCTCTTTACTGGGCATGGCGGCGATCCCTCGCGTGGCACCTCGTGCGCTCACCACCGCACCGACTCGCAAATCAGCCGGCACAGCAGCGCGCTATGCAAAATCGACTCTTGTTCATGAACAACGTCGATCAAGGTCCTGAGGTCAACGAGACGTCGTTCCGTCGATATTTCGGCAAGTACGCGGTCATCGACGTGAAGCGTCCGCTTGACCCGCGTAGCAATACGCCGCATCCTACAGCTTTCCTCATGTTCTCATCTGCTGAGGACCGTGACGAAGCGCTCCATTCGCTCAATAACGTGCCCGTGCAAGGTTGCAAGGTTGCTCTGGAGGTACCCAAGACGCTTCAGAATGGTAAGTTGTTTTCCAGCTTGTCACTTTCGGGATGCATGAAGTTATGCATGCCGTGATCATGTGTCATCGAACCGATCCCGGATATACTGACATTGGGCACAGTCGACGAATAAGGCTCCTTGCCTACCTCCAACACGAATGTCACCACTTTCTATCTTCCCTCGTGATTCTGTAGCCAGCAGCACTGCTGTCGATGTTTCTCTGAGCGGTTCTATACTGTCTAAGCGCTACTAAGCCACTTTCACCAGTGACCGGTAACGGAAAAGAGCAGTAGTGGCTGTGGGCTCCTAAGGCTGAAGATCGCGATTGGAGATGGTGTGTAAGAGGACGAGGTACGTCCGGCGCGCGTGAGGGTGGTGGAGTGGGTTGGAAGTGATGTATTGGGAGCAAGAACTGCGACCCTATCGTTTGCGGTAGGTCATTGAAGGGTATTATGTCTTTGAAATTCGATACGGAAGTGCAGTGCTGAGGGCCTCCATCGTGAGGTACATCGTGAGGTGCATTATAGCCAAGACCGTGTATTAACGTGAAGTATCAGATCTGCACACTGAATTTTGGCATCTTCTATGCGGGCTTCAATTTGTGCGGATCGTCATCTTGGGCTCATGGGCTTCGCCACCAGCCAAGACAAGATCGACCATGTTGCTGGAACTTCGTGCTGATGCATATATGGCATTATTAGACAGAAATCTGTACTCATGTTGGTGTCCGGATTGGAGCATCAAGGGTGCAGTGACGAGGGTACAGTGGCGCTGTCAGTCGCTTTTGACCATGTGTGGTGTGTGGCTGCGACCGAAAGCTGAGATGGCGATGTTAGACCAAAGCAACAATAATCGTTCCGAGGGTGAGGTCACAGACACTACCTCCATTGAATTGCGATGGCTTGAGTACTGTGGCAGGTATGTTATCAATAGAGATACATGGTCACATGTACAGGCGAGCAGCAAGCCATCCCAAGGTCACAGCAAAGAAGGCAGATTTGAGAGAACGTCAAAGGTTCTGATGCCAATCATTGTCTATCATTCTTAGAGCGTGTATCATTACAAAAATGCGGTATATCCATGCCGAAACAATCGACTATCGCTGAAAAGAAAGAGGGTATTCGTAACCTGTGGACAATTTTGTAGATGCAGAAGATCAAGCATTTAACCGAAGTGAGGCGCGTTGAGTACAATACCCATAGCAAGACCACCGATGGTACCTGCAATAGGAATGGTCATGATCCAGGAGAAGACAAGGAGACCAACACGCTGCCAGTTGACAGCCTTAATGGTACCGTTGCAAAGACCGACACCGACGGTAGCACCAGTGATGCACATGGATGTCGAGACTGGGAGCGAGTATTGCGAGAAGATCAGGACAGTGAGCGCAGCACCCATCTCCATGGAGCAGCCACGCGAAGGCGAGTGGTAGGTGATCTTGTTACCCATGACCTTCATGATGTTGTATCCGTAGGTGATCAGACCAAGAGACAGGGTGGCGGAGAGAACAGCCAACTGCCAGATGGGTACGGGCGCCTTGGACTGGGCGGCATTACCAGTGTTCCAGGCAGAGTAGATGACGGCCCAGGGACCAACAGCGTTACCGATATCGTTGGCACCGTGAGCGAACGAGGCGGTGCAAGCAGTGAGAACTTGGACGAAGGAATAGGTGTGTTCGACCTCGTTGGAATACTTGGGGGCATGGGCGTAGACGCGCTCCATGCGGCGACCCTCAGGGGTACCGTGGATACCGGTCTGGGCAGCGTGAATGTCATAGTTGGCACCGTAGAGCGCACCGACGACGATCATGGCGGGGACGCGCTTGACAGTGATGATCATGTTCCTCTTCTCATAGATCTCGCCAGTCTCGATCTTGTTCTCGTGGAGGTAGCGCATAGCCCAACCGAGAAAGCCGCTCTTGTTCCTGAGCTTAGCGTGGAAGCGGTCCTGTCCCTGCTGCATGAGCTCCTTGTAGCTGAGTTGGCGGTCTTCTTGTTGCTCGTGGACAATGGCAGTCTTCTCGTGGTCGACAGGGGTGATGTCGTCAGAGGAACTGTCAGACTTCTTCAGCTCGGGCTTGTGGGCCTCATCCTCATGCTGGACTACAGCATAGTCGGGAACGCGGGCAGCCTCAGCACCCTCAGGGGAGGGGCGGCGGAAGAGGAGAGGACCCTGGAACATGTGGTACCAGCGGACGGTGTGATCCCTCTTGACGACCTTGGCGTAAAGGTAGGGGACGAAGAGCAAGAGGGCGAGCACGGCGAGACCAACACCGCAAGAGACGGTGACAGTAGCTACATACCACGCAGGCTTCTTGTTGAGACCAAGGTTGGGAGATCCCTTGTAGACGACGGACAGAGTACAGATGGTACCAGCGATCAGGAAGAAGAAAGGAGCAGTCCAGATAGCCCAGGGAACTGGGTTCTTGCGGAGATGCACGATCGTCTTGATGAGCATGAATATAATGGCACCGAAGCAGGCGGAGGCAGCGGGAGCCATTCCAAGACCAGCGAAGATAGCACCAAGACCTTTGCCCTTATTCCATCCCCACTGGACATTCTTAGCACCGGCGACGGCGACACCGACACCAGCAACCGAGGAGATGAGCGAGTATGAGGAAGAGACGTGAGCAGAGTGACGTGTGCACCACATGACCCAGATAGAGGCACCAGCCAAAGCGCAAGTGAAAGCAAGCATCTGGACACCGGCATCGTTGCGGAAGGCAGAGTTGGGGATGATTCCGTTCTTGATGGTATCGGCGGTACGGGCACCGACAGTGATGGCGCCGACCATCTCGAAGATGGTCCCTAGAATCATGGCCTGGCGGTAGGTGACGGAGCGGGAAGAGACAGAGGTAGCCCAAGCGTTGGCAACATCGTCTGAAGTGATGGTCAGATATTACTCCCTTGAAGGTGGGGGTGAGAACACTTACTAGCACCGTTGTTGTAGGCATCGAGCATAGCAAAGAACGTGCCAATGGCGAAGACATAGTTGTACTGTGTGAGGCGTGCCATTGTGTTGGTTGTTGTCTGCAGGCACGCAGGTATGTAATGTAGTACTCAGCTGGAGTGGAAATTGCTGGCTGAAGAAATGGACAAGGGGAGTCTGTGAGACCCTATATATGCACGCAACGCTTCTGCTGCGGCTTTTAGGCTGCTCGTGTCGACGCTGTTCGTGGTACCGCCTGCTGTAAAATCCTAGTGTTCCAGCCGGATCAGCCCTGGTCGCAACTCGGGCTAGAGGCGTATATTGGGGCAGCCACCAGCAGCCAGTCCATCATCTCTGCTGTTTGCACGCGCTCAGCCACTCAGCATGCAGGTTTCAAGGGCGAAAGACTTCACACGTTGTTGCGTAGATGGCTCTCATTGGGCGGAGTGTCCGCTCGGGATCGCTGAGACTTGGCATCAAGGTAACCTCCTTCACTGGCACTAGCGTCCTGACCTCAAGCTTCGGAGTGGAATCTTGGAGGTCGATGGAGCATTTGGAGCTCGCAAATAGGCAGATGGACCGCTGCTGGGGCTCGGCGCCCAGACAGGAGGCGTTGAAGAAGGAACTAGCGGACTTGGCCAGCGAGCATGCGGAGAGCCAATCAGCGACCCCACGTGGGCCACGTTTGTATTTGAACCGTTCGGTCTCCTCCACGCTGCGCTGCTTTGATGGCTGACCGCGCCCCAGTTTCGTGACATTTTTCACATTGGCAGTCCGCGTGCTTGGATTTGCCTTCCAGAAGCGCGACGCAGCGCTACCGTCGGGCCTCAACGTATCCTCGGGAGGGACTTGTGATGGCTGCAGCCAGGATCCGCGATATTGAAAGAGGCGAATGGGGCGACGCAAATAAGACGAAACTCAATTCGACATTGATGGTGTCGACACCGAATTTGTACGGACGACTGGAACGTGCAGCCGAGTTGTCAGATCAACCAACAGCAGTCGCGTATCCGACCACCTGGTCCCCTTGGTGAACCTCGAGTACGGATTCGGTACAAGACCGCTTCCAAATTCGACGTTCCTGGAGCTGGACCCTGATGTTATGGAAGGCTCAGATATCACCAACCCAGAATCCATCGACAGAGCATCCCGCACAAATGGTTTTGGGCGTGGAGCCATCGACGCTTTCCAGCTCGGGACTGCATGGTGCATGCACGATTATACCCAGCTGAGGTTTGTGTCACAATCTATCTGACCTTAGGGCTGCCTGCCGGGTCTAAGGAGATGATGAGCAGCTGTACCACGGTGGTAGCACTGCTGGCTGCTCTTAACACTGGCGGCCACCATGAGGCAGATATCTCTGACCGTAGCGCGGATGCGCTCCACGTCATCGATGTAAAAGAACTTGTTCGATCTATTTCACGATGTCGCATATGATCAAGAGGAGAATTTCCGCCACACATTGCGCTCTTTTATTCAATGGAGGCCTGCGATGTCCGTGATAGACACGCCATGACCCGCAGCATAGGCATAGTCTGACTTGGCACAGTGTCCAGATGAGTTGACTGCCCGTCTGTAGAGGACGCGCGTGATGTTGATCTTGCAGGGTTACCGAAGCTGGCGTCTAGCTCCTGATGCGGTTCGAATGGTGCGCCCGGAAGCCATTGATGGCATGGCTCAGGATCTGCAGCACACCTCGAAGGGGAGGTAGTGAAAAGGAACACGTGCGTCGACCACCTGGAAAGGTTGTCTGTGAGCATTTGACCGCGCTCTCAATAGCCTTGCTTGGTAAGGATTACTGGATCCATACAGCGTAAGGCCTCTATAGTCAGGAGAAGAGTGTCTCTCTGTCAGACGGTTACTGGCTATTGACTGCGAATCTTTGTTGCGAGCGATTTGCGTCCCGGGCTTGCATAGATGTTAATGGAGGACGCCTTGTCTCTGAGCAGACCAGACATTTTCGGTGGAACATCCTCACACAGCCTGCACAAGGCTGACCGGTTGCCGCATTGCAAGACGGTAGGCTTACCGCCCTCTGCAGTGTCACCGAGATGTCGCAACGTCGCGAACGGATGGATGGTGATGAGACATATGCAAACGGGTATTAGCTTGCCAGCGAGCTTCAACAACCCGAAATCGTCAGGACCGCGCTACCGGTACAGGTACCTAAATGCCAAACCGCCTTAGTTCGGATTCAAGCTGCAAAGACCGGTGCCTGGAAACCAACAACATCAGAGTGCACACAATAAATCATCATCAAAAAGCCAAATAAACTCTGCAACTCAAGCATACGACACTCAAATCGAACTCTTAAACACTGGCAGTACCCTGTCGCGCGTCGTCGACACAAGCTCCCACCCCCGGTCTGTACGGCTCGGTCCCCAAGACCCAGCGCGGCCGACTTCCGTCTTCGCCCTCCACATCCTTTGCAACCCACAACGACCTGATTATGCTTTCATGAGCCTTGGAGATATTCTTGTCGATCTGCTGAAAGCACGGGTGCTTACTGGTTCCCGTTGTACGTGCGCGAACCCTGGAGACCTGTTGGAGCGGATCTGGCAGAGCGAGAAGCTCCGATGCGCCTTCGTACACAGCTGTACATGAGCATAGCTCCTACCTCCATAATCAGCTATACGGTACTGACTGCAGGGAGAACCTTCGTGAGACCTGCATGTGTGGCTAGAGATCGGCTATGTTCGTGTCTGCAGTAGCCCTCGAGGTAAAAGCGTGGCTTTCATGTCATTACACACCTTGGATCTGCAGATCACCTGGGACAAGCTTCTCGTGAAGCACTCTACAAATCCGATCACTCATCATGTCGGGTCTAGTTGAACAACGTCCATTCACTTTCGGACTCGACACATGATCCACCCACAGCCTTATATTTCACATTGCCGCTCCTATCATTTCTACGGACAGCACGGAGCGACTGATTGATGGGATAATTGATTGGCACCAATCAAGTTATGAGGAGCTTGTTACGGTACGGTCGAGCCCTCTCATCTCGACTTTTATTTGTGATAACGAGTATTGGGGCCGAGCATGGGTCACGCAAGAGATCACTCTAGCGAAAAAGATTATTCTGTTTCTCTACAACAAAGCAGTCAGCCTCGCACAACTCTTCAACAGCATGCGATCGTTCTACCCGCTGACTGACGTCGACTTCCGGCAAAGTGCATTCTTCCAACACGCTTCCACCGAGGTCGATACGAAGATCTGCATAGGCGAGCATGTGATCTTTCCCCTGAGCCACTTTCGCAGAAAGCATTGCGGCTTTACGCGAGACCGAATGATTTCGTTGCTTTATTCGTGCTCGCCGGAGTCGCGTGTACCTGTCGACTACAATTTATCAAGTCTTGAACTAATGCAAACGCTTCTAGACAACTGCGCAGGGTCACTATGTATATGCGACGTTCTAGTCGTCGTACACAGTCTGGACCTCGTCAAGAATCCGAAAGATGATAAGTGCCTAGTACAGCGGACTTTCGGGCAATTCTTCGTGGGTATCAAGGTTGAAGACTTTCAGCTCCAACCTACGTATTAAGGACTTCTTGGTTACTGCTCGCCACTGCGATGCCGACATTACAAACAATGCCAGAGTTCTGGAAATTTCCTCGATCGATTCACCACAATCGCGATGGAGACACTCTACTAGACAAGTTTCCTCAACAAGAAAGCTCGGTTCCAACCAGAGTTCGCCGAAATACATTGGTTACCAGAAGATGGATACGAGCGAGGCTATCAAGATGATATTCGCAAGCGACGGCAGACTTGCCACCATCGAACCCAGCAAAGACTCAGGGACCTTCACCATGCGAATCTCGATGAATTTCCTTACGATATTACTCCCTCAGCCTGCCTCAATCTGCGTCCGCTCCTCCCCTACAATAAGAACAGCCACCTCTGCAGATGAGGGAGGAACCATCAAACCCGAGCCCACAGGAAGGGAGCCTGGCCATTCAAAGTCGCTATGGGTTAAAGATCCCGGTCAACAATTTCGATACAGTCTCTGCAAAGTTGGCAAGCGTCACCGAGAACCTTGCTCTCAATAGCTGCGCCCATAAAGGATGCGTGCGTTCATCGTATGCAAGATATCACGCTCAGACTTGTCAATATGCGAACATCACGTCAATACGCACTCAGCTGCACGCCAGGCAACGTCTGAGTCTGTCTCCGTAGTCCTACACGCCAAGTCGGTACAGCACAATGGTCATACATTCTCAGTGCTAGTTTCCGTCGTCTGTCACGATCTTCGGTGTCTATTGCTCCTCTTCACACTTGTCAAATAATAGAACAAAGATGGAAAACACCTTCACTGGAAGTCGCAGAGTCTACAGGTACCTGCCGCTTGACCACGATCAAGCATCTCTTTGTTTGCTCAAGGTACCACAAGACTTGTCACCTAGTGGATACATCCAATGTACGATCACCCAGACGACCATCGAGCGCGCCGCGTACTTTTGCCTCTCTTAATAGTGTGGAAACCACTACCCACCCATGATTTTCTGGTTGATGATGGCACAGTCAGTATAGCAAGAACGTATTCGTCTTCTTTAACAAGTATCGCACCAAGCCACAAGCATCCAGCATCATTCGGATCGACGCCTTCCGCATTGACCAAACGGTCGTACAAGAACGAAACACTAAGTCGTAGAGATAGAGTAGATATATCACAACGCTCAGCTGGTGCCAATTTGGCTCGGAACATGCCTGTTCTTAATGCCAACCATCCACCGCCTCAGATGCTACAGAGACCGAGCTTCGAAGATCATAGCATTCTCAACTTAGTCTCCGTGGAATCCTGCTCATCCAACAGTAAGTAATAGAACCGTGCTTGGACCTGTCATAAGATGCTGGCTTTCGACGTCCTTCCGCCCGGCCGCTGTCAATTTATGCCAACTGCGTTGAATAGGCCAACGTTTGACAAGGAACCGTCAGGTCATACAGATGGGCGAGGTCACGGCGAAAGCCATGTATCTACCAGGATCAGAGAAGAAGACATTCACTCCCAACGATACAAGATGAAAACGACAAAGCATGCGCTTCAGGGAGCTGAGGACAAGGCACCTAGGTCGCAAAGCACATGGGCCGTCTCGATTTCAATGATGTCAATATGTCTTCTCTCCTCCTGCTGTAATGGATTGTTTCATGAATCGACAATGAAGAGCAGCGCTGCCAAGCGTATCATCGACACTGACGCCGACGCGACCGAGTCAACCACTACCACGCCATGAAGCTCAGAAAACGTCGTGATACACGTCGTGGTGGCAACCTGATATCTGAACGAGCAATGCGCGGACCATGCATACCTTGAAGCTAGTCAAAACCGATACCAACGCATCCCATATCGAATCGGAACAGTACTTGCTTTAGGCTCAGACCGTGTGCTATCCACGCTGAGGGGTGTTTTCTCGAATTACTCTACATGTCCGACACATCCATGCACTCGGTCATCCCTTGTGCCGTCCCTGCCCACTTCCTCGCACAATGGCCTATTTCCGCGGCAGCTCCCAAAACACCCTCTTAAAGATCTTCTTACTATTAAACAAATTGACCAGCCTCAATCTCTCATTATCCAAATGCGCACTATCGCTCGCCTGGCCACATGGCAAATGCGCCGCAGGCGCACCAAACTCCTTCTCCAAGAACCTGATGCTCGGGATACTCCCGCCCTCGCGAATGAAGAGCGGCTTGACCGCTGTCGACATCTCCTCCTCATCGATTTGGTCGGAACGATGGGCGGTCGAGGGGCGCGATACGGGTAGGTCCGCGTCCGAACCGTTGGCGAGCGTGTTCGAGGTGGCTGGGGAGGATTTGACAGGGCTGAGCGGTGTGAGCGGTGTGAGCGGTGAAATCTGGTGGGTCAGTGCGTTCGCTTGCGACGAGCGGCGGGTCGAGAGCGTGGGGCCCCAGACATCGGAAATGGCTTGTTCTAGAGTCTGGAAGATCTCGTTGGTGTAATCGCCGAGCCAGGGCTCGGCTTGGTGGTCGATTGTGACTTTGAGTTTGTTCTTGCTGTCGAGGTCTTCGAATTCGTCGGCGAGGAAGGACTGTAATGACGCTGCTACTTCAGATGCTTCCTGGTTAGGCACCAGGCGGACGGAGAGTGCTGCTTTGGCGAGGCGGGGGATGATGGTCGAATTTTCGGGGCCGGAGGTTTGGAAGCGGTGGATTGTGAGGGAGGCTTCCCGCCACCTGCGCATGAGTGACTGTGCGAGTTCCTCAGGATCGCCAAGATCGGGATTATTGCGCAGTAGAGTTTGTGTGATCTCCGTATAGAGCTCCTTCTCTCCTTCCGCGAGTGGAAGGATAGGATCGTAGAAGCCCGGGATCTGGACTTTGCCGTGACGTCCAGTCAGCTTGGACAGCAACATGACGAGATCCTTCAGAGGTTCATCGAGCAGCGCACTACCGTCGACACCACTGTGCAGATCTGGATGCTCACTCTCGACCTGGACCGTGGCGTGTATGACGCCTCGCAGACCGTAGGTGATGCAGGGTACATGATCGTCGAGCCAGTAGCTGTTCGCCAGTAAGATCCAATCGATGTCGCCAATCAGATCCTTCTTTGCTTGCACAGCCTTCTCGAACCCTCGGGAGCCGCTTTCTTCCTCGCCTTCAATGAGGAAGATGATGTCAGCATCGAGACTTTGTTCGTTGGCAAGCTCATGTGCGGCATATATTGCAGCCATGATAGGTCCCTTGTTGTCAGAGACACCTCGCCCGTACAAATATCCGCCCTCGCCCGTCAGCGAAAACGGGTCGTGTTTCCACTTGCCGTGCTCGTTTTCCGCGGGTATGACATCGTAATGACCGTAGAAGAGGATCGTCTTGCGCGACGCTGCTGTTGCAGGGTTGCCTCTAAATTTGGCAAAAACGATAGGATTATACGGCTCGCTGGTGTTGAGCATCTCAGTCACGGCACCGAAGTTCTGGAACACAGACCGCAAGTAGGAGGCGCCTCTCCGACAATCCGCGCGGTACTTGGGCAGCGACGAGACAGTACGGAAGTTGACGAATTGGCTGAGCGACTCTACCATGAGATCTGCCCTTCATCAGCTCAGCCAGTAAGGATGAAGTAGGTGTACATACCGTTGTTGCTTCTTCTAGCAGCCGCCATGGGCTCTGCGCAATCCCGTACTTCCCAGATGACGATGGTGTTGTCATTCCCGCCGGTCACCAGGGTCGGCTTGTCGTTGTATTTCGTGTACGCAGATGCAAGGATCAGGCCGTTGTGCGCTTTGAAGGTCGACATGGTCTCGTAGTGTTCGTTGAATTTCTGGGAGTATGAGCAAACGGATCTGATCTCTCAGCAATGATCGACTTACATGCACAACACCAGACTTTCCACCGGCGAACAGGACGCCAGCGCCTAGTGTCAGAGTGTGTACATCTCCAGTGTTCGCTTTCAGACTCCTGACCAGCTGGCGCGTCTCCAGATCCCAGACATTCACTTCACCGTCGAATCGCCCGCTGTAGAGGAAGGAGCCTTCACGAGCCAGGGACAGAATCGACTCGCCCTCTTCCCTGCCATCCTCCAATGCGCAAATGCTGGTGATCAGACCGCCTCTTGTGGGGTCTATCCGCCATAGCAAAATGCGGCCGTCACCTCCTCCCGAGACCAGCACTTCTTCCGAGGGTGCTTCAGGTAGGATCCCCCTGCCAAGCAGCATGCAATGTACGTAGCCAAAGTGAGCGAACTGGTAGATGTCCTGGCTGTCAATCTGCAGCTCCTGGCCCCCCACGGCGTCTCGTGGCTTCGAATCTGCGCCAAAGGGCTTCGGTGTCTGCGCGCCGCCGGGACCGAGCGAATCGAAGAATCGGTTCTTGCGCTGGGACGGATGCGAAGCGAGCGTGGGCCGCGGGCGGGCGTCCTTCTCCTTAAGATCGTACCATTGTATGCTCGTGTTCTGGGCACCGAGGTAGACTGTGCGGTGGAAGGACGAGTACGCGACACAGAAGATGTCGCCGATGTCGTAGGGCGACCAGAGGGCGTAGAGATGGCGGAAGCCGGAGGTGCACCAGACCTGCCGGTTAGCACGTGAGCATGTTCAAGTGGGTGAGGGGGGTTCCTACATTTATGATCGGGTCTGTCGCACTGGAGAAGAGCAGCTCCTGGTCTTGCGACAGGCAAAGGCCAAGCACGCTGCCTTTGTGCGCCTGGATGACTCGCCGGCGCTCGTACGTGTCGAGACTGTAGACCTGGGCAAGATCAGCATGGTTCATCAGTGTGCTCGTCTCTTCCACCCTACCAGGATCTCTCCTCCCTGCGTGCCGGCGAAAATGTACTGCGAAGACACGGTAAGCGCGAGGATCGACTTGTCGTGCTGCATGCGATGGGACAGCGCCGGCGTGCGGTTGTCGCGCGGCACTCCCTCGCCAATGACATTGCTGCCCGAAGTGCTTCTCTCGTAGCTCGGCGACCCTGTCATGGACATTGTCAGCCAGGCCTCACCAGAATACCTTCGTGGTGCATCGTGAAATCGCGGAGGGACTTGTGCAGACAAACGCTGCAATGACGGAGGTCCCAGGGTCCATTCGCGTGGCAGCGACCCCGCCGCACTAAGAACCGCCGACAGCTGGCTCTCCCCTGGCCGCATCGTCTTTGCTCACCTCTCAATCCTATCGTGCCCTTTGCACTGTTCGCCGTGTCCTGCGACGTGAGGGAGCGCGCGTACTGACACATGCTGACGGCCCTCCCTTGGCCGCTGCACGCCGACAACAGTGCGAAGGGGAAGATGGGCGATGACTCGTTATCTGCGGCTGCTCGTGGCCAGATGGGTGCTTCTTTCAGGTGACGATATGCTGGAAGAACGGCCTCACCGTCGTCAAGGGAGGTGACAGACGCAGATTCATGTTCACTCGCTGTCTCCTCAGGGGAGCTTGAGCCATGATGCTCGGACATGGTAACATCTCACCGCTCTGGATATGGCGAGCGAGGTCCCTTGAATGGTGTGATCGCCTCAGGACTGAGGGATGGCAAAGCACAAAGCAGGTCGATATTCCTAGCCAGGAGCCGCAGCTGCATGTTTCTTTATCGTGATTGCCTTTTCGCTGCTTGTTCCGGGACCAGCGCACGCAGTCACGCATGTTGTACATCTTAGTGGTGGGCAGGCACGTCTGGCACCGCGTCGCTTTTGCATTGGCTGGCACAGTGAAGAGGCACAAGACACTGGCGATGCTACCTCGTGTCGAGGCTGCAGAGGACATGCTCGGTGTTTGTGTTTGACACTTGAGTGGTTCACGAGATGTGTGGACGCTCGAGTGGTTACACAGATCTCGTGAACAGGTCGCCCGCAGCTCTGCTGCTGTCGTGCATGAGGCTGCCGTGGTGCCGTGGTAATTACCGGTAGGCTTGCGGGCCGCCACGCATGCTGCTTGACGTTTGATGCCCTGATCGTCGGCGTCGTTTGGCGTCGTTTCGAGCAGCCCTCTGTTTGGACGAACGAGGAAGGGTCTTCAACACGGTCATTCTCTCGGACTCCACTGATTGACCACTTTAATTGTGACTGCCCGCGGCCGTGAGTCAAGTCGCGGAGACCGGGCACTATTTGCTCGTTGGGCTATGGTGCGGTGTGTCTTCTTCAGCAGCGGTGATCTTGAGTATCCTAGTATGCCTTACATTCCCACATCATCAAGACTTCAGAGTAGTCCAGCCCGCACCGCCACAGTGGCTGAACAGGTTTTGTAGACTCAGGTGGTACTATGCGGCACTATGTATGCGCTCAGCTGGCATGGACCTCTGCTTAGCGAGACCCGCGGCCCAGCCACCCTTTTGTAAACCATGGCGCCGATCTGCCAACACGCAGCGAGAGTGCCGCTGGGTGGCCTTTTGGGCAGCAACGACCATGTCGCCGCACGCGTCATGTCCGAATCTGCTGCACTCTGTCATCAGCGTGCGTGAGATGCCTCACCGTCGACCAGCCCCCCGGGGACACGTCTGGCAGTGTTCTCTAGGGCTACAGCCGCATTTTCCGTTGCTGCCTGCGATTCGCAGCGTTACGCTGGCCGCAGAAGGGCCAGTCTAAATGGAGGCGAGCTTGGATGTGCCTGTGAGCTGGCGACACGCCAACAAACCACGCTGCGGCCTGCAGCGCCCGCCTTCCCTGGCTCCATTTGCCGCAGACCGACGAATGCCTGCGCGCGACGTCGCACAGTCACGATAGAGCACCCGCGGGCAGCGCCGTGACTGGAACCGTCTCGGCCCTCAATTCTGGCCTGTCAGCGCCGTTGCCGTGTACCCCTCGTCCCACTGGCTCGCTGTACCTATGGGCCTGCTTGACGCCTCACTCCACGTGTACCCCTCTGCCTCCCCTTCCGTACCCGAGCCCCATTGTGAACTCTGAATAAAGACCGCTCCTGTCCTACCGCCAGTGTGGCATTCCATGTGGAGCTGCGGAGTGCACGAGCAAGGCTACCCGCTTCCGAGCATTGATGATTCCTGACCGCCTCGACCTTGGGTAGATCAAGTACTGTGCGCGCCGCCGTTGCACGTCAGACGCTGTACAACACCATCCTAACGTCGCAGTGCAGCTGCAGGGCAAGCATCGCTGCATTCAGTCGCCATGGGAGTCGGAGAGACCATCACCGTCATCAACAAGTCGGGCAAAGTCGTGAGCAGCGTGGGTGCACCGTAGCCGGGCCAGCACGAGCGTCACTAACGACCCCACAGAGCAAGCACGTCTTCAGTGTCTTCAAGGAGGCCAAGGCTGCCTACCGCGAGCGCAAGGCTGAGATCAAGGCCGAGCGCGATGCTGCCGTGCGCGAGAAGAAGGCCTTGAGCAAGGGCGTCGAGGCACTACGCGATGAGGACGACGTTCAGTCGCACGCATCCTCGCGCCGGTCCTCGCACTCCAAGGCCACGCACCGCTCCAAGTCACATCATCAAAAGTCACCACGTCCTGATGGACGACCCCCACTAGAACGGGGCTACACAGACAGCTTCTACGCAAACGACCGGAGCCCGCGCACCAGCCGCCATCGATTCGACGATGACCTTGCCGGAAGCGCCCGTGATGGGCACATGAGGGAACTTGTCCGGAGAAACTCGGACCAGGTCGCACGCTCATCTCGCCATGCCAAGCGCTCAGAACCCTACGTCGACATGGACCTGGCTTATGGCGACGTACCTCCACCTCTGCCTGACAAGAAGTACGAGGATGCCGAGCTGAAGGAGAAGGCGTCGAAGATCACCATGCTCCTGGACGAGGCCAATTGTCTACAGTACTCTGCAACTGCCATGATCGAGAACCTGCAGAAAAACCCCGATGCCCTCGCTGCCGTTTCCCTCACCCTCGCCGAGATCAGTGCAATCGTGAGTAAGATGGGCCCTGGGGTTCTCACCACTCTCAAGGGTGGCTTCCCCGCTGTCGCCGCCCTGCTCATGAGCCCACAATTCATGATTGCTGGAGGTGTCGCCGTCGGCGTCACCATCGTTGCTCTCGGCGGATACAAGATCATCAAGAGAATCCAGCAAAACAAGGACGAAGAGATGATCATGGGTGGTCCAGTCCAGATGCCCATGTCCATGCCCGTGCCCACGGACGCACGTGCGGCAGAGGAGCCCTACATACTCGACGAGCTCGAGACAAAAGAGCTCAGCCGCATCGATCTGTGGCGCCGCGGCATCGCAGATGTCGAAGCAGAGAGCTCCGGCTGCAGCGTCGACGGCGAGTTCATCACACCAGGTGCCACACGGCAGCTGGTCGATGCCGGCGTTCTTGACGAGGACGACATCAAGTCGCGCCGCAGCGCAAAGATCCGGGACGACAGGAGCGAGCGACCCAAGTCACACCGCGCCAAGTCGGTACGGTCCGATGCCCGCTCTGAAGTGCGCTCCGAGCGCAGCGCGCACACCAGCAAGACCTCCGGTACGCACCGCAGCAAGACCGTCAAGGAGGGCAGCAGCAGGCGCAAAGAGAAGGAGCCGTCGCTCATGAAGACGCTCTTCCGCTCGAAGACGGCCGCTTATTGAGCACCATTACCAACGCATCACCATGACACCACGTCACACTTCAAATTTCATTGCAGCGTTTCGCGTTCATTCTGCATACAGCACCGTTCTCGCTGTGTTTTATATACCATAGACGACAGGACCCACCTCTAGCCCCTATTTCGCATTGATGCATTTTCCTTGGGCATAATGACCGGCGTTTGGGATTGGGGTTCTACGTCATTGACGTTCTTTCACGCCGCTATGTACGCTATCTTGCAATATACGATACGACTACTCAAATTCCTTCGTTTCTCAGACATCTCACGGTTCCTTTATAGCAGTGTTCGCAATGGCCGCAGTAACATATGGCGAGTTAAAGTTGTAGCTTGCATTGTGAAAAGAGAACAGCGTATGTCCAATGATACAGCGAGATCGCAGACGATGCCTTCTAGGAATTACATACACCTCCTCGTTCTCCAGCAACGAGACAAGCTCACTCGTGTTACTCGAATTCTCAGCAGTCACCGACTGCTACCTGAGCCAACAACGGCGTCACGCGACCAGGCGAGTTGAAACGAGAGGATCGAGCGAGCAAGATTGAAGAATGGCCAGTGTCTCTCTAGATCTCGAACGATGAGATCGGGATACACCAGCCGCCGTACTTGATCTTGCAGCTCGAATTGACGTTCTCTGGGGCCGCCCTGCCGAGCGAGTGCGTTGGGTGCACATGCCGACCAGTTCTTACTCTTACAACTGGGACAAGAAAATACTGAAAGTGCTCCTCCAGGTCGCAGAGCTGTGTCCTGCTACGACTGTGTCTGTGAACTCCAACAACAAGTGAAATTCGTAGTGAACCGGCTGTCTGAAACAGCTCATGGCTACCGCGATGAGCTCGGATCTTGGGGTTGGATGGCGGGTGGAATGCTGAGGATATACTCACAGAATCAAATCCTTTGATAGTAGTGGTAGGAGATATGGAAGTGTTGAGCTAGGCGTGAGCGATGGAACGTCGTGCCTGTGTCTTCACAACTACGACTCGCTAGAGTGGGATTGCCTCCACAATTTGTCTGAATGTTTGAGCGTTTGCTCTCTACCGCACAAGGCGTCTCCTTTTAAAGCAAACACGATGATTCAGCGACTGGGATGCCATTGCTATGGATTTGAGTTCGGTCTTCAACTCCTTGATGAAAGGCAACAGTGGCAAGGAATGGGATGTGAGGAGATGAGAGCCCAGAAAGAGCTTGCTGCACGGAATGTTCAGGATGGAAACAAGAGAACCGCACTCAAAGAAGTCACGCCGGCTGCTTGCTGGGAGTGACTATAGTTTGCTCCTTTCTTCTCGTGACAGCTCAACCATCGATTTGATCCAAGGCCGAGACGACTCTGCTCATGCAGAAGCAGCATATGTGCCTTTCGTAAATACTAATCATGCACATTATCCGTCACACTGCAAATAACCAATCCACTCGCCATCTCCATAAAGCCAACCAAGTCCCTCCTCTTCCATCCCATCATCTACTTCTCGCCAGTCTTTGATGGGTCGCTGAGTGCCCTTTCACCCGTTTCCACGCGGTGCAGTGCACTCAGGAGCGAGAGTGAAAGGCGCTGCACCGTGGCCGTCACTGTTCAATCTTGATGGGCTTTTGAGACACGCTTCCACAGTGCTCGCGACTGCCGCGTAGTTGCCTACTGATCAGCAACTCGTCTCTTCACGACGTAATTTCTACGCTCGCCAAATATTGGCCATTCGTCGCGCCTAGAATACCTCGACTTCCTCAGGTTTGCTTTCCTGCTTTACATGAAGGGACTGTACTGACATATATGCAGCGCGAAAGTCTGAGCCACTGCTTTCCCACACTCTCTTTCGTAGCCACAAAGCTCAGTAAATAACTCTACTTGAAGTCAGTCGACTGACTGCGGTGACTACAGTTACTACTATATCGCCATGTGGGCCGCTGCCGCGAAGAAAGTGGCTCCTTCCCTCCCTCCGCCAAAGCCGGAACAACGTCTGAAAGCTTTGGCGGACTTCTACTCAAACAAGTCGGAAAAGGTAATACTCCTAGAGGCCCTTGGAGCAAGCACCCATCTCATGCCTGATACGCCGGCGATAGCAGCTCCTCTCGTCCCGCATATGATTGTCATATGTATCGACACGGAATCCTGGACCAACAACACGGATCTGATGACCGAGCTCGGGATGAATGTCTTTTCGCGCCAAAAGGGACGGGAGGTGAGCACCACCACCGGTCCCGGACCACACGGTGTGAACGTGATGAAAGCGCTCAATTTTTACCACTTCCGCATCGCCGAGCACGCACACTTGCTAACGAACCGAGAAGGTTCTTACGGTCCCCTCGGAAACCGCTTCGGCCAGACCCGGTTCATCACATTCCAAGAGCTGCGTGTTGTCCTGGAGCATTTCTTCAACCAGGATATCGTCTCCGACGACCCTAAGCTGCAAGGATGCAAGCGGCCTGTCGTCCTTATAGGTCACGCTCTGAGGCATGACCTTGAGAACGCCAACAAGGAAGGTCTTGAGTACAACTTTACAAAGTACTCCACGATCGTTGCCAATGTTGATACGCAGCAGTTGGCGCGTCAGACGGGAGTCTGGAACCCACCGGCATACATGAGGACCAATGAGATCGGCCTCCGCGTGCTCGTCGAGGAGAAGCTTAGTTTCCGCCATCTCGACGACCATACTGCCGGCAACGATGCCGCCCGGACGATGATGTGCGGTATTTGGATGTGCCTGCCTGCTGCTCTCACTCAGATCGAGCATCCCGACATGCAGCAGGTCGCCAATGCTGTCGAGAAGCACAGCAGCTTGAACTTGGCAGCACTATATGGTACTGTCGAGCTGTGCGTTCGTTGCGGTGGACGAGACCATTCCGAGGAGGCCTGCACTGTTAGTGTCCAGTGCGCAGCATGCATCCGGTTCGACACTGGACCCAACCGGGACCAGAACGCGGCAAGCCACATTGAGACGTATTGTTACCACACGGCTACCTTCAAGGCCTGGGCACGTCGGTATAAGGATGCATGGCTCAAGAATCGTCAGAAAGGTAGACCGTTCAGCGCCGAGATCTTAGCCGGCCCTGGCCCGGATGCTCATCCCTACTCGACCTGGACGAAGTTTCAGCGTCCTTTCTGGCCGTTGGAGCAGCCGAGCGAGGTCTTGGAGGGCATGGATTTGTCGACGCCACCAGTCGCCTTCGTATATAACCTTCCGTCTGCGCTCGGTGGTCTGCCAGTCCCATCCCATGGCGACTGGGTCCAGCCCGTTCCGCAACTCCCTGCACATGATCCAACCACTAACGGGGCAGCCGCCGGCTCCGTACCTCCAGCTTGGCCGGCTCTTCCTGCAGCGGGTGGCATCCAAGTGCCTTCCGCCGGCACTTGGGTGCCATCTTCACCGGGCAGCTCAACAGCCTGCACAACCACCACTGCCTCGAGCGTCGTTCTTCTAGCATCCAACGGGATATCGATGGCTGCATCTGATTCTGCTCTTCCAGTGCTCGCCACCAACGGCGTGACTGCATCCGCGTGGGATGTTGGTCCTCCGACGCCCAACGGCACTCCAGCTTCAGCCGCAGCATCTTCTCCTCCACCAGCACCCAGTAACAGCGCTGCTCCGGCTCGTGTTGCTGCGAACGAGATTCTCCGTTCTGTCTCGTGCGGTCATGGTAGGGGCGAGCGCGGCCAGGGCAGCGCTATTGTTGGTCTTGGTCGAGGATCGTCTCGAGATGCACGAGGAGGTGATGGTGCAGGCATTGCTGGCACTGTGGGTGGTACCTCGTGGGACCCTTCGAGCGTTTGGTAATATTACCACTTGTGAGATATATCCCAGCGGTGACAAGCATTGTATCGACACCATCTTCTCGTACAGCGTCCGCGGCCTCAGCCTGCACTTGGTTATAACCCCTCTGGGAATCGATCAAGAAGTCAATCTTCACACAGCATAAGAGACAACTAAAGCGGACCAGGAATAACTAAGACTCGCAAGCGCAAGCGGCAAAGAAAGCCAAAGAGAACGAAGACGCACTGCAGATGCTGGAGAACAATAAGCATCGGTACATGGTGTGGCATTCAACCAACGATTAACAACCCTTCAGCGGTTTGACCCTTGGCAACCAGACCCAACCCTTTGCGCAGCCACCTTCCGGCTTTGCTGCTGGATTGGGTTACAGCACCTCTGGCTATTCGCCTGCGCTGGGTTACAGCCCCACTGGCAATCCTGCTGGGTTTAATTACAAATTAGAGAGGAAATAATGACCAATAAGAAACCTATAATAACACTCTTCTCTTCTTCTGTCTGGATGATACTCTGCTGTTAAGTGTCACGCCTTCACTTCTTCACTGCCTCCCACATCTGCTGGCCTCGGACTGTTCTCAAGGACACCCTACTTGATAGCAAGATGCTGCGACCTCTCGACTGAACACTACCCGCAAGACCCACCCTAGCAGTGACAAATACTGCATTAAGAATTTGCTGCTAAAGCTTATCGTTGTTAGGGTTTCTGTTAGCAACTGCAAGGCAGTGCAGAACCTCTACAACACAGGTATTGCTCAGATTAGTACCGTTTGTGGGTCTATAACGTGTCAAAAAGCAGGCGTAGGATCAACAGTAATGTGCTCTGCTGTTACACGCTTGGTTTGTTTTGTTCGTTGCTGCTGTATGCAGAGCCGACGGAAGCATGTCCTCTCTTCCGTTCTTCATGGCAAATCACATTGACTACTTCACAGCACCTCAAATGCGTTTGCAACATGCTTCTTTCCCTTGTGACTCGCTTCAGAAGCTAGCGTGACATATTATGTGCAGTCGCTGCAGCTGGTTATGGTTTTCCATCGTGATGGTCAGCATGTGCCAGGGCATCGAGGGAATGATGTTCTTCAGTGCATGCCGCACTAGCGACGAGTGTGGAAGAATCGTTCGGCAAGTTACGTTCGGCATCTTTCCCTCGAGCACGTTGGATCCAAGATGAGCCATCTCCCCAGCCTGCTCTCATATTAGATTACAATGTATCCTTCTGCATGCCTCTGAGGATACAAATGGTTCTTGTTACCGCGGCGAGTAGATCCATGGTGTTCCCCCGCTGCATGGGTGAATATGCACGGCATTATGCAGCTGTGGTCGAGGGACCGACCCACGCCTGATCGTGAGACTAACACCATCAATGTGCACGTTGTGGGGCGTGACTGACGTTTCGACGGGCAGACTGGTCATCACAGACGAGACCGTTAGTACTTGGAGGAACCTCAGAGGTGCGATATCGAGATCGGGCACCTTAGTACGTTTGTAAGCCTCGGTAGGCACGGAAATACCTGGTCTTACGATTCGTATGAAAAGTTCTCCAGCAAGGAATAAGGCCTCTAACCCACAGATCCATTGCAAGTGTTAGCAAGCATGGCGTCTCAGAAACGGCTCCACCTCAAATCTTCCATGCAGCCCTTTCGCTGCAAAATGGCGCCTGGAGATGTACCGGGGCTAATGCAGAGGCGAACCCCAACTTCAAGCGTCTCGACCTTCACTCGCGAGCTGGAGAGGGAGACTTCGACGCCTTGTTCATGGCCGATCACCGCGCGGTCCTCTCCGAAATACCTTCTATGCACGAGCGAGCCACACGGCGAGAGCGTCGGTGCTGGCTTTTGCTGTTAAAGAAGGATTGGCTATTTAACGGTCTTGTCGTTGCTGGAACCACAGAGGGTATTATGGATGAGTAGATCTTGGCCATTCGATTGACCTGGTGGCCTTTCTCGTCGACGTCGGTCTGGTTGGTGCATGCATATCTGGTCGATGCAGAGCCAAGCTCAACAACATGTAGCATAGCGACTCGCTATCAGGAAGTCGTACAGGTTACTGCGGACTGACCACCAGCCTGACTGGCCAGGTGCACACGTCAAAAGCCGGTTTTGCGGGTCCCCAAGTAGGTATAGGACCGTGCTGTGGAGCCATGCTCATAGTCTGAGGGTACCATGTCCAAGCCCTGCAGATGCTTCTCAGCCTGGTGAAGCTTGCGAGTGCCTTTTGTGTAATTGTGATATCAACGGTCGACGATAAGACACACTACTGGGGCTGCTGCTATCTTGGCTGGGCTGGGTCTGCACTTAGTCATCCAGGCTCCCGGAGAGCGCGATTGACATGACGGCATGCGCAATCACAGGCGTCCTAGACAATCATGCCAATCTCTCAACAACAATTTCCCTTGCCCATGAGCTTGTTATTTACCTGCGACTACGGCTGAAGCCTTGATTCCGTGCTCGCATACAGCACCTCGTCGCGCAAACCGCGCACACGCCGCCATCATGATAGGCACCTCGATTCCGCAATACATGCTCATTCGAACCTGCATCCTCGGCTTCCGTCTGATCACGCCCCTCGCCATCTTCTACGTATCCTTCAGTCTCGCTGAGCACCCGACCTCGGCCGGCGGGCGCTTCTTGCTCGCATGGAGCATCATCGAAGCCCTGTTCTGGCTGCTCGTCTACATACCCCGCAAGCGCGCGCTGCAGGCCTCGGCACAACACCCGCCCGTCCTCGCCAAAGAGGACAGGAAAGCGCTGTTCTGGAAGTGCTGGGATAAGGTACCACATCCGGAGTACTACGTCAGCCGGTGGTTTCTGGGCGCGAGGTCTGGCGAGGTGCGCAGGGAGAATGTGAAGGAGTTCTACGCGTGGGCGCTGATGAACAGGGGGACGGAGAGTGAGGATGAGCTAGTCAGACGCGCGCAGGAGGATCCCGACGCGAAGATTGAGGAGGAGGAAGAGTTGAAGGAGTACGTGGACGGCATTGAGACGATGCTGGGGAGACCGATTCTGCCTGGGCGTGGGCCGGCAAAGTGTCTGCGGCTGACCATTGACGACGTGGACATGCGCCACAGGCCGGTGGTGTGGTACATGGTATGTCGATGCAATCTGACCAACTTGACCGAGTCTGACAACCGCAGATCGTCATGCTCGTAGACACCCTCACAGCCGCTTACCTACGCTGCAACAACTTCTCCCTGCACCGCACCCACCTGCACTCCTCCCTGGCCATCTTCCCTCCCCGCCCCGCCTCGTTCTTCGCGCGCCAGCTTTCCCCCGCCCAAGACCTGAGCTACTGGTACCGCCCACACACCTCCAAAACACGACTGCCCATCCTCTTCATCCACGGCATCGGCATCGGACTGATGCCGTACAGCCAATGGCTCTCCTCGATCAACGACGAAGACCCCATATCGCCCGCAGACGGCGAAATCGGAATCATCGCAATCGAGATAATGCCCATTAGCTTCCGCCTAACGCGTGCCATGCCGCGGCCCGAGGAGCTGTGTCGCCAAATCAACGCAATACTCTTGCGTCACGGGTGGGACAAGGTGGTGCTAGCCTCGCACTCGTACGGCAGCGTAATCAGCACGCACTTGCTCAAGGACGCCGCGACAGCGGCCAAGATCGGGCCGTGCCTGTTCATCGATCCAGTCACGTTTCTGCTGCACCTGCCGGACGTGGCGTACAACTTCACCGCGCGCCGCCCGCGCCTCGCAAACGAGCACCAGCTGTGGTATTTTGCGTCCATGGACATCATGGTCGCGTACACGCTGGCGCGGAATTTCTTCTGGAGCGAGAACATCCTCTGGAAGGACGATCTGCGCGCGCGCGACGTCACAGTGTCGCTGGGCGGACGGGATCTGATCGTCGACACAGAGGCGGTGGGCAAGTACATCAGCGGCGTTGATCCGAAGAGCGAGGAGAGGGGCTGGAAGGACAGGGCGTGGAAGGGCTCGGGCGTGGAGACGCTCTGGTGGCCGACGGCAGACCACGCACAGGTCTTTGAGCGCAGAGAGGGGCGGGCGAAGCTCGCTCATGTGCTGCGCGAGTACGCGAAACGTAAGGAGCAAGTCGAGGATGAGGAGTGGCTGTGAAGAGCTTGCATGCCAATCTATTTGGCGTTTGAGATCGAGCACGTCGCATTCCCTCATCACGCACGTTTCGGCCAAGGCGCTGCATCTACATGGCAATGAAAGCAGACTCCAGATGAGACTCTCAACTACCAAGACCCCTCCTTCCTCTGCAGCGCCCGCAACCGCTCCGGCGAAACGACGCTCAGGCTCAACACGCCCCCAATCACAATCCCCAGCAGCAGCACAAGAAACACCAGCCCGCGATCCGAATTCCCCTGCCCATTTCCACTCCCCCATGCCTTCGGGCCGCCCGGCGCATACTTCCCCTTCCACTTCCGCAGCGGCTCGACGCCATGCTGCTCTGCGTACTGCACACCCCTCTTCATACCGGGCATGCCGTCGACGCTGCGCGCAGACTTCCACGCCCAGTAGCGATCCATCGACTCCTTCTCATCACCGGCTTGGAATTTCTTATCCTTCTTCTCAAAGTGCTCATTCAGAATAGGCCGATGCGCGACGAAATCGTAGCGCGGGACTGAGAACCCACAGCTCGTGGCGCACTGGTGCACATCGACGACGATAACGCTGCGGCTGCCGGGGATGGTGGTGACCTTTTGCTCCTGCACGAAGCGCTCGTACTCGGGCGTCCCGTTCTCGAGCGGGCGGCCGGCGCCCCAGACCCTTACTATCTGCGGCGCGCCCTCGAACGCCATGAACATGACGCAGATGCGCCCGTTACCCGGCTCGTGCAGGTGAGCGTGCGTCTCGATGCCGGAGCCGGTCAGGTCCATGTACCAGAACTGGGTGGGGGAGAGGACGCCGAAGAAGTTCTCGCCGCCCTTGGGAGAGATGTTGATGTGGCCGTCGCCTGCAAGCGGGGCCGTGCCGACGAAGAGCATTTGCTGCTTCTTGATCCATGGGATGAGGCTGTCTGGGATGGTTTCGTAGTAGACGCCCATCGTGGCGGTGGGCTATGTGGATGTGTGAATGGCCAGTGGGCCTGATGGATGAGTGTCTCTTGGGCGATATGGCTCGAAGATATGGCTCGAAGTTAATGGCGAAAGGCGAGATGGAGTCACAGCAGCGGTGGAGAACGCCGTTTCCAGAAAAGTACTAGGGTGCAGTCAAGATCGTCCGCAGGTGTGATTCAGAATGCGTAGTCGTCCGCGGCCGATACCGGAGATCTGGACGCTGTGAAAGGCGTGTTTTGCTGTTTGTGTGAAGTGCGCTTTTTCGATCAGTCAATCAAACTGCAACAGTAACGTCGTAAATGAACACTTCGAAGATGAATCTCGTCTGCAGGGGTTCCCGACGGTTTGTTACCTAGTGCAGTGGGGTGAGTATTGGGGTTATGGGGTTATAGCCGAGGGTGTGGGTCGGGGCAGACGCTGATTGGCACTAGTCTGACTCGTGAGGATGCCGGCTGCCGACGGCACAAGATGTGACTGTGTGAGCTGCGTGGAGTAAGAATACAAGTTGTACAGTTGCAAAAAGTAACTAGCTGCTCGCATAGTCATTCCCATAGCCAACGCCCACTTCGCCCGGAAAGCTGGCCCAGAAGTCATGCGTTGCGTTCATCATGATTTCTTCCATGTCCGCATTGCTCAAATCAAACTCTTCGAAGCTAAACGTCTCATCGAGCTCCAGAGGTGCCACATTGGGCATTTTCCACGAGCGTGCATTGCTTTGAAAGCCGTTCGAAGTCGGCGTGGCCGTGGGTGGTGTTAACATAGGTTCAATAGGACCCATTGTAACGTCGAGGAACTTGTTCTGGTTGGAGTCAGCATAGCGAGACCGTGCGGCAATGAGGCCAACCTCTTGCGGTGGCGGCGAGATGACGGTCTGGACAATGGTCGTGTCAGAACCCTTGTTGCCCTCAGGCGGCTTCTGCACCGGCGAGGGCTGGAGGGCGCCGTAGTCGATCATCGCCCTTCTCAGTGCTTTGCGCTCTTCAGGCAAAGCAGGAGGGTCTTGTCCCAGCACGGAGCGATAGTAGGCTTGCATGCGCTTGATCGTCTCGAACTGGTCAAGGTTAGAGGATGCTTTGTTTCATCACAGGCAATACTGACCCATGTCGCTGCCATTGGCCATTGTGTCTTCATCTCCTTCAAGAAAGTGCAGCCTTGAATGACCCTCTCGCGCGCCCTCTCGACAATCTTTGGGTCGTCCTCGCCGCTGGGAAAGCTGAATGAATACAGCATGACGCCGACTGCTGTGTAGATGGTGAAGCCAATCCACGGCACTAGACCCCGCAGGAAGAAGACGCCGAACGTGCGCATCTCTTCAAGCATCTCCAGCACCATGGTTGCTTCCTTGAACAGCTCTCGCCGCGACGTCTTCTGCCAGCTCTTCCACGTGTCAGTGTGGGTGTTGTATGAGTTCGGCGTCTCTTCGCCCGCTGTGCCGTTCTGCTGGGGGCCGAGCACGGGCAGGTAGGCGCGGTGCAGGAACATGTAGCTCATGAAGTAGATGCTATGCATGTAGCAGTATGCCTGGCCCTGCTCGACCGCGTTGTGGCTGTGCAGGGAGAAGAGGTCGTATCGTGAGCGCTGCGGCAGGTCGCTCTTCCAGCGCTCCAGCTCGTGGACCAGCTGCTGAAACTGTGATGAGGGCGACCAAGGGAGCTCCGTCTTGAAGTCGTCGGTGCACGCCCAGCGCGCGACCTTGCCCCAGATGTTGGCCACGCGCATGCTGTACCCAATGATGCCAATGTCGCCCGTGGGCAGGGCAATCGATGGCATGTGAAGGCTGCCGTCGAGCCGCTGTGTGCAGGTCGGCTCGCCGAAGACGAAGGCGTCCTTCTCGCAGGGCAGCTGGATGGCCATGTCGGCGGCGTTCAGAGACCTCTTGCGCCCCTTGCCTCCACTCAGCAGCGAGTCCATCAGGAAGCAGGTCCACGCGGTCCGCCGGCGCACCTCGGCGTCGATGAACTCGTCGCGCGTCGGCATACGGTTCTTCGGCGTCTTCAGCTCCTGTGTCAGGTCCATGACCTCGACCAGGCGGATGGCCATGCCCAGGTAGATCCACGCGCGGCGTCCGTTGCCGGCGCCCCAGTCGTGCCCCGTAAGCATCAGCAGGGCCTGGACGCGGCTGATGCTCGGCGTCTCGAGGTCGCCCTGGAGGAGCTGACGGGCGCGGGCGGCGTAGGCATTGCTGGCATCGGTCTGCGAGCCGAAGCCGTCGGGCGCGTCTTTCACGAATCTGATGTGCGTCAGCGCGGGCTCGCAGTAGGTAGGGCGCGGTTGGCGCACCTCACGGCCAGCGCCAGCAGCGCCCACGCGAGGTACGGCGCGAGGGTGCGGTCGCGGAGGCGCCGCAGCAGCGTTGGGGCGTGGTGGAAGCTCCACTTGTACGAGCAGCGCAGGTAGCTGGTCTTGACCTCGTCCGTCACCAGGTCGAACGGGTCTAGCCCGGCGAGCAGCGCAGATGCCGCTCGCGGGCTCAGCGGCGGCGCGGCACGAGTGGGACTCGGCATGCGCGCGTCATTGCGGCCGTCACGAGGCACTGCGGCTGCTGGCGCGCTTGAGACGCCCGGCGGAGTCGCGCCGGGCGTCTCTGAAGCCTCGGACGGCCGTGGGCGTTTTGGCCTGCGGTGGATTGCTGAGGTGCCTGGCGCTGGGAACTCGCACAGCGCTGCGCGGCCGCTCTGCCGGCAGCGATCGCACGGCGGCGCGTCGTTGTGGATGCACTTTTGCTTTGCGCTGCGGCACGAGACACAGGCCACGGGGTTCCTCATCGGGGCGCGCAGTCGCTGTGCGCAATCGATGGATCCGGATGGGGAGAGCGTGTTGATGCCGTCGACTGCTGCTGCCGCTGCCCTGCCGCTGCCATCCCGTGCAGACGCGCTACGGCCGTTTACACACGGCTTCGGCCTCTTGCACCTCACCTTACCTCATCATCGTTGAGCGTGGGTGATCAACTTGCACCGCTTGCTTTGCTGTTCTGACTGAAGAAAGATTACTGATTGCGGATGGGAGAATAGAATCTAAATTTCTGGTATTTGTCGCAAAGAAACCCACATACTACGACTCTATCGAGAAGGAAATGCCGGCACAAGCGGAAGAATTGGAACTTGACAACGCTAAGGACACGCAGATGAGAAAATTAGAAAGACAACATTGGCAGCCTCTTCGCGATGAACCAAACCCAGTAGAGGGGCGCGAAATCCGCGCTCGGCAGACCGAGCGGATTGTCCGCAATGGCTCCAAGAACCAGGTCAGCGTAAAGAGTCGAGAAGAAACCAAAGACCGCAATGAAAGCCACTGAAGCGCCTTTGAATGTGTTTGCTGTGGCCAAGACCAAGCCTTTCAGCCCGCCTGTTTTATCTTCAGTGGCTGAGTGTAAGTACCAGTAGATACCGACACAAATGGGAAGCAGGATAACAGGAGCGGCGAAGCCGTAGGACAAGGTCCTCACGGTCGTGTCCTGGCGAAAGCTGGTCCAGAGCAACGAGCAAAGCCCAAACATACCAACAATCGTTCCCGCTATGAAAAGGACGAGCCATCCTAGGGGTTCGAGGCTCTTAGTCTTCGTGGACTGTCCCCGCGTGAACGGGGCTCCTGGACCCCTGTGACTGGATCTGGAGGGTTCTCTGCGGACGAGAATGCAACGGTGGATAGCAATGCACGCCATCGATACTGAGGTGACGAGTTTCCAGACACTGATCAAAACGAAATGCCAGCTGAGACGACATCGGTATATGGTTATCGTGGCGGTCGGTATGCATGTGCACAGTGAAGCAATAGATAAGAACAAGTCAAATGCCCATGTGTCAAGGTCATTCCCAGGCCAGAGAGGCACCTTGCCGACGGCTATCCACGCAAAGGTCCAATAGGTAAGAAGATGGGATATGACGCCGACTGCGCCGTACGGGAGCGCATAGCATTGGATCTCACCAGCAGGCCCGCCGGTGACGTTTGGTGTTGGTAGGAGGATGTCCGTGAAGACGTTGGGAGTCGGAGCAGCAGTAGACGTTACAATGTTGGATGCCAGTGCTAGCAGTAGCGCACTGAGTGTGGTTGAAGTGAGGACAGTTGAGAGGGCCATGGTTCATGAGGCTGGAATAATCGATGCAAGGTTTGATGATCGATGCGACAGTGTGCGGGCCGCCAGATATTTTGTATCGTCTCGACAGCGACGAGGCTGCTCGTCCTACAGTCTGTGAGTACGCCCATGTGCTTAAGATGTAAAGCTGTAAGCCAAATCGGAAAGTTCGTGGCTGTTCCTCTGTGCATTTGCAGCCCTCGCCTAAACAAAGTTCTGTGGCGTCGAGGTTGCGGCGCAGGACCTTCGGCCGCTGCTACGCCCAGTAAGTCACTTCGAAGGACTCTTCTCTTCTCCTCACGAGCTTCAGGAGTTGGAATTCAAGTAGTTGTCATTCTGCATAGACAAGCGGCCGAAAATACTTATCGGACGGGTGAAATGGCCCCAGCGTGGTCATTGACCAGGCTTTCGAGTTGCTGCTCTCTCGACTGTAGACATCAGTCCAAGTCTACCGTCTTCCAACTTTGGTCAACGCAGAATCACATATGGTGAAAGCGGTTTGCAGAATGGTGGCTCCCTGGGTGATGCTCAGAGCCGCATCCTGTGAGGCGGTGTTGTAGCCATAATAATCAGGCAGCAGGCACAGTGGAGCGCCAAAGGTGTATCTCGTCAATCTCCTGCGCGCAGAGTTGGTCCGATGCAGAATTACGGGGGGGCATGACCTACTTGGCAGAGGCTGTGGTGCATCTGACAAGAGTTGATCGGTGAAGGTGTGGAGGAGCAGCCATTCAGGTGCGGGGGCCGAACGTGTCAGCGTGCCAAAGCCGTCAGCATCGAAGTGGGTCTCCGGAGGCTGAGCGGCGAACATAGCGGACCGTCATCATTATTGTAATGAGAAACATTGTTAAGATGACGTCCGGTCAAAAAGGTACCTCGTTCCTGCAGATGGTTAGTTGATCGAGAGCGGGAGATCATCAGGCGGCTCCAACATTTCTTCCTCCACTGAGTCAGCACGGACATTGACGATTCATAGTACACCAACGGCGATACGGGCGTGTCTGGCGTATCTGAAGACAACCAGACGTTAAAGTTGACCAGTCACAATGATGAAGTGCGGCAGATTCTCCACGATCTGTCCAAGATCCGCCACAAACCGCGCCCTACCAGATACATGATTGAATAAAATTGACCTCGAGCGGCAGAAAGACCTCAGAACGCAACACGCCTCAGGCACATCCTCCACCGCCAAAGCCCACTTCAATTCTCACGTTTCGATCATGGACAAGAAGCTCTGGCAATGGAAGCACAGCGCTGGGTCGCAGGAGTTCCTTATCTCCACATCGAAGGAGCTCCTGCCGCATTCGTTCGTACAAGAAGCCTTTGCGGACAACGGCATGTTCTGGGCCAAACCCATGTCCGCAGAAAACTTGAAGATCATGCTCGACAACTCCTGCACTCTTGGCCTGTATAGGGTGGAGAGCGATAGGTCGCTGATACCTGTCGGCATGGCGCGCCTGGTCACGGATTTTATTACGCTTGCGTACCTAACCGACGTCTTTGTGAAGGATGACACGCGCGGCTTTGGTTTGGGGAAATGGATGATCCACTGCTGCAGGGAGATCGCACTTGACATCCCCGAGCTGCGATTCATGGTGCTATTGACGGGCTCTGAACAGGCGCAACAGCTGTATCGACGCGAGTGTGGAATGGAAAGATTTGGAGACGAGCACGCACTGGCCGCTATGGGAGCTAGGAGGCCAGCCTTGGAAACATGCACTCGGAGCACGAAACTGGCCGAAGTGGATGCTGCCTCGAAACACCAAAGCACCGGCAACGCCGCGTAAGATTACGCGCATGATCGACTGTGCACACAGATCGCAATATTTGGTGCCGCAGCAACGTGCACTGATGGTTGGTCTCGATGCATGACATCGCGTTGTGTTGTTTCTGGTTTAGCGAGGGGCTCTTGTCAGGAGCGCTGAAGGGTAGGCGCGAGTCCGTGTGCTAGCGTCGATGCCGCCATCAATTTGTCGAAGGGTTCGCCGAAGGGTTCTCTGACAACTACCGAATCAGGTAGACTAGGTCAGAATATCGCCTGGAAGCCAACAGGTGGGCTCAGGAAGCATTAATAATGGATACGGCTCCCTCCTATCCGCAGCCACACCCTTTGCATCTCGTCTCTCAGCACCATCCACCCAGCAGCTTGTTTCTACAGTCGACGGCGTCATTGACTATCCAGGAACTTCCGCCTCGAACTCCCATCACCCCGACGCTTCCCGGTAGCGCCTCAGCATTTGGAAGCTTTCAAGTTATTTGGAGCTACTCATTTCTCGATCGTATATCTTTGTCACAGTCTCGCTGCTTCTGTTCAACTAGATTATTCCCAAGCAGCCCGAAACCATGGCAGCTATCATCGATAACACACAGCAAGCGCCGCTATCGCCTGTCTCACAGAAGCGGAAACGCGCGGATTCGGAGACTGCTCCTCTGAGCCCCCCACTTTCCGCGAGTCCTGCGTCCCCGTGCTCAGTGCCAACAATTGCTGAGGGGACGCGTCTACTGTCACGCGCCGTCAACGTCCTCTCGACAGCCGCAACCGCTCTTTCACAAGTCAGCACCTTATACGAAACAGATCCTGTGGCCCGAGAAGGTTTGCTCCGGGCAGTTGACTTGGTTACCAATCTCAATGAGGCTGGTGGCAAGCTTATCATTTGCGGTGTGGGCAAGAGCGGTCTAGTGGGGCAAAAGATGGTCGCGACCATGAAGAGCCTTGGGATAGGCTGCTCTTTCATGCATGCGGCCGAGGCAATCCACGGCGACCTCGGAGATATTAGAAAGGTATTGCGCGCCACTGCTGGCATGTCACAAGTCGGACCGACATGTTTACTAACATGAAACAGACCGATGCCATCATGTTTATCTCATACTCTGGCAAGACTGGCGAGCTCATGGCTCTGCTCGACCACATACCTGCGCACACGCCTATTATCGCTATTACCTCGCACACGCACCCTTCAAACTGCCCGCTCTTGGACGAACGCCCTGACGCCATCCTGCTCCCTGCACCAATTCACGAGCTCGAGGAAGTCTCCTTCGGCGTCTGTGCGCCCACAACCTCGACGACCGTGACGATCGCCGTCGGAGATATGTTGGCCCTTACTGCAGCTGAGGCGATGCACCAAGAGGAGACCAAGAGCGTCTTCAAGAGGAACCATCCTGGAGGCGCCATCGGGGCCAAGGCGCGGCGTCTTAACGACCATACCAAGGAAGATACCGTGAGCAAGCACGACGGCATGATCACACCGCCAGCTTTTTGAAGCATACCTTGACACAGTTGGAACTATATTGTCTCGTGGACCAGCTCATGGAGCATGCCACATCAAAGAGACGCTGTACATTGTGCTAACATAGGTTACCCACATCTACACTCGGCACCCACGTGCTTTCAGACGCAGAGCCGTGCCGCTGCGTCTCCAGCCTTTCAAGAAGATACCCAGACGCCAGCAAGTGCAGTGCAGGACACGCATCATTGTTGTCGGACACAAGAACGATGTGTAACGACTTCTAAACGAATATATTGGTGTACAAGCGAGGCGCATGTGAAAGCTTTCCCATTTAAATTGCATTCAATTAGACGGACTTGAGTTCCTAATTTGTGCCCCTCCCTTCTCGCACTCACTAGCTGTGCGCTACACCAAGCATGTTTATGCAAGCTTTATTCATCGTTACTGATCGATATTCATGATAACAGGCAGAATATTGTTCGCCAGTTGGTATAGCTACGTCAGATGCGTCTGATCCATTAGACGACGCCTACGGTAAGCGCTCAATGATTTCGGTACCTCGCCGATTGATTCGATGGTGTCATGACTTATAGTACAAACGTCACCAAGCCTCCAGTCTAGCATGGGCGGTACGCTACCTGGTCGCATCCAAGATACAATGTACACTCCCTCTAGAAACACCAACAAATTCGGAAACGATCTGCGTATCTATTGGCATTGTCACTGCCAAGAGTGCCCTAACAGGCCTATCCTGCATCGCGTCTTTGAATCCCTACTGGACGTGCGCATCGATCCGACCAGCAAATTCATAACCCAACCGTGCAACCAGAATTGAGCAGATCAAGGACGCCAAGTCGTGCGACAGGGGAGGTGCGGGTTTTACGGCCAGTGCGTGGAAATGAAGGTACCTGTCCAGCCCAGCCCTGCCTTAGCAAAAGGCTAAACAACGTTGTTTCAGCTGATATTAATGCGCTTGAAACGATCAAAGCCGAGTCAATCTTCGACACAGGTTTGCTTCTGATAGACGACCCACTCATGACCCTGGGAGATACAGTGGGTTTGTTCCTAAGGGAAGTATCACACCACCGCAGACATGGCTCTGGCATCGTTGTCCGATACTTGTTACCGCGCATTGTAATCTTTCGACGCTCCATGGAGAACAAGTCGATGGGCAATGGCTCCTGGCCATATTTTTGCAGGCGGTCCTTTCATCGGCCTATCTGCTATGCAAAGGCTTGTCCACTGCCATGCTGCGAGGCTACAAATAATCGACATACCCCTCTGTGCACAAAATTTTTAGGGTTGATGGCGCAGGCAAAGGGTCTTAGTCATACGGGTTTGTTTTCCTTACATTTCTCCTACATCTACATCTTCAGTATCCTCGCCAAGTCCTCTACTTGGAGTTCTTACAATCTCGTCCTCAATTAGCCCCACAGCCAATCTTGCGACTGATCATCTTCATGGACTTCGTTGCCATCCTCGTAGTCGAACATGGACGTCGTATCGAAGAAGGATCGTGCAGAGCGCCAGCCATCTGTGGGAGAATCAGCATCGATCCTTGGGAAGGAGGGTCTGTTGATAGCTTACCAGAAATGCCTTCGACAAAGCGGAGCCGAGTTTCATTACTGCGCTGGCAGTCCTTGCGGCAAACACAGCGTGGTGGCCTGCCATCCTGTTAGCTCCTATGGTTATGTCATCAGGCGCGAAGAGCTTACAGGTATTCGACATCGGTTGCCAGAACTGCCTCGGCAGTAGCGACTTGATCGAAATCGTGAGGCACTCCTGTACGCTCCCGCTCCAGCAGAGATTCCCAGTTCTGCTTCTGCGGGTTCCTGATGCAGCCAGTGAGATTTAGTCTGGCGATGTGCTTGATGTGAGGAAAAGCAAACGTCATGATCCAGTCGATCATGACGCTCTGACACGCTGTTTTCTGCGTCTCTTGACCCCAAGGGTGATCAGCCCATCCATCGTCGGGGTCTCGGAATCGTATGCTAAGGCGAGTCGTGTTGGCGAGTTGGGCAAGGTAGGGCCCTCTTGCCTCGGTGATCACCTGGTGGAGAGGAAGGTCGAAGGGAGTGTCGATCCCAAGGAAACGCAGCCAACCTCCCATTGTGAAGCTGAGTTCGATACGGCCCAGGACGTTAAACTGTTGTGCTGCTCCGACCCTCGAGCACATTGCAAGTACAAAGTTCTGGTTGTCAACAAAGCACTTTACCGGCCCGTTCCAGCCTGCCTCGAGAGCCTCCTGCTTGAGCCACTTGCTGGCAAGCAACAGATTGGTGTTGGGAAGATAGACCCTGGCATGAACTTCAGTAGATATCTCGTAGCGGTACGTGGCATATTCCCCGTTCATGAGCTTGTGCCCCGTGCGGCCGCCAGTGTAGCCGACGCCCATGAAGATGCATGCGCTCTCGCACTGCGGCACTGGAGGCCATGTACAGGGGCATGTCTTGGTGAGCTCGCTCAGAGGATAGATTTCGCCCTCAGGAGCGATCGCATACTGGAGGACTATACGGCGGAGCTCGGCCGGCAGCCTCCAAAGATCGAAAGAACGTTTATTACGCTTGTTCCAGAAGTACTGGATGGATTCAGGCGTACGCTCCCACATGGCCTTGCTTTTCTCAGCCAAATTGACAAGCCATTGGCGGATCGGGACCCATTCGCCTGAGATACGAACGTGGATCTTGCTGACATCTAGGGCACCTTGATGCGGTTTGACTGAGATGGGAACGGTTGCAGGGAACTCCTCATATTCCTGCGTGAAGGTATACAGCTTCGTTTCCCGAGTTTCGTTAGATGGCCAGATCGGCGGCGAGTCTATGGTTTGAAAGACTCGAAAGTTGGCATTGCACATTGCGACGCCGTGTTCAAGGCCGTTCATCAAGTCACGGATAGTTCTCTTGATCAGCCGTATAACCGGATCACGCTGGGGACGTGGTGGTTTGAAAGAGTACGTGTAAGTGTAGCGATCTCTCTTGTAACGCCAATCGGGTGGTTGGAGAAGTGTGGTGAAGTTTCGAATGAAATCACGATTCTGGCTTGGGACGCGATGGTGGAGCTGTTCGCGTCTCTGTAGGCGAGCCATCTTGGGAGTAAATGTGATCGGCTGAAAAAGAGTGTATATGTTTTCTTCAAGCCCTGCAGTTCTGGAATTTGATCGGAGACACAAAGTTGCGCTTCAGAAATATCGACAGTACGTCCTTTGTGCAAGACGGGTACGAATAATCCCCTTATCGACCCGCACCCCCGCTCGCGAACCAGAGTGAGAGAGCGAAGCGAAACGGGGACCGCACACATTTTGGCGTGATATTCACCCCTCTGTCCGGCTTGAGGTATAAGTGACTTTGTGCAAGAGTTGTTCACGAGCTGGAGATCGGTCAGCTTCGTTGTCGCCCAGTAGGATACCAGTGACCTTCATCGAAGTGGGGTTTGAAAACATCGAGTTCGACCAGATTGATATATTGTGCATTGGTAATCAACTATTATGCGGTCCTTACAGGTGTTGCAGAACATGTAGCCAGCGATCTAAACCGACATCAACGTTGGTGCCGTTAGAATCAGTACATACAGTTCCTTGAAACACGTGACCGTCACATATTTTGTAGAGATATATTGTAACTGCCTGGTGCAGTGTCGGGTGGAGGCTGGGATCAACAATTGTATTGCTATCTGTTGTCGTGTTGTGATGATTGTGTACGGAGCTCTCAGCTCTGAGGTAAGTGCACTTGCCCACTGGGCGGTACCTTCTACAACAAGATATCATGTGACTTCACCCGCGTGGTTACATATATACATACGTCGTGCTAATTGAGGCTCCTGCTGCCATCGAGACGTCGCGGACTGGGCATTGTAGCAGCTGCTCTGTGTGCTTGATATGAGATACAGGACACTTGGCCACACGCAATGCAGTAACATAGTGATATAATTGGCGTGAGTAGTGCGCTCTGTGCTCACAAAATGACACGCTCGGTTTATAATTCTCTGGTCACTCGATTCGATCCTGGCCTTTCGAGGTCGTTAGGATAACCTGGCTCTTCTTCTCACTTGGCTGGTGCACTGGTAAGCTCTCGAGACACTCACCCGACCCTAGCAAACTCGAGGACAGCATTAAAGGAAAGTGATGCAGGGTGAAATTGTGGTCTTGTCAGCTTCTTCGCACATCTCTTCATGTACGCTCTCTGTCCGATTCGCAGTGCTTGCAACAATGCGGAGCCCCTGCTTGTGTTGTTGGTCACTGACAGGTTCGTCGTCTGAAACAATCCAGTCGTCGGAAAGAGTCGATACAAGCACGCTTCAAGCTCCCACGCAGTACAGAAACCGATGGGTTTGCGAAATGGTTGTATCAACCACTAATTGTATATTATCAGACTCTAATAGCTCTTGTACCCACTCGAGGTGAGTCAGCCTTTGGTGGCCACCCAACTTGAAGTACCCGGGCTGCAATTTCTCAAAAATACCAGCAGGGCCATACTTCTTGCTGACCTGCCGCAACTTCGCCTCGTTTGCCGCACCGTAGCCTGCAACAGGGTCCTACCACGGGCTCGCGTAGTTCATGTACAAGTAATCCCCGTGCTTCACCGCTGCCTTTGCAGCAGCAATGGCACGACCCTTGATGGTCGCAGCGAATCTGTGGATACGAGAGTCATCAGCAGTATTAGACCACTTGAGGCCGGTGAGAAGATCCATGAGGGGTTCGTCAGCGGCAGACAAACCGAGCGCGTTGCCGCCGCGAAGCGTCATCTTCTCGAGGATAGGCTCAGTGATGATCTGGAAGGAGATGGCAGGAATCAGGTCAGCGGCGTCGATTATGGCGTTCACTGCCTCCTGCCTGAGGCGCGTCTTAGCTTTCTCGCCATGTCAGTGTGCATTTCGCCATACCAAAAGTCTATAGGATGGGTAGAGTCTCCAATTGCTTCTTGTACCTTTGGGCGACAATGGCGTCAGACGTAGTCGCCTACATACGGTTCATGGTTTTCAAGACTCTGTTCTTCTGGTTGTCACTGTGGCTACTCAAGCTGTCATTGCTGGCGCTGTACAAGAGGCTTATAATGAGTGTTCCGACGGCCTTCAACTTCTGCTCAACAACAATTCAGCCTTTACTGCGTATCTGCTGTTGCTAACGACGATTTGTAGTCTCTAGTGGGTTGGGCAGTGTCTTACTTCTCATCTTGGCCCGACTTCGCAGCGTCGATGCAGACCGGGGAATATTTAGGGACACGTAGTCTGCGCGGTCAGCTGGTCAATTTTTACGCTTCGTATGCCGTCGAGATCTGATCTTGAGGCTCCCTTATCACTGGCCGCTAGCTAAAACAACAGATGTGTTCCTACGCATCCAACCGGTCTGGAAACTCCATATTCATGAGCAAGGCAACACTAGTAGGACATCAATACCTGCCTATTATTCAGCACGGGCACGGACGCAAGTCGCCTCGAGAATTCGCACCAACAGCATTCGGGAGTTGTCCAATGGAGTAAGCCATCCATTCAAGCCACGCATGCTCTGTCAGTCTGGAGTCTGGCTCGGCGACTCTTTGCTCGATGTGCTGCTTGGAACTCATCCTTTTGTCACGATTGCAAGCTCAAAGAGTTTTCATTCATCTGTCGTTATTTTTCTTTCATTCCCGTCCGCTACGTCAGTGCACGAAAACTTTCGAACCCAAAATACATCCTGGTACCCTACTGCGCGGGCTGACACAAAAGAAGCGCAGGCATACGCAGCGACGGATGATGACTAGGGTTTTGCAGGTGGCTGTGTTGATTGTATGGTTCACGCTTCAGCTTTTGTAAAACTGTTGGGAGCGTCCTGCTCCCATCTTCATGTCTGTCTCCCTTCCTGTCCTTCTTCACCAGCTAGCAATGGCCTGCTTTCCTCGTCTCCAACCTTCGCCTTCTCCTCCTTCGTCACGGTATTTTTCTGCAGTGTAATCCATATCGCGGCACCGATAATAAGTGCCGCACCTCCAAAGCTTTCGATAGGTGGTGTCGTACCCCAGATCACTCGCTCAATGATCAGAGCAAGCACAAGTTGCAAGTACATCAGGTTCGTCGCTCGACCCGCTTTCTCCCTCTGCAATCCCTCTGTGAGCAGAAACTGCAGGAGAAAGCCAGTCAACCCAATAATGGCAATCAACCCCCACTGCCCAGCGCTCTCGGGCATGACGAAGTGCAAATCCGGATGAACTAGAAGCGCAGCCGCAGACCCTACCGTCGCGATAGCAGCGAAGTAGTTCACGCTAATGAGCGAATGCGCCCTCTTGCCGATGACGCGGATACTCGCATACGCCAACGACGCGCCGAAGGCGTTAAGGACGGCTGCGAGGACAGCAAACGTACGCTGCGTCGGTGAGATGGGTGCTGGCGTTGTCTTGGGCGAGGACATGACGTCCATCAGCGTCCTGATTACTGCATCGGCTTCAGGCTGCCCGTTGATGGGGTCCAGAGGGGGGTTAGGGAAAAGCCATGTTGGGCGCGCGACGAGCAGGACACCACTGAAGGCTACTAAGGCTGCGAGTGCTTCGCGTACGGTGAAGGGTTCGCGGAGCCAGATGAAGCAGACCAATGCTGTGAGAGTGGGGATCATGAAAGTTATGACCGTGGCGTCGGATATGTTTATCCATGACAATGAGTCTGGGTATATTAGCATTTTGATGTTAATGTATAGACGAGAAATGAGCGAGAGCGTACAGTAAAGTCCAAATAAGCCGATGAATCCACACGTCCCGCGCAGAACAAGTAGCCATCTGATGCCTCTCGCTCCTAGCGGAAAGTCAGGAGTCTTGTGCCACATCATATACAACATGCCGATCACAGTCGTGCACGACATACGAATGAATATGATCTGCATGGCGTGGAACTTCGTCTCGTAGCCGGTCGCGAGAAGTTTTGCTGCTGTGTTCATGATGGAGCCACACGTCTGTGCCAAGAAGACCAGCACAAGACCAAAATTCCTTTCGTAGAAAGCATGCAGGTTTTGTCTCACGGTGCGGGTGTGGTGTGCGCATGCCGGGTCATCTTTTTGCAGCCTTTCCTGCTCTTCCTCCGGAATTGGTTCTGCCGGAACTTCTTGCAGAGGGTCATTCTGTACGGGTGGTACTGGTGGCGTTGAGGCTGTCGTTCCGTAGGCCATGATGTCTCAGAACAATACAATTTGAGACGCCACGAAAATGTTGGGAAGAACAAGAGTGATGTTGAGGTTTGAACGGACACGAATAGTCACGGGAAGAAATCTTGTGACGGCCTGCAGATGCTGAGGACCCACTTTTGCCGGTCGCCGCGCCTACCGGTAGCAACCGTCAAGCTGCCAAGCACGTACGAGACGCTAAGAAATGCTATTTCTTCAGACACCGGAACATATTTTGCGATAGATACAACTTTCTCGACGGTTCTCTAGTTAGAAATACATGCTTTACCAATCTAGGGTTCCTCTACAGAGTCGTGTCGCGTCTATTCCATCCACCTTAAAGGTTCCTCTTTCACAATTGACCATTCATTGCCCGTTCACAGCCTCATTCTCAGCCTGCATCTTCAAACCCCTCCTCATCATCTCATACAGACTATCGAAGAATCTTCGTTGACAGCAATCCTGCCGAGGACAGCTAAACGCACGAACATCACAAAGGAATACTGACTCAAGAACTGAGGTTGTCAGTGTGGGTTCATGGTTTTCTGATGTTGTGCTTCTCGAATGATGCTACCCTGCCAAGCCCAGCTGCTTTACCTTCCTCGTCATCAACAGAGTCAGGCAAAGCAGTCGCCTACTTCCTCTTGCTACTTAGCCACGTACCGGCCCTCTTCGCACATGCCGTGGCCTCATCATGGAAGCCATTTATATTTCCAAGCAGAAGAATATCATGAGGCACCTTCTTCTCGACATCCAACGTGACATCGTTCCCTTCCCCCTTCATTTTCCCTGCCCACTCGCAATCATCGAAGTACAGAATTTCCCCACCCCCTGTATTAACAAAAATCGGGACCTCTGTCTTGAACGTCTTGCCCTTGTGACTGACATATGGGTGTGAAAGAAGTGCTCTCCCAGCGGCGCCAGCATACGCGTCCGAACCCCAGAGGGTGAAGGGAAGTGACAGGTAATCGGTCACATAGTTAGGGTTGTCGGTCACGAAAGACCCGGACGTGTCCGAGGGGTCGATCCAGGGGCTCCAAAGCAGTGCGGCGCTTGGGTTTGGGAGTTTCAGCTCCTGCCCGAATTCGCTGATGTAGCGGAGGATAGAAATGGAGGCGTTTCCGCCCGCGCTGTCGCCCGAGAGGATGATGTCTGAGGGCGAGATGCGTAGGTCGTTCAGCAGGTAGAGGTACGCGGTCAGACTGTCTTGCAGGGCTGCGGGAAACGGGTTCGATGTCTTCGATGCCGGGAGCGAGGAGATGCGGTATTGCGGCATGAGGATGTGGGTCGCACCAATGTGCTTTTGCAGCAGCTTCGCAAAGTAGCCTGATGCTTGGGTGCGGCCGTCGCCCGAGACGTATGCGCCGCCGTGAATGTGCAGGACGACTTTGAGGTTTGTCTTATCGGACGATGCGGTCAGAGGCGCCGGGTACCATGTCGCACCTATCTCGACGGGCTGGACATCGTTGTTGATGCGAAGGGGCCCTTTGTACTGGTCTCCACCCGCAGGCTTGATGCGCACGAAGCGCTCCTTCTCGGCGCCCGGTGTGAGTGGAGTCGACGTGTTGACTTGGATGCTGGCGACGTGGTAGACGAAGGCGAAGATGAGGCGCGTAGTCAGTGCCTGACGAAATGTCCATTCGGGGTGCTGGCGGCCGTAACTGGTGAGGTACTTGACGATGAAAAGGGGGAGTCGCAGGAGCTCGAAGCCCAGTGCGGCAAGCACGTAGGTGCCCTTGAAGGGTTGCCAGTGCAGAAGAGCCATCACTAAAGTGCATAGGGGAAAATAAATCCCCCAGAAGCGGGGCTCATGGTGGTCTATATCATGGCGACATATCGTGCTAGCTGTTGCTACTTCGTACGAAGGTCGACGTCGATCCAGGAGTCGAGCCGAGGTACCGGTATGTATGCCAGCTAGCGCCACACACCTTAACGCTAGGCGCTGCGAGGTGCTTCAGCAGGATCACGGGTCATTATTGCGTCCATTTGATGCTGTGACCTGGTGTTGTTTTCTTGCTTAATCAGCATTTCTATTTACTCGTAGCTAGTAGCAACTGGCCGGCGTCAGCCGTATCAAGACGGCAAACCGCGACGGTCGACGCAGAATGACCCTGTTTGTTGCTTCATCAGCATATTTGGACTCAGTCAACACCATCATCCAAGCGACCTGTCCTGTGAGTGCTATGGTAGTTATGAGATACTTGCGGTGATTCCCAGCACATATCTAGTCTAAGGAGTGAGCTCATCATGATTGATACTTTTGTATTTGCAATCCAGAGGTCTGATCGACATCTACAGACAGTCTGCTCGCTACCACCGCCTCTGAAATCTAGGAATTGGCATCCTCTTGGCCTTCTTGTATCGGGTAGAGCCTCCAACAGCAACCCCAGTGTCCAGAACAGCAACACTCAATTGCGGCAAGCTAAACTCGAAAGCACCATTGGCATCTGCAGTCAACTCCTTAGTGGTAGTGTCAACAATTTGAACACCAGTTCGAGGGTCGTTATAAGCATATGGGTCGCCCACAGAGTTAGTCAGGTAGGTCAGCTGCGCCTTAGCACCAGCCTGGACACCCTCGAACTGGACGGTGATAGGAACCGAGGCGTTATCGGTGGTGTTGTAGACAGCGCCCTTCCAGACGAGCGCGCCATTACGGGCCTCGTCCTTTCCGGCACCCCAGTAGACGGGGCCGTAGCTGGAGTTGGAGGTCGTGGGAAGAGTGTGTGAGATGGGGTGGTGCGCGAACAGGCTCCAGCAGTACCACGTGACGGCACGGGTCGTCTGATTAGCGTCGGCAGTGAACTGAATCAGGGTGATAGGCCACTGGAAACGGTTCTCGTTCTTTAGAACGGGGGCGTAGAAGGTACCGGGGATGCGGTCAGAGTTGCGCTCGTACCCAATGAGGGAGACAGCTTCACCAACGGCGCCGATCCACCAGGGGTACTTGTAGAGAGGACCACTCCAGCGGGGAGGAGTGGCGCCGTTGACGTGGGTTGCCGCGACTTCACCAATGATGTGACCGATGTCATTGTCGAAGCGGTCAAACTCCTCAACTAGCTCATCGGGCTCGCGGTAGGGGTGGTAGTCACCAATGGCATCGGCGGGGTACTTGATACCGTCTGTCAGATTAGGGCCGGTGGTGGCACCTTCGGGGGCAGGGTCACTGGTGGCAGCAGAGCCGATGACCTGGATCTCGGGGTACTTGGCCTTGATGGCGTCGTGGAACATGATGAAACGATACGCCTTGTAAGAATCCCATCCTCCGGGGAAACCGGCGAGCCAGTCCTCGTTACCGATCTCGACGTAGTTCAGCTCGAAAGGCTCTGGGTGGCCGAGAGCAGCGCGCTTAGCACCCCACTCGGTGTCGACTGAGCCGCGGATGAATTCAATTTCGTTCAGGGCGTCGTCAATGAAAGGCTGGAGATCCTCCTTAGGGGTGACATCGCCGTTGAGAGCGAGGCCAGCCCAGACGCCAATAACGATCTGGAGGTCCATGTCCTCAGCCCACTCGAGGTACTCCATCATACCAAGACCGTGAGTTTGCTGATAGCCCCAGACACCCTGGAAGCCTGGACGCTCCTTGAGCGGACCAAGGGTATCCTTCCAGTCCCAGTAGGTGCCGTTATCAAGACCCTCAAGCATGTTACCGCCCGGAAAACGAAGGAAGTGGGGGTTCATCTGAGCAAGAGCCTCGGCGATATCAACGCGGAGACCATTCTTGCGGTCCTTATATGTAGGGGGGAACAGGCTGATGAGGTTGAAGTCGAGAGATCCGCTCTGGGTGCCCTTGGGGTCGAAGGTGATAGCAAAGGTGTTGTTCGAGTTAGGAGCATCCTTTTCGGGGGTAAGCTCAAATGTGTGCTCGGTCCACTCAGAGGCAACAGACTTCGACTCGACCTCGACGGAGCCAAAAACGTCGTCAGTCAGGTTCGACTGCAGCGAAGCTGTGAATGCGCCAATGTAAGCACCCTTGACCCAGAACGATCCGGTGTACTTGTGAGACCTGACATCCATGCCCCAGTACCCCTCGTTCTCGAAGCCAACCTTGCCAACACTGCTGTTGCCAGCGGCGACCTTCATGGACGCGGGCAGAGCCGTGGAGAGGGGCCCACTGCCATTGTTGATAGTAAGGCTAGCACCGTTTATGGGGAAATAGTGAGCCGTGGAGACCGGGAAAGCCCTGCTGTACTGGAACGCACGGTTCTGAATCAACTCAGCGTAGATGCCACCATCGCCCGAGTTGTTTATGTCCTGGATTCGTTAGGAAGATTCCATGCATGTAGTTATCCGAGGTTTACCTCGTGGAGAAAGCCGTAGCCGTAGGGGTGACCAAATTTGCCAGTCTGGTTACCGCCATCAGATTTGACGGCAACGTCAACAGCGCCGACAGCTGCGACTGCAGAAGCTGCGAGGAACGCCTTCAAAAAGAGCCTCATACTGACAGTTTTGAAGATCGATGCTCACAAAGTGAAGATCGAACAACCCGTCCGAGCCTCTGTATTTTGTAGCTCGGCCGGTGTGCCATGCCAGATCATCCGGGACTTGGCAATGCAACTGTGAATTTGCCGTGATGATCACCACAAGAGTTTGCTTTCACAACCATGCCGGATCTGGGTACTCGGGGTAGTAGTTCCCGTGGGCACACACGCCTGTCAACCTCTTAAGTGGCGTCAAGCTTCAGCCATTGGAGGAAGTGCGGCGCCTCTATTTGGCGGAGTAATGTAACTATTCCAGTTCCTCGCGCGCCGTTCCTGAGGATCCATGTCGATCGGGACGAACCCCTCTTACAGTGACGTGATACTCAGTGTGCAAGCTGGGCGTGACTGGGATCACTGGAGGGCATCCGCCAATTTAGAACCGCGAGCCTCGTAGCGCAACGGTCGCGCCATCGTCTGTGTCAATACTTTCGCGGAGATTGTGGAGAAGTTGGGGAAGCATCGCGGAGATGTCGCCGAATTGCCAAGTCAAGCTCGCAGTCTCCCCGATTGCCTCACATTTAGTTCTGCCGAAAAAGGCCCATCGAGCTTTCAGCGCACAAGCTGTCGTCCGGTGTGCATAGCGCACCTATTTATGTAAGTCTCGATGAAATGGAAGTTCAGATGGCAGGAGCAGCGTTGAAAGAGCAGGTGCTGTTGAATTACGTAGCGGCTCGGCAACGAAGGAGGATCGAGCCACATCTAGCAGCGAACGAAGTTGATGTCAACAACGTTGCACTGCACGTTGTTCTCGCGGTGTATTCAGCTCTAATATATCGTAGGAAATTTCTCTGCTTTTGATCTGCGTGCAGTCTGAAGCGAGGCATATTGACATGGGGCATTTTCGATCATTTGCGAGTAGCCACCACAGTTGGTACACTTACGCACAGCTCGAGCGCAAACGAAAAAGCGGCAAATCATTAACTATCCCCAGAAGCCAGAAGAACCACTACAGCTTCGTTGCTGAACCTCACTCCAAGCTGAGGAGTCAAGATGTCGACGCCGATGCACGGTCATCGTCTGAAAGTTTCTGCTGACGTCACGCGGCAGCACCTCACAACATCATGTTGTGGCTGGGCTGAGCCATCACTACACCAGGCCAGCTTCTAAGTCTATCAACGTGGCTAGCAAGGTGGGATGGAGATGGGGCAGACGAAGAGTTGATGGCACTTACTCACAAAGCGATGGAGGCCTCAGCATGACAACGACGACTAGAAGGAATACGCTAAAGCAAATACGGGCATCAACTACATCAATCGACGCATATCAAAGCCTCATCGTCCTACGATGCCGCGACGATTCAACAGAAGTAGTCCTAAGCCGCCGGCTCCGCCGCTGAAAGACACAAAGGCGACAGATATGCGCCTGCGGGGGAAGCCACCTCCAAATATCGGGCCATCGAACCCAGTTCCCGAGGATCTTGAGTCTGCCATCATCAAGAACTGGAAGCTACCTTCATCAAATATCAACACCTGCATTCCACCGGAGCTTTGGCCTTACAATGAGTCAGATCCGAAGAAATGGCACATCGATATCGTTTATCTCTTACACAAAGCATCCACTATAGATCTGGAAAAGAAGGGCAAGATAGTTGGCTCAAACAACGAGCATTTTCGATCCAGTATGGGCCACGAAATTCAACTCCGCCAGCTGAGAAACAGGTCAGCTGCAGGCAAGAAATCCTGGATGACTGCAACAGATCTGAAGAAAGTGATCAAGCACCTGCATTTCATGGCTGAGAACGAAGAGGACAATCGAGCGGAGGAGCCGGAGAAGGTAGCACAGAAAAGGGTTGAAGGCGAAGGGACGCGCATTACCCTACGTGGCGGATCCAACAACGCCACAGACACGAAATATGGACCTATCGACACAAATGGAATAGACACGAGTCAGCAAGAGAAGGTGAAACGCGCAACACGTGGCCGAGGTAGATCGAAGAAGAAGGATCTCAATCAACAGGACGAAGTCAAGCCAGGCACAAAGCGCCAAGCATCCGATCTTCCCATCCGCCCAGCCCGCAAGCTGCGCGGCGTCAGGTCACCAAAAATCAAGCCCGCTGCTCCACCACCAGTAACGCCCGCAAATCCGCCAGAACCAGACGACTCTAACGAAGAAGAGGACGACCAAGAGAACGAGCCCCCTGAGCCCGTCAGCGGTCGCCACATCTACGGCGACTTTATCAAGCCGACAACCATCGACTTTATCGCCGGTGCCGACGGCGAAATCCCAGCACAAGCCAAAACTCGTCAAACGCGCAAGCGTGGGCGTGCCGATAATGAGAAACCGCCGACGGAGGAGCAGATTGACAGCGATCCGCGAGACATTGACGCCACAGGTTTTCTATCAGAGCTTGATCCGAAAGAAGCACGACGACGAAGGAAACCGAGGTTGAGTCGGCTTCAAGACCATGTAGTCCTGGAACCCGCGTGGTCGCAAGACGCACCTCCGCCGGAGACACCACTCTTGACACCAGCCACAGACGGGCCTATCTCAGGCACGCCGGCTGCGCCTGTGCAAGGAATGAATTCGAGTCCTTCAGGAGGTGTGAATAGTGAGGAGACCACGAGTCTAGGGATCAAGATGTTACTGGACTTATTGCCGGGAATACCGGACATTGCAACGAGTGAAGAAAGGAGCATGTTGGAGGATCAGGTTGCACTGATACATAAGGATATTGTTGCGTACAAGACGAGTGTGATGGAGATCAATGAGAAATCCAAGAGATAGCTATGTGTACAACGCCCATCTGGCCATTTTAGACAACACAGGGAAACGAACCGATCACGTTCAAGTCCTCCAAATCGTGATAAGGCAAGGTGTAAAGCCAGAGATCGTTACAAGAGTCAGTCGACATTTTATGTTTCATCACATATCGCCGTTCAATCGAATGCAGTTGTCGAACAGAGTTTGCGGCGATATCGGAGTCTGTATTGGCGTCACCGAACGCTCTCACGCATGCGAACACAAGAGCTGCGACGTTCAATGACTCGTTTGGGTGACTCCGAACCTACCGAATCGAGAGCAGTATCAGTTCCTTTGCAGATGCCACGCGGAGCCTGAGGACGATACATCTGGCCCATGACATGATATCTGTAATATTAGAGAAAGTTCTGTGTGCGTCTACACGATGAAGCACATGTTGATCCGAGTTTCTTCCGATCACCCGGTCCCTCTCGACACGGTTGAGACGGCGTTGTCACAGTTGAGATTGGAGATTTGTCTACAAATCCAGACGACGGATCAAGATGTACTAGGCACCTTACACAAGCTCGGAGATCTTGTTCGATGAAAGGCATATAATGCTGCCGTGTTTGTTTTGAGCGGGGAGACATGCAAGTCATTGGGGCAGTGCGTCAAGTGTGGAGCTGACGTTACCAAACGCTGTCATAAATACAGGAGATACCCGATCGTTACTGTAGACCGAGAAATCTACGATTTTTATTAACAAGGGCGGTGGACGTACCAATGGAAGACCGTCTGTGGGCCGCAAGGGGTGACAGGGATCTCTAAGATGTGGTCAAGGGTCTTCAAAGGAGACGTTCAAGCAGATTTCAGAAGCGATGTATAGGAGTTCATCAACAAAGTAGTGGCTACAAAGAAGAGACACTCACAGAAAGCGAGCCAACGCAGCGATGGTTCTTTCCTGGACAAGGACATCAAATGAGAGCACGTGCACCGACAGTAGCGGTGTCTACAGTGTTACATGTAACCTGTAACGAACACACAAGCGCCGAGCTGATAAAATCTAAGCAGATAACACACATGTCAATCTGCTCCATTCTACCGCACTTCCCTCTCCCATCACACAGCCTCACACGACTCCCGCCAAACCTCATCACTAACTCCCACAACCCTCAAAATCTCCAGCTCAGCACTCCGCACCGCCCACCAACGCACCTGGACCGCAAATTCAGCCTCATGCACTGCAACATCCAGCCGCGGACTACCAAAGCCGCGCTCAGACGCGCCCCCTCTCCGCCTTCTTGCGAACGTGACCTGCAGCTCGGCTTGGGTGAGCTCACTGTTGGCTCTGCGGCAGGCGTGGAGGGCCTCGGCGTGGCGAAGTCGTTCTGCGGGAGAGAGATGAGCGAGTAAGATAGTTGCGTGATAACTGCGCTGTTTCGTGCAGCAGCAAGAGCCTGGGTCGGTGCGGTGATGACTCGGTAGGTATCAGAGGGTGTGGGAGGTTGCTGCGACCCTGGACCTGCAGTATCCGTGCTCTGTCCAAATCGTGGACTCTTTTCGCGTCGTGCATCATCGCCTAGCGGGCCGTCGGCAGACCTCTTTGTCGCTTTCTGAAAAGTAGATTGCGGCGATGCTGTGTGTGGCGACGTTGACGTCTGAACACCTGTTTGCAGCTCTTCATCGTCATCTGCCTCTCCTGGAGTCGTAGCAGCGTGCCCCGCAGTCTCAGAGCCGTTGGTAGCATCTCCCAGTCGTCCATCGATCAGACTATCCGACTCATCTAGCTCTTGTGTATCCTTCAACATTTGAACGATCATGTCAAGAAGCCTGAGCGACTTCTTGAACGGATACTTATCCTTCGAACCAAACTCCTTCTTCAGAAACTCGCGTACGTCCTCAGTATCCTGGGTGGCGATGAGTCTGGAAAGTTGCAGCACGAGCTGAAGAAGTCCGAGTGGCCAGTCGCCCTCGTAGCTTTCGAGGTGCGATTCGTCGGGCAGGTATTCGCGAATAGTGGAATCCCAGTTCTCGTAGATTGCGGTGAGTACTGCTCTAGCATCTTCTTTCCCCTGCTGAGCTTCGTCTGCGCTTTCGAGCTGGCCACCAACCACACCTTGCGAGGGCTCCATGGGGCGTTCGGTGTCGGATGCTTCGCCGTTGGGTTGTGCAGGGTCAGTGTTGTCCTGTTCCTCATCGTCGGCTCTACTGGCTCGAAACTTTCCTTTTAGCTCTCTGATAAGGGATTGGATGTCATGTCCTAAGTTGCCGTCCTTGGCGATGTCACTTTTGCCGATGCTTTGGCCCTTGCCATCGCGGGTCTTGTTTCGACGTTGCAACATCTGCACCAGTCCGCCGGCCATCGCAACACGCTCATCACCAGAAGGCACTAGGCTAGCCAGGGTCTCGATCGCTCGTAAAGTCTGCGTTGTGTATTTGTCGTTCTTATCCTCTGCGAAGTATTCATCTCAGCAAGTCTCGTCATCTCCTGCTCCGCGGCAAAGGCCGCCATCCCGCTCGTGCGCACGTCGATGTTTGCCTGTTGTACGATGCGATGGTGCGCGGTCCAGGCACGGTGCCAGGCAGACACGGCCTGGAGCATGTTTGCGTCGGGGAGGTGAGCGGGGGGAATGGCAGGGCTGGAATGGGGCTGAGTGGTGGATACTACAGCGGTCGCTGGATCGCGATCGGGCACGTGGGCGTCTGGGTTTGTATCTGGACTAGGCGTTGCGACTGGACCACCTGCCACTTGTTGTGGACTTGTGAAGTTGTCTTTGTCGGGATAGGGGGAAGATATGTTGATATTTGAAGCCCTCTGGTCGACGGACCCAGTTTCTGCCGAAGCCTCTCAAACGGTTGATGTAGGTTTATGGTGAGTTGGGTCGGTCTGAAACAGAGCTGTGAATCTGGCTTCGCCATCTTGCGCATGCTTTGGCTTCTTTTGATCTCTTGTGTCTCCTTCAGGAGTGACGTGTCGAGAGCTTCGCCTCTTGCCAGCTTGTTGAGGCGCTTCGGAGGTCTGCGCTGCGGGCTGGGTTGGTAGTGTAGTGGCTGTCGACTCACCATCAGCCTTTAGAATCCCTTGGTTATCGACATCTGGTCGTACAGCTGGTGCTGGTGATGTCTGCTTCATGTTCTGTCGTATCGGCGTTAGCACATGGGTCTTTGAGGGGTATTGGAGTACCCACCTGATCACCCAAAGGTCCTGCATTGCTGACAAGAGAGCTGCGCAGGTCCGCGATGATTCTGAGAAACTTCTTGAGCGAGAATTTGTCGGCCGATGCAAATGCAGGCTCCAAACTTGCGCGCACATCTTCTGGAGATCGCCCACGTGTTGCGCTCGAAAACCCAAGTAGTGCCTCAAGAAGTCTGAAGGGCCACAGGAGCACACGCGTAGATATAGGGTAGGCATGTCGAGGTAAATATTGGCGAATGAAAGGGGGCCAATTTTGGAGCATGATCTGTACTAGTTCAAAACGCTCCTGAAGACTATGCTCGTATTCGCTGGGGATCCGACTGCCCGTCTGCGGCTCACAATCTTCAACAGCACTTATGCCCTCACTGGTAGACGTCGCAGTCGGCGGTGTCTTACTCGCGCTTGAGAGCCCAGCTCCTGGCGCGTCCTCTTGCTCATCGTCACTATCCTCATAGTCCGGCTTCTCCAGTTTAATCAGCTTCTTGACCTCATGTCTGACAGACATGTCATGTTGGGCATGTTGCCGCCGTGGATCCGCTTGTGCAAAGCCTTGCGAAGCTGAGCTAGTCGCTTATCGCGCTCGTCTGCTGTGGTCACAAGCTCCGCCAGACTCTCAAAGGCCTGAATGGTCTTGATCCCGAATACGTCGCTGTCGTGGAAGTGTTTTCTGAGCCGGTCCTTGATCCTCTTACCAATCTTGGTTCCATCGATCATCTTGCTGAAGTCCCAGGCGGCCCCGTACGGCTTCTAGACGGGGTCCCCTGGCTGGGTCTTCCGTATCATGAAGTCTGGTTGTCGACTGAGCCAAAGACTTGTCAGGTGTTATTGGACGGTCCATCTGTTCAGGGCTGCGGTGGTCGCTGTATTGCGGGGGTTGTGCTAAAGCGTTGATCTCGCTTTGTGCCTCCCCAGCCATTGTGATCATGAGGAGTGTATATCGGGCTTTGGAGCTTATGTGGGTGGCAGAGCAGGCTGCCAGGATTTGGCCCCCATTTATAAGCGTGCAGTGAGCACCAGGAGAGCAAGTGTGCTGTCTCTGCTCAAAGCAAACAGTGACGAAGCTGCCGTTCCAGCGATGTCTCGCACCTTGGACCAGGTTTGGCAGACTCGATGTTTCAGGAGAATCGACCAGGCCAACCACCGTCAGGAACACGACCGAAGCCATTGTGACCAAACCTGAAAGGCCGAATGGCTTTGGGGTGTAGGGTGCACTGAGATACAGCGGTCCGATCCGCTGTGTAATTCCTGCAAACGCCGCTTTGTCGTCTCCGTGTGACCAAATCTGGAGTGGTCGCTTGGATAGTCGTTGCATCATGAGAACTCTGGAGCCAGACACTGCTTCATCCAGCTTCCAATATCCGCTACCTGTGACGGACCTCCTGCCTCAGACAACTGCCGACTCCACAGGCCTGATTCTGCGTGGGAATCAAACAGAACTCTCGACTCTGCATACTCTGCATAGTACTGCTTCTCGAGAGGCTCGTGTGCGCGTGTGCGGCCAGTCTGAGACTTCATGGTGTGTCTCGCGATGCTACGTCTCAGAACCTTGGACAGTTCTGCTGCTTGGTCGTGGAGTGGGCTCTGCTCTCCGGTGGTGATGTTCCAGGACGGCAAGCTGACCTTTGCAGCACCTGCTTGCGGGTAGACGCGTGCGTACGAGCGACACCTTGTCAATTCCGGGGTTCCCAGCTCCACTGCTTTGCCGCCGCCGATGAAAGACTCGAAATGACTCAAACTCATCTGCGTTTCAATGTCTACAGCGTAGTCAGGCCGGTCCAAAGCCGAGTCTACGGGCTGTTGTGGCATAAGCAGCTGTGCGTGCGGTGAGCGAAAGAAGTGTATCGGTGAGGCAAAACGGTCAAACATGTCTTCTTGTCGCCGAAAGAGTAGGCTGCGCATCTCAGCCAGAGGCAACGTGGGGATGGTCGAGCTGTCTGCCCATGCTTGCCAGGAGGTGAGCGGAACAGCCTTTGGTTTCCTCTTTCGCCCTGCCTTGGTCTTGGGCAGCGCGCCTACCTTGAGCGCTTTGAACGAGGCCATCATGTCCTCTTCTGCAGAAAACGACGTCTCCTCTGACGATGCTGGTTCTGGGAGCTCTGGTGCGCTGACATGGGGCAGATCATCTGGGAATACCCAGTCTGCAACTGGATTGTTCACCGCGGCGGCCACGATGCGACTCTCACCCACTCGACACTCTGTCAGAGCCAGCATCGTGGCGATAGAGCCGCCCATCAGCTCTCCGCAAATGCCCAGACGCGCTGCATATGGCTTCTGAGACGCGTCGAGGAGCAGGTTATCCTGGATCCAGTCAAAGCCGTAAAGAACGTCATGATATGGTGTTGGAAACTGGTGCTGCGAAGACGCACGGTAGTTGATGCGGACGACGGTGGCTGCACTCGATGCACGCAAAGCGGCGATGATACCTTCGTCTGCCTCAGGGTTGTGAGGTACTACAGGCCCAGGTGGAAGATAGATCAGCACAGGCGAGGCTGCGTCAAGCGCGTGATAGACGTCAACTCTGATAGAGCCATTTGAGCGGCACGGGACGTCGAAATGCTCCTTGCGCGGCGGGGCTGTGACGACTGAGTACGTGCGGTTGGCGATGGAGATGCAAGTACGGCGTGACGGTGGCGGTGAAGGTATGCCGACCCTGATCGCCCTGGAAAGAGAAAATAGCGAAAACATGACGCGAGACGCTTGTGAATGATAGGACAGCAGCTGTGAATATTGAAGTCGGAGGTGGCACCTGCGCCTGCCGCCGCACCTGAGTACGAGGATGCTTGAGGCAAAGCAACCTGACGAAACAACGACCGCCCTACCCTCGACGCGATCTGAAGCTGTGAGGGCCTCACCGACCAAGTAGAGACTGTGCACGACACGAGATGCGGTCGCCGGATTCAGGAATAGTCTCGAAGCAAGCTGGAATGGGTGTTTTGGTGGTACCGGCCGGTCGTCAGGGGTGGGCGGGCGACGGCGCAGTGACCATGGGCAGGAAATTAGAGAGGATCCCCAACGTTAGCAGGGCAGCTCCCGCAGGCTGGGGCTAGAAATTCTACGCGGCGCCGCTTCTTGTATATTTTTGCTTCTCCTCCTGTCTCTTGTTGTTGCGCGCATTCTGCTTACCTGCTGTTGTTGCTGTTGTTGCTGTTGTTGCCGTTGTTGCTGTTGCTGTTGCTGTTGCTGCTGCTGGAGGCCTGGCGACCCTGGAACGTCGCGCTGGACCCCCAAACCTAGACTCGCGCCCTGATCGATCGTCATTCGCTCCGCGAACGGTGCACCGCCTCGCAAAGCTGCACACCGAGTCTTGGGCTGACCTCTGCATGCGCCCGACAACTCGGCCCCCGTCTGCCTCATAGTCGGCAGCACGCCTCCCTGCGACTGCCTGCCCCCCTCCAGCCTCCAAATCTCTGCCCACCGCCTGTGCCTGCGCCTGTGCCTGCGCCTGCGCCTGCGAACCCCCGCAACCGCCCCAGGCTTCCACCCCGAACAGCGCCCAGCTCGCGCAAAAGTCCCTGCGACCCGCCCACGGGTACATTGTCAAAGACACGTCTCTCAGCAACACTGGCGCCTGTCCCGTAGCACTCCCAAGCCAGCAGCGACGGGCCCACCCCGGCGCGGCAGTCGACCATGGCGGAGCAGTCCAAAGTACGGGCGGCCCTCGCCCTGCTGAAGAACCTCGTGCTGGCGGCGTTGCTGTATGGCGTCATCTACGGCGTCATAAACCTGGTGAGCGACCCCAGCGTTGCGACCAAGGGGAAGCTGGGCATCCCCGCGTTTCTGGACAAGGCTGGGCCGACAGAGCTGATCAAGACCACCAAGTCGGGCGTCCAGGTCAAGTTCGCGGGCACCTCCAGGACGGTCACCATCAACCCGCACGCCAATGTCTTCAACCGCCCAGTCACCGCCGTCAAGGTCAACGACGCCTACCTGGGCCCCCGCCCCCACGTGGACACGGAGGCCGATCTGCACATGCTGGTCGAGGCGTGTCGGGGCAGCTACAGTGGCATCGAGAAGATGAGGAACGTCTTCGACTGTCTGAAGTTCTTCGCCGACGACGAGTCGCGCTACTACAAGCTGCCCGAGGAGTCTGCCCGGGCCAGTGCGCAGGACCCCCGCAAGGCCGAGTACGCCAGCGCAGATGGACACGACAACACATGGAAGAATTACGCGCCCGTCAGGGACGCGGTGGCGGCGAACGGATCGAGCATCGGCACATGCCCCGGACCCATTATCCCTTACCACGTCTACTGGACGGGCCCTGCGACGTGGCGAGTCGAGGTCTTTGTCAAGAGCTACCTGTACACGCAGAACCTGGCCTGCTCGCGTCTGTGGTTGTGGCTGGACAGCGACAAGAACCCAGACGCCGTGAAGAACATGATGACAAAGGATGCGCTCTTCGCCCGCTTCCTGCCTCTGGTGGAGCGCGGTGACATTGTGCTAAAGGCCTGGAACTTCCCCAAGCGCATCCCGCTGCCCAAGGACGAAGAAGACAAGAACGGGTTCGGATACTACAGCAGCCCTGGACGCCCCAACGCCGACGGAGAGAAGGTGCTGGCCGAGAACATCGTCGAGGACAGGACTGGCCAGCAGTGGCTCGTCCTGACCGCGAAGCAGATGACGTTTCTGCCCGTCGCTGTCTCAGACGCGGTGCGCTTCATCGTTCTGCACATGCACGGCGGCGCATACTTCGACATGGACGTGTTGATGCTCAGAGACATGCGGCCCCTTCTCCTCCCCAAGGAGCACGCCTTTGCCGAGCGATGGGCGGCGCACCCGCACCCCGGCGACTACAACACGGCCATCATGTCCCTCACGGCCAACTCGTCGCTCTCGTCCTACCTGCTCTACGGCGGCATCCGCATGGGCGTCAACTTCCACCCGCGCGTGCTCGGCCGCATGGCCTGGAAAGACGGCCGCGACCAGGAGTTCCTCATGCTCGAGACGGGCGCCTTTGACCCCATCTGGACCGAGTTCAACTGGGACCGCGAGGGCCGCTGCACGGTGCCCTGTCTGCGCGACTACGGCGCCGCGTTCAAGGGCCGCAAGGGCTCGCTCAAGGACGAGTGGGAGAGCTACGACGGCCCAGCCCTCGAGCCCGTGCGTCTCGACAAGGCGCAGCGCAGGGCGCTCAAGCGCGGCCACGAGGACGAGCAGCGTGTCTCTGCGTCGCCGGCGACGCCGTCGCCCAAGACCGAGCACGCCGACTCGTTCCAAGCCACGCTCGACGAGGAGGCGGAGCTGCGCAAGGCCGGCGTCGTCGCGGACTACAGGTTCGACGAGGACAAGTACCCGCCCAACAACCGCACGCTCGAGAACTTCTTCCGCGGCGCGTGGACGTATCACATCCACAACCAGGTTAGTCCTCCCATGATGCTACAACCCAACCCAGCCCAATCGTCTCGTCTCGTCCCGTCTCGTCTCGTCTCGCCTCGTCTCATCAAGAAGAGTAGAGTAGAGTCTGTACTGACTACCAATACAGTGGCTAAAACACCCCGAACCCTCATCCTGGCTCAGCATCCTCGAACACGCACACGACGCTTATTTCGCGCGCGCACGTCCCAATCCGTACGCTGAGACCTGGTCCGGCCCCAATCTCGCGCCCTACAATTATTGGCCTGAGTTTGTGTGAGCGCGACAAGTGGTTGAGAATACGCGTAGGTAATAAGGCACAAGTGTAGGAATAAGGATACGTGTAGGAATAAGTGGCAAGGGACCGCGGATGCCGCGTCTGCATGCCGCAGCTACACGCGCACGCGCAGCCACACGCACGGCTACACGCCGCACGCTGTAAGGTGACGACGAGGCGCTCTGGACGCATCATGTACGATTGGGATCTATCTTGCCAGCCGCGAATCGCGGTATGCGCGCGGCGTTGGGTGTATATATCTTTATCCCGCTGCGGCTGCTTTGGTCTCTGTGTTTGTATATACCACCCTCCCTTGCTTGGAGAGTCGAGGAGGATACTACCATCTCTGTGTGTGTATGTTGTGTATATTCGTCGCATTACGCGGATGATTGTATTATTTCATGTAAGATTATGCTGTGTGATGTTTGCTCGGACCTCCACTCCACACCCACACTCACTCACACGCAATCCCCCTTGCACCCAGAGCCCACGCAACCGCTCCACCTCCTCCCCCCGCACACGCTTCACAGATCAATTAGCGGCTCATCGACCTTTTGCTGCACGGGCGCGCTCTGCGGCGCAGCAGGGAAGCTCTCGGGCCCGTATCCGCCCATGGCGTACGGCGTCGCGGGGTTCCAGGTACTCTGCTGCTGCTGCGGCTGTTGTTGCTGCTGTTGTTGCTGCTGTTGCTGCTGTTGTTGCTGTTGTTGCTGCTGCTGCGGCTGCTGTTGCTGCTGTTGTTGCTTTTGGTGTTGCTGTTGCGGCGGACCGGGCTCCCTAGGATACGGTGGATTCTGCCACGCGGTCGCAGGCTGCGCGGGCGGAGAGACGGGCGCTTGCTGCTGCAGGGGTGCGCGGTATAGCTGCGGGGATGCGGACTGTGGCGGTTGCGAGGCGTGGCTGTATGTGCGCTGGATGGGCGTTGGCGCGGTGTCGTTGTAGTAGTAGCTTGCGGCTTCGGCGTCGGGCGCGCTTGCGGGTGCTTGAGACTGGGGCGGGTGGTTTGCCGAAGGTTGTGGTGGGTACTGGTTTGACGTGTGGCGTTGGGGTTGGGGTGATGGAGGCTGTTGGTAGGACGTGCTGGGTGGTTGTTGCTGGGGTGCTGCGCCGCCGTATGAGGCCAGGTTGGGGTATGGTTGTGACGGCTGCTGTGATTGTGGCGGCTGCTGTGGCTGTGGCGGCTGCTGTGGCTGTGGCTGCTGGTATGGGTCGGGCGAGGCGTACGACTGCGATGCTGATCGCTGGTCGAACGTGGGATATGGCTGCTGCGGCTGGTAGCTGGGCTGCGGTCGGCTGTAGGGGTCGGAAGGTGGTGCGCTGTTCGAGTAGTAGTTCTCGCTGCCGTGATACGAGGGTGCGGGCGCGCCAGAGGGGATCTGAGGGTACATGTTGGAGGCGGGGCGGGGCATGCCGTACATGGCATTGGCCTGAGTATATGTGCTGGACAGACGCTCCTCGAGCATGCGGTCGTAGTACCGGACGACCGTGGAGAGCTTGGTGTGCAGATCAAGCAGCGTTTCTGCCACTGTCAGCCACGTCATGAGAGAGCTGTAGGGTGGTTACGTACCGTGCTTGCTCATAGTCTCGCCATATGTCCGGGCAAGTTTCGGGCGCAGCTTACCTATGCTCTCGTACAGCTCTTGGATCTGTGGCTCGCGCAGGATAGCACCAGGTGGCTGGTGCTGGAGCCGGTCGACCAATGTCGAGAAGAGGTTGATGTTCTCCGCTTCGACGGGAGTGAGCTCAAAGTCGCTCTTCGGCGCAACGAAGGGTGTCCCGCTCGAAGTGTTTGTCGCCTGTTGGCGGAAGTTTGTGGCGTACTTGTTCTTCTGCTCCTCCATGTCGGCCAGGGACGCTGCAATGGCGGCCTTGAGATCGGCATCCTCCTCCTCCTCGGGCTCTGGCTTCTTTGCTGCTCCGCTCGGCTTCGACTGCGACTTCAGCTGGGCCTGTGAGACAAAGCCAGACGAGCTGTTGCCCTTTGCGTCTTCCAGGCTCATCTCCAGGGCTCTCTTCAGGTCTGCATCGAAGCTGTCCTCGACACGGGGGTTGCGCGGCTCCATGGAGCCCTGGTATAGGGTTTTGTTCGGCTTGGGCGCATTGAACATGGGCGCATTGAACACGGGCGCTGACGCTCCTCGTGACCGGTCGGTGAGCTTTATGTGGCAGCCATCGTCGACTCGGACGGGGTCCATGATGCCCAAGTGTGGGAGGGGGATGTTGTTGCTCGAGCAGGCGCCGCAGAAGACGTTGCCGCAGTTTCGGCAGTGGTGCTTGCGGTTGGTGAAGGTGAAGGGGGTGCGGCAGCGCATGCAGACGTCCGAGTCGGTCCACTCGGGGGGCTGCGACTTGTCAGTACGTGGAGTGGATGTTATGGGCTGGACGTGGAGTGAATGTTATGGGCTGGACGTAGAATGCATGTTATGGGCTGGACGTGGAGTGGATGTCATGGGCTGGACGTACTGCGCTGCTGTCGAGCATGCTGCTCGAAATGTTCTCCTTGGGCGGAAAGTGGTAGCCCTCGCGCTGCAGGCTCCGGTAGACGTCGTCAATGTAGCCCAGGTTGCTGCGCCCCTCGGCCGCCGTCGCCCACGACTGTATCAGGTCCAGCATCTTGCTCTGCACTTCGCGATTCGCCGCCGCGCCACCGGGTGCCTTGATGAGCGACGTCATGTTGTCAAGGAACTCGCGCGAGGCAATCTCTTGGATGAAGTGGGCGCCGCCGTTCTTGACGCACGTGTCGGTGAGCTGGCGAGGTCAGCGGCTGTCAGAGGCTGCAGCAGGCCGCTCTGCTTGGAGGCACATGCATACATTCAGGGTGGCCAGCTGCACGTTGGGGTTCTTGTGCCCGATGCGCTTCTTCAGCGAGCGCATGGCGTCTCTAGGCTGCACTGTCTTGGACCGAATCACGTCCGAGATCTCGAGGTTGAGGGGCATGTCCTCTCTGCTGCGTGTCAGCGAGCCGGCCTCCAGCTATCCAGCCAGCGTCCCCCCACGTACAGGCTCGAGGTGGTGGCGCGCTCAATCTGCTCGTCGAGCGCGCTGTTGGTCGACGACCCGAACCAGCCCGCCATGATGTCGGCGTCGCGCGCTCAATGTGTGCTTCGGCGTCGCTGCGTCGGTTCGCTGGCTTTTGCCGTGTTGCATGCAGCTGCTGCGGCGGCGAGGAGGGGTCGGATGCGATGCGGCGAGAATGCGGTGCCCTGGAGGTGTGCAATCTATGGGTCCTCAGGTAGCAGCTGCACGCCCAGGCCCGCTCCACCTATGACGCCGCACTTGTGTACGTAGCGGTGCGCTTGTGGCCGGAGCCTTGACGTGCACCCCCGAGGACATGTCGACCTGCGCCACACCTCACTTCGCCCACGCACGCTTCGCACGCTTCGCCCGCCATCTGCGACCGTCCCAGCACACTGCCGCCGGCCACACAGCGCTCCTCCGCCCCCCTCCACCGCCTAAACATCTCGGTGCACACGGCCACTCGACGAACACGCCCACGCCCACATCAACGTCCACATCAACGCCCACACCAACGCCCACACCAACGCCCACATCAACGCCCACACCGACGCCCACATCAACGCCCACACCAACGCCCACGCCCCCCTCTCGCTCCCCCGGCCCTTTGCGTCCGACATGCGCGAGCTGCCTGGAATATAGAGCGCGGTAAAGAGTGCAGCCGCTCCGTTGCCGCCCCCGGACTCCCCACCGCCCCGCCAAATGAACGGCCACAGCAATGGCGTCCAGCCCAGCGACGGCTCGAACCCGCCCATTGCCGAGATCGTGGGCTCTGCGACAGAGACGGTCGACGCGCTGAGACACCACTCGGTATGCTGCATGTGCTGCAATACCACGTGCGCCCGGAGCTGACTCGGCGCAGATCAAGCTGTTGCTGGACCACGCAAGGTCGCATTTCAACTCGGCCAGGCTCATGCTCGGCAACCGGTCGCCGGTCGCCGGCGCATATTGGGAATACCTCGTCGCCTACCAGATTGTCGCCGTGCTCATCCCCCAGCACGGCGACTACCACGACAAGATTGCCGCCAGCCGCAACCAGACACACCGCGACTACAACACCCTCTTGAAGGAGATATCCTCGCAGGAAGAGCAGTTTGTGCGCATCAAGAACATCATCAAGAATGACAACCTCCGGAACGGCGCCCGCCACGCCAGGTCCGCGTCTGCTTCGTCGTACATGAGACCGGACTCGGGCAGTGGAGCCAGTGTGCTCAAGAGGGACGATGAGCTGATGCTGCCGAGCGTGCCAACATCTGTCCCAGGTGTCGAGCCTGCACGGCGGAAACCCACACCGCAGCCCAAGCCGCAGTCACTCCACGGTCGCGCTGTCCACCAGAACTCATCGTCCGTCAATGGGGACCTCGCCGATCGTTTTGCAAAGCTTCGAGGAGCGGCTCCGCCAGCCGATACCGCTTCGCTTCGCTCCAGCCAGGACCTCTCTGTCAAGATGCCGTCTCCTACAGACTACCACTCTACGGTTCGAGGCCCACGAGAGATGCCTCCACCCACCAGACTGCCGCCGAGACTTCCACTTGATACAGACTTTGCAGCGTCGTATCCAAAAGAACCAAGTCCAACGTACAGTCCGGCACGCAACTCGAACCTGCCACCGAACATTGCGCCGCCCCGGAGCACGCCGCGGAGCATGAATGGCACTGGCGGACGGAGCAACTCATTGGCAGCGTCGAGTATATCGAACCACGCCCCAAACACCAACGGTACACCAGACTCCTACTTCCCCACACAACAACCGCTCCGTGCCGCTCCAGCGCCTGCTGCTAGTCGAAAACGATCCATCAGTGCTGCCATAGAGCTGGAGATTGACGCTGCCAAGCTCTACGACTACCTGCGCATGTTCAGCGTGTTGGTGGTGGACGTGCGTGACCGATCAGCTTTCGACGCAGGGCACATCTACCACCGCATGGTCATGTGTCTGGAGCCATGCACACTGCAGGACGGTGACTCTGCCGAGCAGCTCTGCGATCGTCTGATCATCTCCCCCGACGAAGAGCAGGCCATGTTTGAGCGCCGAAACGATTACGACGTAGTCGTCTACTACAACGATTCCACCATGAATGTCGACTTCCTGACAGAGCACAGCCGGACTGACGATGAGGCAGCATTGAAGCGCGTGTACGAGATATTGACAGAGTTCAACGTAGAGAAGCCTCTCAAGCGGCCGCCGATATTGCTGAAGGGCGGTCTCGATGCGTGGATCGACCTGGTGGGACCTCAAGCCTTGAAGACTTCCACGACCGCCGCACTACTGGCTACGGGCCAGACGAGACCTCGAGGCGTCCGCCGGTCGCCTGCTGCGACGCATGCTGCAAGACTGAGTCTGCAGCGGCGAAGACGAGAATATGTCCCCATGGATTCCGAGGAAGAGCAAAAGTGGCTGGAAGAAGCGCGAAAGGGCAGAGCCGTGGTGGAACAGCCGCCTGCCGATGAGGAGGAAGGCGAGGAGCCTGGGTCCCCGTTCTACCGCACAACCGAGGACTTCCTCAGACGGTTCCCCGACGTGGAAGGTGGCCAGTCTATGATACAGGCCGCTCCAACTCCACGACCGCCACCAGTTCCCCACTATGTTCCGCCAGCGATTCCAATCGCACCGTCCCGACCGCCGCCCTCCGTTCCTCGGGTCAGCTACAGCGGTGTTCACGAGCGGCAAGTCGCGCCACAGAGCCGCACCAACCAGCCACCAGTCTACGTCTCGCAGCCGCACTTTACCAATGTTCGCATGCACAAGACTGGGCTGATTAATTTTGGCGTGACTTGCTACATGAACTCGGTCGTGCAGTGTTTGAGCGCTCATCTCGCCCTGTCTGACCTGTTTCTGACCGGACGATACAATCGAGACCTGCAAAGAGAGAACTGGAAGGGCACCAAGGGCATTCTGCCAGAGGCCTACGCAACTCTAATCTCCAACCTGTTCAAGGGCGACATTGCATCCGTCCGTCCCAGTACTTTCAGAGTGAGTCACTACCCTTTGTTCTTGGCACGGCTTGCTAACATAGCGCAGCGCATTTGCGGTCACTTCAACTCACAGTGGGGTGTCGATCAACAACAAGATGCCAAAGAGTTTCTCGAGTTCGTTCTGGACTTTATGCACGAGGATTTGAATGTCACCTGGAACAAGGCTCCTCTCCAGCCTCTCACAGACCAGCAGGAACTGTTGCGGGAACAGTTCCCCCGCCAATACGCTGCTAAGATAGAGTGGGCACGCTATCAGCATCGCGACATGTCGGTTATCGGTAGGATGTTTGCCGGTCAGCACGCCTCGCAGCTCACCTGTCAATCATGTGGCATAACAAGCACAACGTACGAAGCCTTCTGGAGTTTGAGCTTGGAGATCCCGCGCGACCAGGCTTGCGACATACGGGACTGTCTGAGGTCATACTGCGCTGCAGAGCGTCTAGCAGGAGATGAGCTTTGGCGATGCCCCAGATGCAAGAAGGATAGGGAGGCCATCAAGAAGATCACCATCACGCGGGCGCCGGACACCTTGGTCGTCCACTTCAAGCGCTTCAGCGCCTCGCACAACGAAAGCGCGCGCAAAGTACGCACGCCCATCAACTTCCCTCTGCAAGCCCTCGACATGAGCCCGTTCATGGACGCGCCCATGTCGCCCGAGCAAGAATCGTACATTGCACACAAGGCGCCCGATGGTGCAGTGCAGCTGGCAGGCATCAAAGCAGACCCGACCATGAACGGGCCGTACATGTACAACGCGTACGCCGTCATCCACCACATCGGCGCAACTCTGGGAAGCGGGCACTACACCGCGTTCGTCAAAGACAAAGCCCGGGGCTGTTGGCGCTCCTTCAACGACGACCGTCTCGTCGACTTTGAGCCTGGCAATCTGCAGCCAAAGGACCGCTTGCAGAATGAGCGCGCCTACATTGTCTTCTACGAGCGCGAGAGGGTCGCCGGCGGCGCCTTCTAGCCTGCTCACTTGGCGTCCACGCGAGCGGACGACTTTGTTTCTCTATACATATTGCGTCTTGGATAAGCGAGTATACTTTGGCATTGCGGCGGCGTTTACCGTTGGGATTAGCGTACAGTCACTTTGATGCATTTTGACCGAGTTTTGATACCTTTGAGTCACGCATGGTACCTATCGTATCCGTTGGCTTTGGGCGAGTCGTCATGGGCGGGAGTCTGTGCAGTTTGTCGGGCTGCATATTTGAGCAGCACTTTTGGATAGATGCATTGGTGATACCACGGGCGAGAATAGCATTCCTTGAATCGAGCTGAGGCTTGCCGATGCTGGCCATTCAGGGACTTTCGCTGATGAGAAGGGTTTGCGCTCACCGTCATTCTGCAGGGCGTAAGAGGTTCACAAAGCGAAGCTAGTGCGACATCGGCCCGCAATGCACGGACTGAACTTTTCATCGCTGGTTATCGCGAGCGCCCGCATTTATGCCCCAGACGACCATTCTGCAAGCCATTGACTCTTCCACCTTATTTCCTCATACTTCACACTTCAAATCTCACACGATGGCTAAGGGACGCGTCTGCTTGGCTTACTCTGGTATGCGCATACTCCCTGCAGACGTCAATGCTTATCATTGTCATCTTTTCCTCTGACGAGCATTGTTGACTAACTTGACTCACAGGCGGTCTTGACACCTCCACCATCCTGCAATGGCTGATCGGTATGCCAATCTTGAACTCACACCCTGTCTTGGTCTGACAATTTCCCAGAGGAGGGCTACGAGGTCGTGTGCTTCCTCGCCAACGTCGGTCAGGATGAGCCCTGGGACGAAGTGGAGAAGAAGGCGCTGAAGATTGGCGCGAAGAAGATGATCATCCTCGACCTCCAGAAGGAGTTTGTCGAGGAGCTCTGCTTCCGCGCCGTCCAGTGCAACGCCACGTACGAGGGCCGCTACCTGCTCGGCACCTCGCTGGCCCGCCCCGTCATCGCTCGCGCACAGATCCGAGTTGCCCAGCAGGAGGGATGCGACTTCGTCTCCCACGGCTGCACCGGCAAGGGCAACGACCAGGTCCGCTTCGAGCTCGCCTTCTACACACTGCAGCCCTCGATCAAGGTCATCGCCCCCTGGAGGCTGCCCGAGTTCTGCGATCGCTTCAAGGGCAGGCAGGATCTGCTTGACTACGCCGAGAAGCACGGCATCCCCGTCACATCCACCAAGGCGAAGCCCTGGAGCATGGACGCCAACCTGGCCCACTGCTCCTACGAGGCCGGTAGGACGTCGTTCCTCGAACCTGCAACTCCTCGCTAACCCACCCAGGCATCCTCGAGGACCCCAACGTCTCTCCCCCCGACGACATGTGGACCATGACCCAGTCGCCCCTCGTCGCCCCCGACAAGCCCACCGACATCACCATCCACTTCGAAAAGGGCATCCCCACCAAGCTCGTCACCCCCGACAAGACCTACACCGAGTCGGTCGAGCTGTTCGTCGCGCTCAACAAGCTCGGCCACATGCACGGCATCGGCCGCATCGACATTGTCGAGAACCGCTTCATCGGCCTCAAGTCGCGCGGCTGCTACGACTCGCCCGCCATGACGGTGCTGCGCCTCGCGCACTTGGACCTCGAGGGCCTCGTCATGGACACGCAGGTGCGCAACCTGCGCGACCAGTTCGTCTCACACAACTGGAGCTACCAGCTGTACAACGGCATGTACTTTTCGCCCGAGCGCGAGTTTGTCGAGAACAGCTTGCTCTTCTCCCAGCGCCGCGTCAACGGCGAGGTGCGCCTCACCCTGTACAAGGGCAATGCGTACGTGCTCGGCCGCAGCAGCGCGACAGAGAAGCTGTACTCGGAGGAGGAGGCGTCGATGGATACGCTGGACAACTTCTCGCCCATGGACACCACGGGCTTCATCGCGATCCAGAGCATTCGCCTGAAGAAGTACGGCCTGCAGAAGCAGGAGGAGGGCGCTAACCTCAGCCGGGCTTAGCCGTACCCGTAATAGAGACGTGATATGATACGATAGCGGTAGATGAATAGAACTTTATACCCCTCTTTTTGTTACTCCACCGATTCTTCTTCAGATTCTCGAGCATTGACGCTCTTGTGCGTTGGACGGATGGGATAGTCACGTGACCCAACACCCCATAGCCGCGTCGTCACCATGGCCGCGCATCAATCAAACCAATCAATATCCTTCGAGCCCGGAAGATCTACGTTCCTCGTTGGATATCCATTTGCAAGCACATGTCTACGAGTCCGCACTTGACGTCTTCCACAAAGTAAATCCCACATCTCGCTTGTCATGCATCATGTCTTTGCGGTTTTGCTGTGAGATGGAGACATGATATCTGTGAGGACGTACTTCGTCGTCGAGTCAGTTTGCGCTTTCCACGAAGGCGCTGGAGATAGTGATGCAAGCTACAGATTCGTGAGGTGTATCTAGCTAATTGTCGGTCCTAGTACAGACAGTGGAGCAGGATGTTGCTAGACCGGATCGGAGTGTAGTTGATGGCTTTGCCGTCTTGTGCGCGCGAGGTTTGCTGGGTGCGGTGTGGGTGTGAGTGGAGACTGTGGTGTCTGCGCCTGCGTCACAAGTCCTGCCTTACTCCTCTACGATAACGGCCATTATGCCGCCGGGAAGACAAGAGAAGCTGGCACAATTGGTAATCGCTGATATATTACGACGAGGTGAGGGGGCCTTGAGTGGTCTCGCGATAACTGATTTGAACTTACCTCGACGCGGGCTCTTTTTGCAGCCTTGCTATGCGCGCAAGATGCGCACACCGCACTGCCGTATACTGAGAATGAAACGAAGGAGGTAAGACGGTGGAAAGACAAAGCCCTACGCTTCAAGGGACGAGCACGGTTTGCGGGTGTGTACAGAGGTGGCGCAGCGCGAAGACAGGCCAAGGGGAAGTATGGTTTGTACGAGCACAACGGTGAGAGGCATCAAGTTCTACCGGGCCATCGAATCGTCTTGATATCTGCTGAACACTTTAATACGAAGCACAAACGATCCTTGAAACCCTCCGCTGGAAAATCGAAGTCCAGCATCGCAATATCGGAAAGAGGCATGTGTCTCAGTAGATACATCCATCCGCGTCCCATCGACCATCCCGTCTCGCGACACTATCGATACAGCATCCTATCGTTCTCATATCAAGGCCTTTCACACGTCCACGCTCGGTCAGCACCTCGGCTGAACGAATATCTGCATATGGAGAGCTTGCTTGAGCGGGTTCGGGATGGTAGGTGTACACGTCCGGGGCAACATGTTCAGGATGATTACGGGGTAAGACTTTGAGCTTATATAGGATAATAAACTCCGGTGGGATGCGGGTGGTGCCGTCTTCGGGTGATTTCTGCGCGACGGGGAAATTTCAGGGATGGACAGGTTTCTCGCGGGTCACACTGTCACGAGAACGTTCCGAGGTTTGCTAGAGTATGATGATGGAAATCTATCGACCTTTATCCATGACTGTGAAGGCACTCGAAACTTTCAATACTCTGATATTCTATCTGAGGTCGCGATCGTACATGGAACATGGCAGTGGAACTCTCTTGCTGTACAACTCGACCTCTTACCATCACAGTTGATTCACTTGCAACACCCGAATTCATGATGCAGCTGGCACAATAGTAATGCTTCTCCGTTCTTTGTCACTGGCAAACAACGTGTTTGGGGCCCGAACCTCCGTCAGGTTATCAAGTCGCCGAGCAGACAACTGCGGCTTTTGACATGTAGTAAGAACCACATTCCGCGCAAATTCCCCCAAGCATGGCTGGCAAACGACCCGAGATCGCCGCCGCGGTACTGACCCAAGCGAAGCAAGACGCACTGGAGGCCATCCGCGCGAGCTGGAAGATCGCACACGTCTCCGACATGCTCAGCAAAGAAGCACGGAAGATCTTCAAGCAAGAACCGCCCAATGACGACTTCTTCGAGGAACCTACCCTCGCTCTGTTGCAAGAGCTGGCAAAGCGGACCGAGAATAGGAAGGGCCAGGTTAGAATAAAGCTGGAGCATAGATGGAGCGCGAGAGCGCACCACCGCGCAGATGGACCGCACAACGCTGGGGAGATCAGAGTCGGGCGAGTTGACGCTGTCAAGAATAAACACCTGCGCGCTGATATCGAGGAGTTCATTTGTGAGTTCAAGCCGCGTGGTGAGGACCGGACAGAAGACGGAGACCGTGGTGAGAGGAGTGCATACACGGATTCTGGAGGTGTGTGTGTCGTTACTAGACGCCTACAGCTCGCTGACGTTGGCAGTAGCAGAAAATTCGATTTTCTCAAAGCCAAAGACACTAACATCCAGTGCCAGAGGAGGTACAGCAACGAAGCTCAAGCGCGGGAACAGCGTTGAGGTACAGCCTAAAAAACGCCATACTATTTCTAAACCCACAAGGACGCCGGTAGCTAAGCCTGAAGATGACGCTTCCGAACACAACTCACCTGGAGACGACGAGACCGAGGTTGACAAAAGTGACCCTTCGGACGACGAGTTATCCTCATCTTCAAGCGACGATGACGACGATCCCCGGGTACCTGCTGATCGAGCGCTTTCTTTCATAAGACTAGCCTGGCCATGGTACCAGACTGAAAACGAGCCATTCGACTTCAGCATCTTGCCTCAGCATGCATACGCTCCTCAAACCGACTACCCCGCCATACCGTTTCAATACCAACGTACGCTGTTGCTTGCCATTCACAGGCTGGCACGAGCAACGCGCGGTCGCAGGGCGGCCGCGGAAAGGGCGCTGAGGCGGAAGTTCTGCCACGTGGATGTGTTCATTGAGGATGTGGCTGTGCGGCTAATAAGGCGAGTTGCGAGAAGATTTGAAAGGAAAAACGAAGAGAAGATTCTGGCTCAAAGGCAAGGGCAAAGCGATGGGCGGTGTGCTCGCCGAAATGACCTGGCGGAAAGGAGCAACGAGGGGACTGACCACGACGACACAAGTTAGGCCCGCGATGGCAGTAGGGACTGAATAACCCAGTCCGAGGCGCCACAAAAGTATAACAAGACAGTATTGGAGCACCACCTGCCGCTAATCAGTAATGACGGTTCCACACTGTGAGTGCGCTGTTATATTAGGTGACTCAATTCACGAGACATTGCTCTCTTATTGATTGCGAGATAGCTCCACAACGCCTGCAAATTATCGTTTTGTTTGTCTTTGACAGACTTGCCGCTTGCGAGCTCTCACGGGGGCAAACTGAAATAGCCGCCAAATTGCACATTCGATGGCTACAATCCTTAGGCATCGGTGATGTATCATTTCCGAATCGTCATTGACCGCTAAAACCACACGACCGAAAGCCTTGAAGAAGACCGCCAGCCCAACGCACAGTCTTATGGCTTCAGAGAGACAGTCGATGACTTCTAAGAGACGAGAGGCGATACGAGCAATCAGAGCGAGCTAGGACATTCACAACGTCGGTGAAGTCTTCAGAACCTGCAGTGCCTTAATTCACAAGATGTTACACCAGATTCCTGGCGAAACTAACATAGTTTTTTTCGAAGATGAGAAGTTATTACTAATGCAGCAATTGACCGATATCACTGTTGATAAGTTGGAAGAAGTACAACAGAACCTAAAGTCCAGGTGGCGAGCAAGAAGCAGAGGTGAGGCGGACGGCAGGCATAAGAAGGGACAGTTACAGGCTGGAAGAGGTGATGCTGGGAAAAATGCAAACCTAAGATTTGACTTCGCCGACTTAACCGAGGAAATGAGAACTCGAACTACTCCAAGGCAAGTACACAGCAAGCAAGCTAAGACAAAGGTCCCCGAGGATTATCAAGGTTCGTATGCATGTCACAGGGATACGCAAGACACTGACAAATTCAGGAAGGGTGCCATCGAAAAGCTGCTGAGCGTCCAGCTCGATCGATCTCTAGGTCATTGAACCCAGCAACTAAGCGCAAACACGGTGCTAACGATAGTGCTCATTCAGAATCGTCCCAAAACGACCCCAACGCTGGTGGAGACAAGGCCAAACGTAATCCCGGCAAGAAGCGCAGTTCCAATCGCGCAGATATCAGGGCTAAACCACCCCTCCCAAAGCAGAAATCCGATCTCAGAATACCACCAGACCACGCGGTGTTCATCATCAAGTCAGCCTGGAGGCTCCCAGTACTCCAGAACTCTTTGACATCCTCCCAGAACATTGCTACGACCCCAGCACCCGATACCTCACCGACCCGTTCGGGAGCATTCGCGATCTTCTCTTGGCGATTCAAGAGCTAGCATATGTGACGTGAGACAGAGTACATGAGGTCAGGACGGCCATGGCAGATGCCTTTGCAGAGGAGGATCAGTTCGATCAAGATGTGGCGATAGGGATTTCAGAAGGCTCGTGGAGATTTTCGGAGAGGGAAAGAAGAAGACAGTGCCAGCAAAGTAGATATCAACAACGTTAGTGATTTCCGGATCGTGAAGGGGGGGGGGGAGCGGTGATGGAGCTGTGGAGACGGACTGGCATGTGTCTGTGGCTGCTGATATGTGAGGCTTTCTGGGGAGAATTGTTCAGCGACAGGTGTCGATTACCATCATTGATCGTTAGGTATCTCCCCTGCGATTGAGCATGTGTTCATCTACACATGTTCTGGGCTACATCATGCCATGACTTCCGACCGTGACAGAGATTCTTAATATCTGCAATTCGCCTATGAAACCGGAAACTCGGGTGTCACCGAACAGAGTTTGGACTCTACCCGCGGCAGCCCTGACCTCAAGCGACATTCTCCATCAAGCCCGCGCCTATAGTTCTCCCCCTCTCGCGGATAACAACCCTCATACCCTCCTCAATCGGCAGCTCGCGCTCCAGCTGCACGACAACACGCGCCACTTCGCCCGGCTTGACGATTCTCGGCTTCTTCTTTGTGACTTCACCCGTGAACTTGTTGAGCTTGGCGCTTAGCGTCCTGATACTTCCCGGACTGTTTAGTGTACTCCTGAACACCTCGACCGGCATGGGTAGTACGTGCTCGAACGCAAGCAGCTTGGAGGTGAACGCTTTGACGAGTTTAACGGGTGCTTTGGGCGAGCAGACCATGTCGCCTTGGCGTAGATGCACGGGATCAATGTCTGTGAGATGGAGTGTAGGGATCTGGCCTGCGACGGCCCAGTCGACGGGCGCATCTTGGACCTCAATGGACTTGATGGTAGCGGTCTCATTGGCGGGAAGTGCAAGGATGACGTCGCCGACTTGCAATGTGCCGGCGTCGATGCGGCCGGATATGCTAAGGGGAGAGCGCATGTCACCGCGGAAGACATCTGCGACTGAGAGACGCAAAGGCTTCTCGAGTTGTCGCTGAGGGAGCTCGATGCGTTCAAGAGCTTCCATAAGCGTTTCGCCTGTGTACCAGTCTGCCACTGGATTCGAGATTTTGCTGACGACGTTCTCGCCCGTAAGACCAGCAAGAGGGATGAAGGTGATGCGCTTCTCCGCGAAGCTGGCATCTGTGAGGAAGGATGTCATCTTCTTGGCGATCTCGTCGAACCGTGCTTTGGACCATGCTACAGTGTCCATCTTGTTGATGGCGACAATGATGTGTTGCATCCCCATACTTCGTGCAATCAGGATGTGCTCCTTTGTTTGACCTTTCAGACCTGCTTCGAAGCTGTTCGTACCTGAGTCGATGACCAAGACAGGGAAGTCCGCTTGAGAGGAACCTGAGATCATGTTGGGAATGAAGTCTTTGTGTCCAGGAGCATCCAGAATAGTGAATCGCGACTTGTCAGTCTCGAAGTAGTTTGTCGCAATGTCGACCGTGACACCTCGACTACGCTCCTCACTTGTTTCGTCCATCACCCAGGCCAATGCGAATGACGACTTGCCTATTGTTTCAGCCTCTTTGCGGAGTTTGTCGATCGACCTTTGGTCGATGACTTTCAGGTCGTACAACAAGCGGCCCATAAGTGTACTCTTACCGTGGTCAACATGCCCTACGATAGTCAGTATACCATGCTGCTATGGACACAGCATTGATGAAAGCTGACAAAGATGAACAATACTCACCTACCACTACAAAATTGGCCATCCGCTTCATACCGCTCTTTTGTAGCTCCTCCAAAACGTTCAGGTTCTTGCTCTTGACCTTAGGTTCATCGACCGCCAGCTTCTCGACAGAGTCGGCAAGCTTTTCTCCATTTATCGAGGCCGCAGGCTTCTTCTTCTTCGGTGTGGTCCCTGTGTGCCTTAGAAAAGCTCGCTGCAAGAGCTACCGCGAATCAACGCCGTCCCGTTCCTGCGCCCTTGTTTGCCTGCGCCGCTCGTACGATGTCGTCTGGACTGGGGCCGTCGAAAGCTCTGATGGCTTGGTACTCCTTGTAAAAGCTGTACGTGACTGGAAACTCGTTGACGAGGCCTGTCGGCTGAGGGCGATGGGTGGGGCCGCAAAGCGTGGAAGCGAACAGGGAAGGTGGAGCTCGTTGCGCTGGGAACTCGATCGTGATGGCTGGTTTTGGTGCTTCTGGCTCAACCTCCATCTCTTCGACTGGTTCTTCTAGCTTTGGTGACGGAGAGCGTTTCCGAGCAGTGTACTTGGCGACGTACGAGGTGCGGGTGGCTTCTTCAGGCTGTGCGATGTTGTTTTTGCTCTTGACAGTGAGCTTGTCGAGCATGGCGACAGCTGCATCTGTCTCGCCGTTGGCGCTCGATGTTGCCTGTGCCTTTTCTCGCTCTTTTCTGCGCTTAGCTGCAAGCGCTGCCAGTTTGGAGGAGCCACCAAGGAGTCCACCTCTGAAGTGCGGTTTGTCGATCATAATCACGCCCAGTCTATGAGCAGGGACATTGCCCCAGGGTACGTCGGCGAAGAAGTCTTGGGCAGTCGACGGCATCGTAACGGGCGGCAGCGGGAAACTCGACGCAACAGGGTAGGCTGATCGCGCGTAGCTATACTGTTCGTGAGAGTGCTTACCGGCAGGAACGGGTGCCTTCTCGACAGCTGCGCTTGCAGCCTGGTCGAATTTTGATGCGACCTTCTCCTTCTTTGGTTGCGCGGGCTGCTTGGGTGCCGATGGAACGAGTTTGTTTTTGAGATAGCTCACACTCTTCCCAACATCATAGTAGTAGTGCCACAGAGCTTCCTGTATTTGCGCGTCCGTGATGAAGTCGCCTGTCTCACCCAGTGCTTCTCGCGCACTGATAGTGCTTATCCGCATCTGCTCCTTGTCGTCCGCTGACGTGGGCTCTGCCTCTTCTTCCTCGTAGTAATCGTCGTCATCGTAGACATCGTCATCGTCGTAGTCGACGTTCCTGGTGCGCTGCATCGTGACTTGTGTGGGGTTGTGATATTCGCTGTAGTGGGACGAAGCGAAGGGCGTGTATGTGGTAGCGTGATCTTGAAAGTGTACAAAACGTGTGGGGTTTGAGGGGAAATCAAGACGTGCGAGAATTCAAATCTCGCATGCCAGACAAATGTTGGTTCGACGGCAGTCGTTGACGTGGTTCGCGGTTGCGCCTGCCCCGCGCTAGTTCAGGGACAATGACATCAACTGTAGACGAACGATTTCAGACGCGTTGATTTTCTAACAACGCGTCAAACTCGAATAATATCGGCTGCATCATATTTCACGAAACGGGTCAAAAGTCTCGAAACAACTGTTTTCGATTCGCTACTCCAACACCGGAGCCCTCTGCCCGAATTAAGAATCCAACTCGCTCGCTGATATGTAATTGGGGTATAGTATTAGGGAAAAGGAAAATGCGGAAAAAATCGCTGAACATGCGCCCCCTTGGACAGTCTTTATGAGGCACTACCCTCTTCCTGACGTGTTGTGGTACGAAAAAAATTACTTTTCCGTAGGCTCGGTTGCTGTGGGTGCAGGTGCAGCCACAACAGGAGCCGCAGCTGTCGCAGGGGCAGCAGTGGGCGCCGGCTTCTGCTCAGAGCTGAAGTCAGGCTCGTCCAAAGGACCGCTGGTAGCAGACATGCCAGGAGCAGGCTTGATTGTAGGGATAGAGGGTAGATCTGCTGAAGGCGCAGGAGCAGGAGGCTCAGCGACTTGAGCAGGTACCTCGGTGGGCTTGGCCTCGGTGGCTGCAGGGGCGTCGGTCGCGGGTGTCTGCGCAGAAACAGCGGTTGGTGGCGCAGGTGCAACGGCACCAGCAGGCTCAGGGGCTGGAATTCGGAAAGTCATTAGTCTATGGGTATCTTCGAAGCAAAATGGAAAGCTGCTGATGAGATCGAGGAAAGGAGAAGCAAAACCGAGTCGACGCGGTTCAGCCATGCGATGCAGGCCGGTGCGGACGGTCAGAGACGCCGGGACGAAGGCAGACTGCGAGTGATCCGAGCAACGACTCAGCGGGAACGGTAGGCTACTCAGATAGGACCGTCACCCCAGTCGTTATCGAGCCAACCTTCTGTCGCCGCCTAGATCCATCCCCGAAGTCGTCATCGTCGTCGTCGTACTCACGAGTCTGGGAGGGATGAAGAGATATTGACCTACTCTGCGTGGCCTGCTTGACCTCAGCCAAAGCAGCTGCCTCGTCCTTCTTGGGCTCGCTGTCTACTGGGGCCGCAGCAGGAGCGGCAGCAGGAGCGACAGCTGGGGCCGCAGCAACGGGAGCAGCAGCAGCAGCAGCAGCAGGTGCGGTGCCAGTCGAAGCGGAGGCAGGCTCGCTCTTAGCGGGCTCTGGGGCCGTAGCGGGTGCTGGGGCAGCGGGCGCCGTCTCGGTGGGCTTCGAGGTGCTCGCGACGGGCTGTTCGGTGGTGGCAGTCGGCGTAGTCTGCTCCTTCTTGGCCTTCTTCTTGCTGAAGAGACCCTTGAAGGCCTTCTTCAGTTGGTCGACCGCATCAGGTGCTGTTGGCGACATGTCAGATTGGTGAACAGTTGATCTTGCGCGGAGCGATGTTCGGAGAATTTCTGGAGGCGAATAACGCTTCCTGCGACGACCGAGTTGCGCTCTCAAGGTGAACAGAGGCTGTCGCGGTGAAGGCGCGTTCTACCGAACAACCGTTTCAAGATGACAGGTGGACGGGCAGCTACTTACGGACTCCGGGCATGACGTTGGCGTTGCTTGAGGGTAGAAGCTGAAAGACGCTGCGAGAGATAAGGCGAAAGGTGCCCAAGCAACAAAACAGTGTCTTGTTAAAAGGCTCCGTGTCGTGAAGTTGAGGGATGTCGAGGGAGCTCGATAATACGAGCTGCGACGATCTTTGTGCTCTGAAGCCAATCACATCAAGGCACTAAAGTGGAACCGCTGGAGCTTATTTCTCGCACGGGCCGATGTCCAACTCGTCAAACTTAATGCCCACGCCCGAGCAGGCAAAACCTGCCGTGGCGGAGATAAGCTAGGGCTCGCCATCGTGTCAGAGAATAGGGGCAGGATGACGACTTTCTCAGGTCTTCAGAGGCGCGCTTTTGTACTACACAGCAGATTTGTGTCACCATGGAGCTTACTGGCGCACCGACTGACACCAGCAGTCCTCTCCTCTCAATTTTCATACATCAGAATGTATTTGTGCACGTTCTTCTTGCCTTTGCAGCAATTTGCGTCTGCACAAGACTCATTTCGGGGTATCGTTTCAATGTGATCAAGGACTGCCGAACCGCTGGCATTACACCTCCAACACTGCCACACTGGCTTCCAGGGCTTCGTCATGCCCTTCACATGGCCTACAGCGCTAGTCAATTTGTCGCCAGATCTTTGTAAGAGCAATTTCACATCATAACGAAACGGCAACCGGCCGACAACCGGCCGGGTTACACTCTGGATCAGTGTCGCTCTCCAAGAGCTTGAAGCGTGGCACACATCCCTTCAAGGGAGCTCAAGATAGGTACACTGGGCAGTGAGATCGTTTTGTTGGCGTTCGTGCAAGCGCCGATGCGTGCGAACTGCCTCGATACTGTTTATAGCTCTTGATATACTAACGCCAACGCTCAGGGACACATATGGTGATGGAACACCTTTTTTCGTTGATGCGGCAGGAGAGAAGATTCTCATCCTCTTGGACCCTAAGCATGTGAAGAAAGCGCTGGCATCCCCAGACCTTGATGCAAACATCTTCGTTCACAACAAGATTATGGGTCAACTGATGGGTAGTCCACAAGCCGCAATTGATTACTATAGAACGCCCGGACACACCATGAATGAGGAGGCAATGCTGCAGATCAGAACCCACACGACTGGATCACAATTGATCTCGATGGATCAGAAGTTGCTGGAGATCTTCGAGCGCAACCTGTCCAAGCTTCTGCCATCTGCTCACCAAGAGGGCTGGATGGACATTCCGGACCTATACACCTTCTTCAAGCTGCAAGGTACACTGGCTGTTGGCGAAACTATCCTAGGCACTGCGATCCATGAGAGCTATCCACGAATCGCCGAAGATCTGTGGACGTTCATTGAAGGCACCGACATCCTGCTTCTGGGTCTTCCTCGATGCTTTGCTCCAAAGTCTCATGGCGCGCGCGACCGCCTGTTGAAGCACATCAAGACATGGGGTCGTAAATCCGACGCTCTGCGTGAAAAGAATGCGGTAAATAAAGATTGGGACGCTATCGCCGGATCCACGCTTATGCAGGAGCGCGAGCAGATGTACAGCGCTCTCCCAGGGCACGATGATGATGGCAGAGCGGCTCAGACTCTCGGCTTGCTGTACGGGGGCACGAGTCTTAGCGTCCCTGTGACTTTCTGGTTCCTGTACGAGATCCTGCGCGACCCAGCTCTCCACAAGAAAGTCTTCGACGAGCTCCACCTCCACTCTGCCGCCGTCCCAGCCACAACCGACTTCGCCGGACTAGCCACCTCGCCTTTCCTCCAGTCGCTTCACGCCGAAGCCGTGCGATTCTACACCCGCAACGTGGCCGCCCGCGAAGTCGTAGCCCCAATCTTCCAACTCGACGACCGTTATGTAGTCGAAAAGGGCGTCACCGTCCTCATCCCCAACGGCAACACCGCCCGCTTCACCCAAGAGTGGTCCCGCTCGCGCCCGCAAGCCATCAAACAACCACTGACGCAATTCTGGCCCGAGCGATTCCTCGTCCGTGACGGCAAGAGCGAGCGCTATAATGAGTCTGGTCTAAGCGGAAATTGGACGTCATTTGGCGGCGGCGAGCATCGCTGCCCTGGGCGCTTTTTTGCCCGCGACATTGCGCTTGTTGCGCTGACGCTGTTTCTGGGCAAGTATGAGGTGCAGATCGTGGATCCGGAGGGGGCGAGGAGGTTCGATCCGGTCTGGAATGAGATTGCGTTTGGGACTATGACGCCGAAGGGGAAGATTGGTGCTAGGATACGTTTGAGGAAGGCGTGAGCGTGACTGCGGATGTGGGAGACGAACCCGGGTTCTCGCATTGTGTCGAGTTAAATATATTAGGTATGCACAGACTCAAGCCTTGCATGACTGTCTCTTGTGGGTGCCCTGCTCCGGATAGCAAGTTCTTCCGAGTGCTATAAGTGGAACCCGAACTTTAAATGCATTCAAGTAGTCATTTTAATAGCCAAGAGAATGTGGCATTTGTGGAGTTCCCAAACAGGCTGATAGACTCTCCAGGAGACTATATCTCACCATCAACAACATGGAAGTCTTTCAGACGTTTTCTCTTTAGATCACACAAGGTGCACCAGGCCTTCCGGGTCCACAGTGTTGCGCATTGAAACGATAAGACTGTCGTTATCATACACTACTAAATTGAAGTGGAGCCTTGCCTACTCCCGTTGAGCAATTCTTGGGGTGGAAGGCTCATATCCGAAAAGCTTCATTACAGGCTGTCGAGCACTGTTGCTGAATGAAAACCGTTTCACTTCGCACTTGAGCACAATCCGTAAGCATCAATTCAGAATTTTACTGCTAACAATGACTGCGCGTGGATTTGTTGATGGATATCAATACGCTCTGCTCTGGGTGGATCTTTCAGGATTCTGGGTGTTGGTAGCGGTGGCACAAACCCATTCCACTCTCTCCCAATCTCGAACAGGCTCCTCTCTTCCAGAACTGAGATGACCTTCGACCTTTGAAAAATATACTCGGACGTCGGTCTCCGCTCCGGACTGACCCTCTCAGACTTTGCGTCTCTCTCGACTTCCTCGTCTTCCCAGTCAGGTGCTGGTAGGCAACCTAGCTCCTCAAGGTTTCTAGGTGTACCGAGGGGATCCAGATCCAGCGATGACGAGCTTCTGATCAATCGATTGAACACGTTAATAGGAGGTTCCGGTGTAGAGAGTGGTAGCGCAATGTTTGAAGGTATGCGAGGGAAGTTGTACGAGTCGCAGCTAGCGGACGCTCGAACGAGACTGTGAGTGTCTATTGGATGACAGTATGGTGGCATGCCTGGTTCAAGCGTGTCGCGCAAGTCAACGCTCCGCTGTGAGACATGAGAGTTCGACAGATATCCAAACTTATTCGCATCCCATCGAGACCCACAGCCGTCTGATTCAGTACGTGTAGAGGATGCATCGTCCATATCCTTCGCAACGAGAGGATTCAGACCTGGCAAGCATGCACTGATAACAGAGAGCGTCTGAGCAATCTGCATGCAAAGAGAAATAGCCCAGCTGTCAGCAATGGACGGAGAGGACGCTGAGGCATTGACTAAGTATAACTGAACGCCGGCCGGCGCCGCAATACTGATAATGGTTAGTGAAGCAGTCGAAGCAGCAAGATGCCAGTACATACCTCAGCCGTGAACAAAAAATAGCGGAAACATAGATACGGCTGCCGATCACTGAGTTATCTTGAGTCCGAAGCGCGATTGGTACCAGGACTAATAGAACCTCAGTCGCGACATTGGTCAATGCGAGGTAGTTGCCAAAAGCTGCGACATCGATGCATTCGTTGTCCAGCACATTCCAAGGCACTGGCATGCGGCATTGAAACGCCGCGACAAGAACTCCACTGAGTGTCCAACCAGCAGTAAATACTGCAAGGATAACCGACGTGTACTCAAAAAAGCGACCTGCGAACAGCTTCCGCACAACAAGACTGAGGTATATCTTGGCGCAGCCCATGTTCGCGATGAACAGTACACTGGAAACGTATGCAGACTGTCGCCATAAGTGCCTGAACTTTAGAACTAGAGTGATTGAGCATACCTTTTGATATAATGCATCATCATATAACGACTGCAAATGTCGCTCGCTTTTGCTGTCTTTCCATTGTATCGAGATGGCTATTGTTTGACCGAAGCTAAACAGCTAGTTCCTGTCAGCGACCAGATCAATGATGTGGATTCGATTTTGCTTACGGCTGCTGATACGAGGAGAACTTCATCTATTGCTAACAATCTCCGGGTTGTTCTCCTTGACAGCTTCGCCGCAAAGCGAGCGACCAATGTGGAAATAACGAATGCAAAAAGTACCCAAGAGACGATGTTGATGACAATGCTACGGCTGTATGCAGAGATGAAATCTCGTCCCAGGGGTGCATCGGCGAGTACTTTTGACATCGCGGCGTTGGAGGTGTAGCTTCAACACGAGCGAAGAAGGCTATGTGACAGATGCAAAGCCGAAGTACTGCTGCTCACATACATACATCTCACGAAGCAGAGCATCCACCTCTGCTTTGTTCGACCCCTGCAGGTGGATTTGCAGGTGATGTCTATATTTGTCGCGACAGTAAGGGCGGCCCTGATCTGCACAAAGGCTGCCAGCGAGGCTTGCTATCTCTGACCATTCCGCCCCACTTGAGGGACGCAAAACAGTTGTATTGTGGTGGCAGTCGCTGATTTGAGCCCGATAATTTGCAAGTCGTATTGTGTGCAAGGCTAATCCGGACGCATGCTCGAAACATGGTAGGTTGTTGTCGGTGAGCGAGAGGAAGGCGCAGCCTCGGGAACGAGGGAAGGAAGGCCAACGCTACCTAACCGTATCGAGATTACCCCTCCCCTTGGTCGAAGCAGCTCATTCAACTCTTCATCATCACAAGGTCGATAGCATGAATCCACAACAGTCTCTTTGATGACAAATTCCCAAAGCACTCTCGTGGGTTGGTATCTAGCTCATGCCTAACGGCTGGCATGGGCGGGGTACTCTCCTACGCTGTGCGTACACTTTTCTGTCACTCATTCATCTTTAAGATCCTTTGACTATACCGTTCAGCACCAGAGACTAATACTTATGAACCTGTTGAAGGATAGCGATCGATGAATTTCATAGTAGTGGAGCCTACAGCGAGGAAGGTTTCCTGCTCTAACAGGCAAGGCGCGAGGCGCTCCATCAATCGCCATCACATGGATTCAGAATACGGAGACAGTCATCCCTGCGCTCACGCCGTGTGGCTTCGTACGATATCGTTCCAGCCGACAGCTACTAAACGCATTCATACAGTGACATCTGCGTTATACCAGTCCGAAGGCACGTGCCTTGTGTTCGTACCTGATGCCGAGGCGACTCTTGTGAAAGGCGGGGCCCCGCGACATCCCTGGTCAAAACACAACGGCAAGCAGTTCGAGCTTCGTAAGGCTGTCGGACACGGTTCGAAAAAGGGCAAGTGTCTCGTAGCGACTGACTGACTCGGGATTCGTAGAGTGAAGATCAGCGAACGCATCTGCACAGTCAACCACAGCGTTGTTCTGATTGGGTAAAAGTCTGGATGTTGCTGTACACGCTTACAATGATCACATCAGTACCTGGTCGGCTTCGTTCTGCTGGAATGGCCTCGGAACTTCAAGCGAAAGACGTGCCATGTGAATCTAGGCACAAAGATAAATGGCATTGCGCACTCATTTGACAGTTGAGCAGCCATAGCAACAGCCCGGCAATCTCCCGACGTGCCCAGATCTTTCTTCCGCGACCAACATGAAGTTTTCTCTCCTAATCCTCTCTCTACTGACGGTAAGCTCAGCGCTCCCGCTCGAGCCTCGTCAAGAGCAAAGCCTTGCACCGCAACTCCTCACTACGATCAATGACTTGAACACCGCGGTCACCGACCTGACGACAGCCGTCAACAAGTTCGATGGATCCTTGTTCGGTCTTCTACCGCAAGCACTTTCTGTTGTGAAGACTGAGGCAAAGCTCGACCTTACCATCCTGAAGGCGACTGGCATCACCGAGAGGAGTGCAAGCTTCACTGCAGAAGAGAGCACCAACATCGTGAACACATTGGCTGGGGGGATTGGTCCAATCCAAGCATCACTGGAGGCGCTCGAGGCAAAGGTTAAAATGAATCATATCAACCTGCAAAACCATCGACTAATGTATGCAGTACCCTACTTTCAAGAAGACGCTCACAGCCCCAATCGTATTGCTGGATCTCAAGATTCTGAAGAAGCACACCGGTGGGCTTATAGATGCATTGGCTGTGAAGGTAACTGCGGACAGTGCAGGTCTTCTGGGCTTAGGCAAGGGTATTCTGGATCAGTCTTTCGACAATGCTATCGCTGTGTATAGCGCGTAAAACGGCTACTGTACTTTCTTGAATTATCTGGGTGGAACCTTTGAGTTCTGATGTCTCTTTCCTCGGCCGAAAACTTATGGAAAGAGTTGTCCGCCACCGTCCTTACCTCGCTTCATAGAGCACGCGACAATGACTGGCTTTGAGAAAATTCACAGACTGCCTTTCACTTCAATCCTAAAGCTGCTAGATGACGTAACATTTCTAAGACGCATTTCACATTCACTTACGCACCTACAATGGGAAACCACACAGCTAACAACCAGCCACCAAACGGCACTTCTGCACCAGACCTACTAAAGCCACGTCAACCGTATATCTCCTGGGAAAGACAACGAGAGCTCTTCTTCGAAAGATCAAAGGACATGTCACTACACAAGTACAACTCACGGCAGATGCTGTTCGTCAAGAACGTGCTGCAAGATTCTGCGATGCGCATAGCCGGTCTATACAACAAGTACAAGCCACTCGAAACCAAAAATCTGTACCCGAATTCACGAATAACGACGTTAACGATCGCTCTGCCCAGTGTCGGCGCTGCAGAGGAAGCGCTGTGCGAGACGGACGGATTGCGGGTCGGTAACGCAGTCATCTCGGTTGAGCGTTACAACCCGCAGCAATCTGTAGTCGCAAGGTGCGATGCACGTAAGAAGCGCAATGTCTTATCGAGTGGTCACGCGAACTACGACTACGACGAAGATGATTATGACGGCTACGATGGCGACGCGGAAGCGCGAGTGGAAGATACACCCAAGACCATGAGGATTGTTGCAAAGCAGCCTGCAGCCGGAGCAACACTTACTCCACCGCGAACAAGGCGAGTCGGCGAGTCTGGCGGCATAAGTTGGGCCAACGTTGCCGGCGGCACACAACTCGAAAAGCCTGGGCAGCGTTCACCTTCACCAACGCTGCCCCCACAGGTCGACAGTCCACAACACGATCCTGACGCAACAGAATCCCGCCTGGCGCTCGGCCACCATTCCAAACAAGAGCACAATCCAGGATCAACTCAACCTTCACCAAGCGGAACCGGCCGGAGTGCTCTCTTACCACCCCCCGGATTTCCCGTACGAGCGTTCGCCATCATACCACACCAGTCTCCCCCACAAATCGCGACCACACCCGCAACAGCCTCGATAGGCCCTCGTCGGAATGCCCCATCTCCACCATCCACGAATGTACCATCACATGAAAGCTTCTATACTGCGCCAGAAGGCTGCACGCCACAGCGGGCCACGCAGACGCAAAGCAGCGCGTCGTCGCGAGTCGAAGACGATTCCAGCCAGCATACTCAGGCTCCGTATACCGGTGTCCAGTTGATGCAGCGCGGGAAATTGGGTGTGCCAAGCGACACGACCACTTTCATGAGGAGGAGACACAGTGAGGGGTGTGCGTTCTGCCAAAGGCGAGAACAGACCCAGACACGTACGTTCTCTTTACACAGATAGTCAAATTATCGTGCATACAGCTGCATAGGCCCTCATGAGATGGAGGGATTGTCGAGAAAATTACAGCGTGGGTGATTGGCGACGAGACCACGAATGTTAGATGGGCTAGTCTTGAATACAGATCCAGTATCGTTCGGCCCTAGAATTGCTCTTCGAACACGTACACTAGTCTATATCGCTTCTCCCTGATGCCTCTAATGTCGTGATGCAGTCTGTTGCCGGGTGCTATTCAGACTGCTCGGGCAGTGATGGGGTACGATTCGTGCGGCGACAGCTCTTTCGTGCTCCAGCAGCCACGGTTTCGAGTATGGCCCATAGGCTCTCTTTGGTTATGTTCCACGCCATTCTCGCACAGTCGTCACCAAATTACGTGACTATAGCGAGTAGTTAATGCAGTGGATTGTCTCAACGCCTCATCACATCCAACCCGCCCTTTAGACAATGTGCGAGAAGCGAAGAAGCAAACCTAGAGGTATTGTTGAATGAATTTGGTATCCAAAAGGTATCCGTGCAAGTAGTGTTTGACGTCTCATGGCTAATATGGACGCGCATGTTGCTTGAAAATGCTTGAGCCATATACCTTCTCCACAGCTTCTGGGCTGCCCCTTACAAATTGGCCTTTTTGTTCAACCCAAGAACTCGGGTGAGGATGAGATTTGCCTCCCTCTGCGCTGGATCTACGATTGCCTGCATGAACCTGTCGACGTGTGGTCGGTCAAAATCCGCGGGTTTAAGAAGAAGCCTTGAGGGTAGTAATATCAGCACGTTGTTTGCCACAAACTGAAACGTGGTGCTATCCCTAGCTGCGGTGATACTCTTGAGCATGAAAGTTATAACATCGCTCAGAATTGGTGGAGTGGCGGTAGGGACGGCTGCTGGGGTACTTGATAGTGAGTCGGTCTCTCTCTGCATGTTCTGTGAGCAGATAGGAGTCGTGTTGTTGGCATCGACCACTAAGTCTACTCAGCGCCCGGCCTCGTGATTTTGGCAAAGGCCATATTTTGTTCCTCAGCTCCGCTTGTATTCAAGCGTAAAGGCCAAACTTGGCGGGTTAAAGTGGCTCTGTCCTGGACAACTTTGAAACGTCACTGGAATTTCGGAGCGGTGTGTGCTGACGGGTCCTTATCCTCGGTTGGGTGTACTTCGAGTGCTGATTGTGGGCCGAGCGAGCGGTGCATTGTCGATATTTGCGCGTATGGGGGTTCAGTATGTGGCAACGTCAGCATATGCGCCAATCCCGCTTCGCCAGCGGCAGTGATGCGTAGTGCAAGAAAGGTAGCAGAAGGCGAACGGTTTGAACAGAACAAGAAACACAAGGCTGAAGTCTCAGAGTTTAAATGCCAGCGCTTGTGAGTCCATTACAAAGATCCTGTATGGAAGATGATGCCGGAGATGAATGTCGGCTGCGTCCGCCCGTGCAAACTCCAGCTGACAACGTCATACTTGGTGCTTATCCCGTGTCCATGGTGCTTGTGTTCTCTATGCGCCTGGTTCGTTTTAGATCGCTGTTGTTTTGAGAGAGGGCCATCCGAGACATTCATGATCTGTTGAACATGGGCTCTCAGACGTGACACCAGCTGCGAGCAGGTGCTATATGGCGAACGGCCGCAGGACTCCGTGTCGCAAAGTTTAGCTCGCCCAGATATCAGATTTGGCCCAGCTCATCCCGAGGCTTTGCATGGGAGACTCTACCTGCCATGCACGACCGTGAGGCCTAATTCTGCAGCTGTGTATTCCGAGTGAATAAGACAGGAAAGCGCGAAAGACGCTGGCTCCGATCGATGAAGATAGTTCGGCACTAGTGCTGTTAGCATCCACGTTCGAAGTGCCTGTCCTGAGTGCCAGAAAATGGACGGGAGCAAGTGGGGGTGCTGAACAGCTTTCTATGAGCCCATGTCTCCGTCTCGAGACGCCGCCGCTAGTTGTACAGATCATGTCGGTATGATACAAGGTATAGCACATTAGCTGAGGAGAGTGCGAACGCCGACCGCCCAAATCTGGCGCGGTAAATGCAAACCATCGAAATGACATCCACTCGTCCCAACAGATGCTGAACGTCCTGAAATTATAAACTCCCACTTTTGGGCCATTATGTCGGAAAAATTGCTTACGCGGCCAGAGCAAGGCCGCCACTTGGTGATGCACCAGCGTCTGTGGGTGGTGGCGGGGGAGCCTCGAGCTTGGTGTTATCGGCCATCATGCGGTTGAACCCGATCGAGACGCCTTCGATGACAGCCAAAAGGATGGCGCACGATATTGCGCCATTTCGCATCGACTTGTATCCTCCTCGTACGGCGAGGGAGCCTCCGGTGAAGAATCCTGCAATGATAGCGTTCCATGGGTCTTCCTTCTTTCGTATGCCCTTTACTGCGCAGTCGTATGTGTTGAAAAGTCCTCCCCATACACCGAAGTTACCGCCGAGAACTGGAGCGCGCGCCTTGATAGCTGTGATGGCGCCGATGCGTCGTTCGCCGTAGGGAGAGTTGCGGAACTGTAAGAATCCTATCAGTACGAAGGCAAGGCCGCAGGACATGTCGCACATACGCCCTTCACACCGTGCCATACCGCACCACCGACAGCCTGGAGGGAGGTTAGTGAATGTAAGAAGTTTGATACGCGTGTACACATACGCCCATGGCGAAAGCACCACCGAAGTCATTCAGGATGACCCAGGGACAGGGGTCGCGAGAGTGATCCATCTTCGATTATGTTAAGGCGGGAAGGACGGGAACGGCGACAACAAAGGGCAAATCGAGATAGGCGTGGGCGTGATGCTTGACGACCGCGAGACGGGAAGTGACGACGATGATGCTCCAAATTTGTCGGGCCTTGCGCTACTCCGGGGAAACCTCGGCAGGCGCGCTGGACTCTTCCTCCGCCTTCGACAACAATCCACAGCTATCATCAATAGAACACCGGCATCGTGTCTCCCAACTATTGCAGACTCCCTTTTGCGGTACCTTCGTAGCTCGCCAGAAATGCTGTAGTGGCAGGTTCTGCTTTATCTATGGATCTTAACACCGCGCCCACACGCGATCACGTGCATGCATACTTGCAAGTACTTCAAAAATCGATCTTGAACATACGGAAGATGACCATGCCAATTTGCACAAAAAGTCCTTACATGTTGAGTGAGATGGTGCACTCCGTCTCTCTCACCTCGTATTGTCATGTGCTCAGCCCAACGCCTAACATGAGCTGACGCCGTTAGAAAAGAATCAAGATACCCACAGTCTGTCTCCACTTCCTGTCGTCCTCTTCGTCCAGCTGTTTCCGAATACCAATCTACCATCTTCGAATTGTCATGCCTTAGAGATATGAGTCACGTGTGATCCTTACCGCCACCGCCGGCACACCTTCACTGCAACATATCGCCCCACTTAATTCAACGCAACACAGTTCAGCCTTCTAAAGTGCCACTAAAACGATTCTCAGCCAATAGTATCGAGTGCAAAAGATGGCGAGATGCCCCGTCGCTGCGTCTGCCAAGCTGTCTTCACTTCATCTTGCGCAGGATATCGCGCCAAAGTTCACCGTCACTGTTTGCTCTGAGTTGGCCCTAGCGCGGCTACCTCCTTGTTATATACGCCTTCTTCCCCATAAAATCTACCCCAACCGCGCCGAACTCGATCTTGGACACACCACCACGCAGAAGTAGCCATGGCAAGTGTGACCCAGCATCGCAGCCGCAGCCCCACCATCAAGACACCGTCCGCCTCGAGCGACGAAGGCACTTTAGCTGACGCTCCGCTCAACGATGACATATCTGTTGACGCTCCGCTGAACGACGACATATCTGTTGACGCTCCGCTCAACAACGACATATCTGCTGACGCTGAGCATCACGATGATGGTATTTGCAACCGCATCTCGAAGCCGCAATTGACTAATCTAAAGCTAGGATCGTCCCAAGATAACTCTGCTCACGATGAGATCGCTCCTCTCGGCGCCAACGTAGTTGAAGCTCTCAGGATTGTTAGCAAACTAGAGCAATTGGGCCTTGACAAGCAGCAGATTTCGCTACCCAAGTGCATTGTTCTTGGTAAACTTTGGCCCTTGGAGCAGTACAACTTGGAGAACCTATTAACAGCACACAGGGCAACAGTCAACTGGCAAGTCCTCCGTGATTGAGGCTATCTCTGGGATCAAGACTCCACGGGATACTGGGACATGCACGCGCTGTCCCCTGTTCATCGAGCTGCAGCCATCTAGCGAAGCGGGAAGCGCTTGGCACGCTGAGGTCTCTCTACTACGCCAGTATGATCTTGCGACAGACTTGAGTCACCGCGGCCTAGACACTGAGTTCGAAGGCTGGGTTTCACGCGCAGCTTCAAAGAAGATACCTTTTGTCCAGACCAATGACCCCTCAGAATTGGAGTATCTTATACGATGCGCCCAGCGCGCTACCCTGAGCCCTCTGGAAAATCCGAAGTCTTTTCTGGATCGAGCGTTCAACACCGGATCCATTCACAAGACCTTGTTCAGTCCCAATATCGTGCGCATCGTTATTTCGAAACCCGGCTTGCCGCCACTAAGCTTCTTCGATCTCCCTGGCATGATCGGTCAAGCCGAGAGCGACGATGAGGCGTTCACAGTACCACTAGTTAAGAGCTTAGTGACCAAGTACATCATGGATCCGGAGGCTCTGGTGCTTGTCACTTGTGCTCTGGAAAACGACGTTGCCAACTCGATGGCTGCTGGGCTTGCACGGGACATGAACGTAACCAGTCGCTGTATGGGTAAGCAAAACCCAACTTGATTTACATTTCACTGCTAATGCTATGTAGGGGTGCTTACGAAACCCGATCGTCTGCCTCCGGGCGAGTCTCCGCGAGGCCTCGCGAACATCTTGGACGGTCACCGCTTCGCCATGGGACATGGATACTTCATTGTGAAGAATCTGAACTCAGATGAGATCAACCAAGGTCTGACCCATCAAGATGCTCGAAGGCTAGAGCAACAATTCTTCACCACTGTCGCGCCATGGTCGACTGATCTTCGATCATATCAGTCACGCTTTGGTACGGTTAACATGCAGCAATACCTGTCTTCCGAGCTCGGTAAACGGGTGATGTTCAAGCTGCCCGTCATTCATCGTCAGATTGAAGACTGTCTTGCAGCAATTGAGGAAGAGCTGAGCCGTATACCCGATACGCCTCTACACACCGCTGTGCGCACAGTCGCTGATGTCATCCAAGACTTTTCGGCTGAAGTGCGCAGCGAGATGGCGGGGGACTACGGCCACATTTCCTGGAACAATACCTGGAAGGCCTGCCAGAAGGCTTTCTGGGATGATCTGTTCAAGCTGAAGCCCGCTTTGTCTACCACCACCGGTGAACTGGACCAGGATCTATTTACATTCATGCTTCCAGGTCAGACGGCCGACGAAGCTATGGTGATTGATTCGGATAATGACATGGAGCCAGAGACGCCGAGCAAGAAGCGCAAGCACGATACGCCGACTAAGCGCAAGCACGATTCGTCGACCAAGCGTGAGCCGCAAACGTCAGCACCTTCAACATCTCCCTTTCGGACTCCCAAAGCGCCTGCCGCCAAAGCCTCACGAGTCCTTTTTCAGAGCTCTCCTTCTCTCCGTCAATCTGGCAATATTGCGAAGCCGCGAAAGTGCTTCAAGCTCGATGATGTTGCTCGTCACCTCAGTTCGGCCTCTAGGAGCCGTGTGCCAGGACAGATCGACCCGCAGGTCCGCGAGGAGATGATGGTAGCGCCTCTTGAGAACTGGCCCTTCATACTCGACGGCTTCTTCAGCGACCTTGAGTCTCGCCTGAAGTTGCGCCTCCAGACGTTATTCGATCAACATTTTCGAGAGTGGAAGGGGTCTGAGCTGTATACGGCTTCATTTGCGATCGTTGAGTCTATCGTTGACAACAATCTACGCGAGCAGCGAACTACAATGGCGGCCGAGAGTCTAGATGACGAGCATGGAGGACCGCATATTTTCCACGAGGATGTCTTCAACACGGACAAAGCTGCCGTTATGGACAGGTACACCCAGGCACGCTCTGACGCCCGACTCAAGCTGTACTACGCTGAATACGCCGCGCATTATGATCGAGAGATGTCGCCAGCCGAAAAAGAGCGATTCCGCAAGGACGACAAGAAGATGGCACAGATTAGGAAGGAGCCATACTCCCATGAGATTGACTTGGTTGCAGACATCTCAACATACTACATGATCGCCGCCCGCCGTTTCCATGATTCTATTACCATGCGAATCGAATCTAAGTTCTTCAAGCAGTTGAGGTGCAAGCTCCGCGACCAGCTTCAGGATGAGCTCGGTATCTATGATGCTGATCAAGGTACGCCAATACGGAGTCACAAGTAATCTTCCTACATTCTAACACTACTGCAGGACCTTACAACGCTCAACGTCTGTTAGCAGAGTCGCTGGAGCGCCTAGAGCGCCGCAACATTCTTGTGGCCAAGAAGAAGGCACTGGTACAAGGGCTTCGCTGCTTCCAAGAGCACTTCCAGAAGTACCAAGCCCAGAACGGTTCCGACCACGCCCCCCTCGCACAGTCCAACTACCAGCGTCCTTCGGTGTCTACTCCGCGGACCGAAGCGATGGAAAGTGTGCGGTCTCACGGCTTGCCGCTGCGCTCTATGAGCCGCCCCGCTGCCTAGACCTCGACTCTGTTTCACAAATTTCGCTTTGCATGGCATGTCGCTTTGGTGCGCGGTCGTTCTGAACAGACCGTCTTAGTGGACCAATTTCCATGCTGACTCGCAGCGCGCACGCGTAGGATTCTTACTGCCCCAGAGTCTCCAAAGTCAATTGGCAGTTTCGGCAGACACAGTACGAGCAACGTACGAGCTTTTCACTCTGAACGTCGATAGTCATTCGAAGCATCACACTCATTTTGATTCGACTTCTGCAGAGCAGTCACGAGCTGCCTTGGGATCACTCCAGTAGTAGCGATCTTGCTCAAGTTCTTGCGTAGCTTCCATGAATCGAAAACAAAAGACTTCACCTATCTAGCCTTGCTTGCTGTGACCTTGAGCATTCTATCTCCGCTACTTCTCCCCCCTCACCACCTTCCCAATCAACGTCCCGACATCCGCCCTGAGACCTGTGTTACTCTCTGCTCGCGTGGTGCCACCCTCATTCGCACCCCGCCGACATAATCTCCCTTTACCCTCGAGCACCACGCGCTCTTCAGCTCTCCCTTCACCCAGACACAATCCTCATCATCTTCAGTCCTCCGAGCAAGTTCTTGCAACAACACGAGAGTCTCTAGCTCCAGGTAGCGGGAGTCAAACTGGGTGCCACAGTGCAGGGATACGCACGCGTCGTCTGAGAACATGCAGGACAGGTCGAAGATTTTCCAGCTGAGTACGATCTCGCGTAGGGTGCGTTATCGGGATGTCAAGACCTTGATGCTTGGTGGATGTCGTTGTGGGATTCTGCTGAGGCGTTGCATGCGGAGTACTGGTGAGTGACGGCGGTCATATCTGTTGCAGCCAAAATAGAGGCAAAATGTACATACATTTGCACCCCTGAATTGGCTGGTAAATAGGCATGATATGTGCTGCGACAATATCATATATGTGGGCGGGGAGGGGAGGATGGGGATGCTGGTGTGAGACACGGCAAGACATATTCATATCAAGGCCTTTGTGTGGAAAGTTGGGAAGGTTGTGAGCATCTCTTGCTTGTCTTGGTTAGTTAGATGATATATCATGTCTCATAGATGGCTGACGGGGCAGCAAAGCTTACGCTCGCACTTTGTGTTCCTCTCATTGACGAGGAGGTACAAGTAGTGGAGTGGAACTGTACGAAGACTGCTTTTTTAAACTTGTCTTGCAAAATAATCTAAAGAGGAGACCCTGTGCTCACTCGTTTTCCACGATCGCCTCATCATGCTCAGTGTATGTAGATGCACCTCGCTGCTCAGCCCCCACGGCCTTGCTCTCCTGCAAATCGGCCGCTTCAACTTCCACCTACTCATCGTCTGCACCAAGCCTCTCTGCTCGAAATCTCGCAATCTCCTGTGACGCATTACGCCACACCTCTCTCTTCGCCTCGATGTCCGCTAGCTCGTCAGCCACAGCCTTACTAGCGTCCGAGTCCTCTCTTGCCGCCTTATCTGGACTTGATCGCGAGGTCAGCGGCACCTGCAACCGTACGATCTGTACGCCTCTGAGCTCAAGCTCGGCTTGACTGAGCTGGCTTTCGGCGGCGGCGACCTGGGAGTGGAGTTGTGAGAGCTCGTGGAGATCTGCTGGGAGATGCGTCATAGCGGTGACCTGATGCTTGTGGTGATTGTGACTCCTGTCTCGAGCTTCTTGCTGGTCGATTAGTTGATTTGTAGAGTGGAACATTCTTTGCGCTTGTGCTGAGTGTTGTTGGTAATTTTGGGCCTGATCGTTTACGGACTCCTGAACAGAATCTTTGCGTCATAATTTAGAGGCAGAAATGTCTTGGTATTGAATCTCTTCCTGATCTTCTTGTTGTGTCAGACGGACACCAGCCTTCCCTTAGCAACCAGCGTTAACCTCTTGATGTCGCTCATACATTATTCATTCTTCCGGCTCTTTACCGATGTTTGTAGGTATATAATCCCGAGTCCTCGCCGCCCATATTCTCTCAAGCCCCTTGACAACTTCATTGCGATACTCTTCGGCACATGCCAGAGCTGACAAATCCTCAAGGGCACGCAGCACCTCTAGACAGAAGATATTCACGTTGATACTGCCCTCTGGTTCGAAATGATGGCATAGACTGTACTTCGGGACCCAGTATGTCTGTAAGGGACTTCACGTGCTAGCTCTTCACCATGGCCTCTACGATATGCGCCTTCCGGGCAGTGTGTCTGTCGTCAGCGTAGACTATCTCCCTACCACGGCGTGCCTTGTCGATTAGCTCTCGTGAGTCGTAATAAAGCGTGGCAGAATGGAGGTTGAAGCTACGGTGAGCGTGTGTGAATAATTGGAGAATAGCAGGCACGGTATCCCTACTTCTGCATGTTCTGAGAACACGTAATAATCACGTCCGTTGACTGTGACGAAGGAAGCGAGACCGAGGTGGGTGTTCTGGCAGTACCGAGCACAGAGCAGTGAAAGCGAACAAACATCCACAGACGACGAGAAGCAGCGATTAACATCCAAGTGAGTGGTAAAGAGCGAAGGATAGTGATGAGAAATATCCAGGCTGTGGAAGCTGGTGTTGATGTGGCCAGAGTGACATTCTGAGCAAGCCCTCAAGCAGATGTGCAGTTGAGTCGGCGTAAATCCAGAGCAGTGGACGGCATCATCACGAGAGAAGAAGTGATCAACTAGAAAGTCAAGGTGGGGGACGTAGCTGGGAGAAAAGTGCAAACCAGTGATGGCCCGGCCTAGATCGTACCCCCCTTTCATCCCAGACCAGCGGATGCAGGGCAAGAGAGATAAAGTCGACGTATACAGGCTGTCTGGAAGCCTTCACGGGAGATGAAAGTGATGGATCGCACCCAGACTGCGTTACATCCAGATCACAACCTCTCATCCACGCTCCGTCTCCCCACCTGTCCAGCAGCCCCGTCATACGACGTATCCGCATACCCAAACTGCTCTTCCGGCAGCGCATACCCCCCACTCCTCGCTCGAACCGCGCCCAACGCGACAGGATTCGGATTAGTATCCCATAGCTCCGCATCAACATCACTCTCGAGCTCCCGCGGCCCCGCCTTCCCACTCTGCAGCGCCAAGCTCTGAAACCTGCCCTTGCGCGTACCGCTGCGCTGCACATGCACATCGAGCGCCGTCGCAGCCAGCGTCGCCATAAGCCCCAGCAGCGCGAAGCTAAACAGCGCCTTGTACGTCCGGCACACGGTCTGGCCGAGCGAGGAGTCCCAGGTCTCGACTGCGCAGGCGGATGCGAGCGTTGCGGAGCTCCACCATGCTAGCAGCGAGAACGAGACTGTCCAAAGCACGGCTAGACTCCCGTTCAGCATGAGGTTCAGGTATGGGTTCAGCCCGTGCCGGATGTGGAGGAGTACAGTCACGGCGAGGGAGAGGGTGGTTAGGGTGGAGACTGCGAGGAGCTGCGGTCGTTAGCCTGGGTACAAGGCATGAGGTTCGGCATCACGACGTACGAGTATGAAGGTCCACGGCAGGGAGTAGCCGTTCGCGGACAGCTCGCGCAGGAAATAGGTCATGATTGAGGCTACTATGAGCGAGGAGACGAGCTGTGCGGTGCGGAGCGCGTGGAAAGGGAGGAATGGGTAGGCTGTGGGTCTGACGCGGTCCTTTTTGAACACCATGATGGTGGGTGGAAGACCGGTCAGCAAGGGTGCGATCAGGACGCCGTTACTACGAGAAAATGAAGGATCACTGGGGTTGGGTGGTCTGTACGGACAGCTGGGAGTTGCTGAGGTTGACGTCCTCAGCTCAGAACTGCGGTTGCACGAGCTTTCAGCCTCGCCCTACGCCAAGCATCAGACGATGATGAGACTTGGAGCCGTTGCCGAAACAAGATCACCGTGAGACAGAAGTCGGCAGGCCTTTGCAGTCTCCAGTCCAGATACCTCGAATGACTCTGCTTCTAGCGCCAAGGGCACCCCCACGGTCGTCCGCTCTTGTGGGTCGCTTCCACGCTAGCAACCCCGCGTTTCGCGTACCGGTAGGGCTGACGACGTCTTGCTTACTGAGACTCAACTAATCACGACATCGACCTATGATGCGCGGCCGAAAGACATTTCTTAGTCAGGCCGATGGCGATATCTATCGGCATCTTGTCTATGGTCAACGGCGCCGTCAGCGTCGGCTCCGCTGATATTAAAACAAAGCCATATCCGCACTGAGAACCACGTCTGCGCTGTCAGATTGATTCCTCGATCAAGTGTGCCAAGACCGCGCATAACTCGGACTCGGCAGCAGGTAGATTTCCACAAATATAACAAGGTGGAGTCTGACAACGATCACAACTCCGGGAGCTACCAAGCCACAGCACCTTGCAGCCGAGCGGGACTGAAACGGAAAGAGAAGACACCTTGATTGTCAGCACAAAGACACGCTCACGAGACTCGTTAGCGACATGGCCTTTTCAACGGCCATGGACTGGAGCAAAGGAGAAGCAAAGATGCACTCCCTGCTCCATGTGCCGCCGCAAGACAACCCAACATCCACCATGCTCACGCCACAGGCATCTTTCATGCTGCAGCGCGCACCTCTCCTCGCGTTTGGAACCCTGGACAACGAAGCTCGGCCCTGGACTGCACTCTGGGGCGGCGCCCCGGGCTTCTCTGGGCCCATCGGCGACGATTTCGTCGGCACGCGGACGCTGGTCGACGGCAAGTACGACCCCGTTGTGCAGGCGCTTGTCGGCGGCGGCGAAAAGGGCGAGATGGTGCGGCCGGAGGGCGAGGGGAAGATGATCTCGGGGCTTGCACTCGATCTGGTGACGCGCAAACGCGTCAAGCTCGCCGGGAAGATGGCCGCAGGCAGCCTCCGCTCGGTCGAGGTCGAGGTCGAAGAGGGGGCTGAATCGCCAGCCGACGCGCCGCCGACGCAAGACCAGATCCAGCTCGTCACCGAGATTGAGCAGAGCATGGGAAACTGCCCCAAGTACATGAACCAGTACGAAATCCACCCCGCGCTGCTCGCACCGAGCGTGCTCTCCTCAGGCCCTAGTCTCTCGCCCGAAGCAGCGTCTCTGGTAGAAAGAGCAGACATGTTGTTCCTGTCGACCAGCGGCGGAGCAGACATGGACACGAACCACCGCGGCGGCGCACCGGGCTTCATCCGCACCATCTCGGCGTCACGCATAGTCTACCCAGAGTACAGCGGGAACAGACTCTACCAATCCCTGGGCAACCTGCAGCTCAACCCGCTCATCGGCGTGACGATCCCCGACTTTGAAACCGGCAACGTCCTGTACACCACGGGCCGGGCCTCGATCCTGATCGGCCCCGACGCAGAGAAGATGATCCCCGGCATCAACCTCGCAGTCGATATCACCCTGACAGAAACCCGGCTCGTCAAGCACGGCCTGGCATTCAGAGGAACGCTGCGTCCAAACGGGCACTCACCGTACAACCCCCGCGCACGCCATCTCGCGCGCGAGGCGAGCCTGCTGGAATCGCCATCGCAAACAAAGAGCGCACGCTTGGTCGCAACCCAGCTCCTCGCGCCAGACGTCGCGCGCGTCACCTTCTCCGTGCCCGGCGGCCTCGCGTACAGACCAGGGCAGTGGATCGCGCTGAGTTTCAGCGAGGAACTGGGGCTCGGGTACAGTCACATGCGCGACGACGACCCGCGAAGTCTCAACGACGACTTGGTGCGCACGTTTACCATCTCCTCTGCTCCGAGCGCGGCGGGGTCGGGAGACGACTCGTTCGCGCTCACGCTGCGCCGCGTCGGCCGGGTGACGGCGCACTTGTTCCAGCAGTCTCCGCGCGCCGGCTCTGCAGTCCCGATCCTAGGCGTCGGGGGCGAATTCACAATCAAGCAGGGTGCAGGCGTGACGCCGTTCGTCGCGGGCGGAGTCGGGATCACGCCGCTGCTGGGCCAGCTCGGGGGGCTCGTGCTGGAGAGAGACAGGTTTGTGCTGTTCTGGGCTGTCAGGGCGGGGGACGTTGGGGTTGTGGGTGACGTGCTTGAGCGGTGTCCGGAGCTGGCTGGTGTTGGTGAGGTTTTCGTTACTGGGTCGTCTGAGGCGGGGAGGCGGGAGTGGGATGGAGTGCGGCGGGCGGGTGTGAGCGTGCAGTTTAGAAGGCTGGGGGAGAGTGATTTGGATGTTGTGCGCGCGGAGAGGTGGTATCTGTGTGCTGGGAAGGCGTTTAGGGAGCAGGTGCTGAGTTGGCTGCCGGGGCGGGAGGTGGTGTTTGAGGACTTTGGGTACTAGCGCGTGTGCGATTCGATTTTATCGATCCATTATTGTCGGAGCAGGCCTGTCTTGTCTTGATCGAAAGCTGACCTCTAGATGATAGTCATCTTGGTTGAAAGCTAGCATATAGTCATCTTGGTTGAAAGCTAGCATGGCCGTCACCTTGATCGAATGCGTAGCATATAGTCACCATGTACGCCGCCCAAACGCCGCAGTCACCATGTACGCCAGCCAAACGCCGCAGTCACCACGCCGCAGTCACCACGCCGCAGTCACCATGTGCGCCATGCAAACGCCGCCCAATCCATTCAGCGGCAGAAGCCGGGTATCATCAAAACACATGGTCCATGTGCACGGGCGGCGCGGCGGCGGCGGCGGCGGCAGCATGCTGCGTGCCAACGCTCGCGTCCACGGACGGCACGTCCCTCGCCCTAATCTCCTCCCCGATGAAGACGGCCAAGCCGGCCAGGGCATCCTGCAGGGCGCGACTGTAAAAGTCGCCCCACTGGTAGCCGCCGGCGCGCTGCTCAACACTGCCCTTGTGCTGCGTGAGCCAGTCCGCGTCGTAGTCGGGCTGCAGCGCGTACAGCCGCGGGCCAACGGACCAGCCACCAAAGGCGTCAAACGGCACCTCGGGCGGCGGCGCGACCTTCTTCTTCAGGCCGTGGAAGCTAAAGCCCCTGTCCGTCGCGGCGCCCGCGTCTGCGCCGTGGCCCGCAGCCAGCTCGGCGCGGCGCTGGCCGCCCTTTTTCAGCACGACGCCGGCGGCGCTGGACGCGGCGGGATCGGGCTCGTAGGTGCGGCGGCTCACGCCCGTCTCGGCGGCCTGGGCGTCGGCCCAGCGCTGCAGACGGGCGTTGGTCGCGTCGACGTCGAGCTTGAGGACCAGGTTCCACGTGACCTGCTCGACCTGCTCGAGGTAGTCGTTGTAGTCCTTGAGCGTCTCAAAGTCGGCCTCGTCCTTGTTCATGACGGCCTGCACGCGGCGGCGGATGTCGACCTCGCGCTCGACCTTGAGGTCCTCAAAGGTAGCCTCGCGGAAGCGGCCCTTGCGCAGGGTGCGGGCGCAGCCGGCGATCGGGCAGGGCGCGGGCCCGTGGCTGAAGATGCGGTCGACGCACGACTCACACATTTTGTGGTAGCATTCCGGGTTCACGAGGAACTTCATGTGCGGGTTGAGGTAGCGGCTGGACTTGCATACGGGGCACACGTCTGCGGCGGTGTTAGGCGGGGGGCGCTGCAGGGAGAGGCGGGTGAGGGACTGGGAGAGAGACGCACCGCCGGCTTCGCCCTGGCGCAGCTGCCCGTTGGGTTTCGACATGGCGGCGTGGGCGGGCGATGCGCAGACGCGATTAGGACTGACAAGACTGACGGGACTATGAAGACTGGGGTGGGAGTGAGTGACTAAGCGAGGCGGTGGCTGCACAAGCACAAGCACAAGCACAAGCACAAGAGCAAGCACAAGAGCAAGCACAAGAGCAAACACAAGAGCAGCCAGACGGTCGGGGTCGTCGGGACTGGTCGCTACCGTGTCGACATGTGCATGGTGGGAGTCTACATGATCGGATGTGTCCGAGGATGCGCTCCAACACTGGTAATTGGTGGTAGCGCGAACAACGTCGGTCTCGGCTAGGCAGCCCGCGGCCAACCCTCACCTCGCTCTGCGCAAATTCCCCTCCCCCACAGCCATGGCCGCCTCCGCCGAGAGCACGCTGGACAGCATCGAGCGCCGGCGCGCGCAGCTGCAGGAGAGCGTCGACAAGCTGCAGCGCGCCCTCGCCCACTGGACTACGTGGGAGGCCGAGTACGCGCTGTTCAAAGAGGAGCTGGAGCGCGCCGCGGACCCGTCGCCCGCACACATGCGCGCCATGGCGCAGGACCTCGATGCGTCGCTGCTGACGGACAGGGAAGTCGGCGACCTCCTGGGCCATGGCCGCGCTGCTGACCAAGTCGCTGCCCTCGTGCAGCGCCGCATCGACTACGTACAGCTGAACAGCGCCGCCGTCGAGAAGCAGCTCGATGCCGCCGAGAAGCAGCTCGCGGGCGTCGACGTCCTGCTGGATCCCGGCGTCGACAACGAGGAGGGCCTGCCGATGATGGACATTGAGGAGGAGCTCGACGAGGCGGGGAACGCCGTCTCTGCCTCGGTCAACCAGACGGGCGCGGGCGCCGCCGAGGTCGTCGAGGCCCTGCGCAGGGCGGGCCTGCAGCGGGCGGACCTCGACAAGATGATGCAGGGTGCTGGATCCGCCACTGAGGCTGCCGCGCCAGCAGTGGCCCCCCCGCCTGCGGTGGAGGCGCAGGCAGAGGCGCAGGCAGAGGCACAGGCAGAGGCACAGGCAGAGGCACAGGCAGATGCACAGGCAGAGACACAGACAGACACACAGACAGAGGCACAGACAGACACACAGGCAGACACACAGACAGACACACAGACAGAGGCACCGCCCGCAGCGTCTGCGCCTGTCGCGGACACTTCGAAAAAGTCGGTGTCGTTTGCGAGCGACGTCGACGTGGAGCCCCTGAAGGCGCGAGCGGCACTCGAAAAGGACGGCTACAACGAAGACCTCGACGCCCTAAACTTCACGCGCGGCACAAAGGTCATTGAGCTCGATCAAGACGACAACATGGTCGCCGCGTATCCCATCATCCCGCAGGGCGAGTCGCCCGAGGACGCCGAGCTGCGCCGCCAAATGCTGCAGTACGGCCTGTCTGAGGTCGGGCAAGTGGTTGCGGAGCTCGAGCTCGACCATCCCACCGCCGAGTACTCGGACCTCGACGACGACGACGACGACGACGACTACGATGAAGACGACGACGACGACGACGAAGACGAGGACGAGCACGGGCGCAGCACCGCGCCAGGCGTCACCGACGACTACCGGCAGCAGATGCTGGAGCTCGAGCGCAAGCTCAACGCCCGCATGCTCGAGAACATCGGGCCCCAGGCCGACGACGATCAGACCGTCGAGCAGGCCGAGAGCGTCCGGCTGCTGAAGGTTCAAAAAGACGACAAGTTTGACGAGACCATCGGCGCCGTGAAGCCAGGGCCATCCCCGCAGCCCGGGAGGAAGGGCGTCCGCTTCGCAGACGAGCTCGACATCTCCGAGCCGCCCCCGGTCCGCGCTCCAGAGTCCGCTTCTCCACTCACGCCAGCGGCGACCATGTCCGACACCATTGTCGAACGCGCCGCCGCCCCGCCCTTTGCAGCCGCCGCCGCCCCCTCGCAGCCTGCGAAACAATCGCGCTTCAAGAGCGCCCGCTCCCACGGGCCCCCCGCCCCGCTCCCCAACCCCGCCGTCTTCACGCCACAGCCCACGCCCACCGGCCCCGCCAACCGCACGCTCGCCAGCACCATTGTCGAGCGCCCGCGCCCCTCGGACGCCGCGCCGTCTGCGCCCGACGAATTCGATCCCGCGCTGCTGAGCCGCGAAATCGCCCTCGAGTACCACAAGGCGCGCAACAAGTTCATCCAGCAGCGGGGCGGCTTCGAGCCAGACGAGCGTGATCGCGCGAGTCCCATTGTCGAGCAGCGCGGCGGCAAGACGAAAAAGGTCAGCCGCTTCATGGCGGCCAAGCTGGCCGCCGAGGGGCTGTAGATGTGCCGGTTGCAGCAGTGAGGCTCGCTTGCCGTGAGGCTAGGTAGGTAGCGTGTCTGCGCAGGGTATACACACGTCTTACCCCGGCCCGGGTGGTGTGCCGTCGCGATGTCGTGCCGTCGTGATGTCGTGTCGTCGTGATGTCGTGTCGTCGTGATGTCGTGTCGTCGTGATGTCGTGTCGTGCCGTCGTGTCGTGCTGTCGTGTCGTGTCGTGTCGTCATGTGAGATCCGTCAGGACCCATTCATGCCTGTGGGCGACACCTCTTCATGTGTCAGACCCCACATTACATGGGTCCGAGAACAACTTTCAACGCCGCACTCTGACCCGCTGGCTCTCTTATAGCCGCGCAGGGATTGCTACTTCATCGCGGTGTACATCTGTTTCTTGCTTGGTGATCTGTTGTGATAAGACGAGCGTGCATGGTGATTCCGAACGGCACAACGGAGATGGGAGAGCAGCACCGCAGGAGAGCGGTACCGCAGGAGAGCAGCACCGCAGGAGAGCAGCACCGCAGGATAGCAGTACCGCAGGAGAGCAGTACCGCACCGCAGGAGAGCAGCACCGCAGGAGAGCCGCTCTGGTCGCGCTCTGTTGCGGATGATGGATGACAGATAGAAACGTTTGCTAGGCATGTGGCTACTATACACCACTCTACACCACTACACGACACTGCACCGCAGTTGTAGGTTCTCCCTCCTACCCATCCCAGTCCACAGTGTCATCTTCAAGGCACCCTTTTGCAAGCGCTTGGAGCTGTGTCTGCGACGCCGTGGCTGGTTCTCGGGCCCGTCCTCGGCCTGGATATGATCCACGTCCACCTCGACCCAGTACAGGCCGTCGAGCCAGAAGAACCCGCCACCGTTACCTGTGCGTGATGAATCCCGCCCACGCACCGCCAAATCTCCAATCTCCAACGCAGACCTCAGACGCCCTCGCCCGCCGCACCCCCGCCCGCGCTCCGATCAAACCCGCGATCGAGCTTGCGAAGCGCCTCCTCGGCCTCGCTGCGCGTCCGCCCCGTCGTCTGCGGCAAGTCGCGCATCACCTGCTGCACCAGCTCCTCGAGCGCCTTGGGCCCGTGCGTCTCGAGCGCGGCCTTGGCTTTGGCCTCGGCAAGGGCGGACACACTCGCGCCTGGCGCTGGGACGGCGGGCTGGAACGGTGGGAGCGGCTGTTGCTGCGGTAGGCCTACCGAGGTGGCGCTGGGAACGTGCGGCGCCGTCTGTGTCTGTGTCTGCGTCTGCGCCTGCGTCTGTGTCTGCGTCTGCGCCTGCGTCTGCGCCTGCGTCTGCGCCTGCGCCTGCGTCTGTGTCTGCGGCTGGCGCTTGCGCAGCATCACCTGCCCCTTGCCGTCCATGTACGTCTCGTACCCCTGCTGGTCGAGCACCTCGTCGGGGACCTTGACGTTGACCGGGATCCCCGCGGCGCCGGCTCTGTCCATTTTATCCCGCAGGCTCTGTTCGACGGGCGTGGTGCCCTTGGGCCCGTCGCGCGTCTGGTTATACTGCTCCAGCGCGCGGATGCGTTCCTGATTCTCCCTGTTGCCCTCCATCAGGAACCGCAGGCACATGATGGCGTGCTCGCGGATGTACGGGTTGTGCTCGTCGTAGCTGCAGCAGTTGAGCACCGCCTCGATGCCGCCGAGCGGCCGGATCTGGTTCTGGACCAGCGTGTTTTTCCACACGAGCGACGAGAGCACCAGCACGGCCAGCTTCTTCAGGTTGCGCCATTCAAAGTCGGACGGCTCGTCGGCCGCTTCGTCCATGTACGGGCGCGGCGAGGGCGAGGAGGGGGGCGGCATGTGGGACTCGGTGGCGGCGGGGGCGGGGTCGTAGGGTCTCTCGACTGAGACGGGGGGCGGTTGCGCTTGTGGTTGTTGCTGCTGTTGCTGCTGTTGCTGGGGTTGAGGCGGTGGAATGTCGACCTCGACCGGCGCAGGCGGCGGCGCCGAGTGTCTCAGCGGCGGGACACTGAGCTGGCCCTTGGGGATCGCAGCGTCGAGTTCCTTGAGCAGCGTGACGAGCTCATTTGCAATCTCCCAGTTGGAGAGCATCCGCTTCCAGGTCTCGTGCTCGGTCAAAATGGCAAAGAACTCGAGGTACTGGTACACGCCCTCGTACATGCGCTCCATGTCCCACAGGTTGAGCGGGAAGTCTTCAGGCTGCGCGTGGCCGGCGCGGATCTGGCCCTGTAGGAAGATGAGGGCGCACGTCTGCGGGATGATGTGTCGCCGGAACTCGGTCAGCAAGAAGTTGACCATGTGCACGTCGCCCTGATCGACCTGTGGCGGGGAGGACTTGGGCAGCCCTTTGGCGGGCTGGGCCCGGGCTTGTCGTGCGCGGAAGATGTTGGTCAGCAGCTTCATGATGACGGCCTGTGCTGGCGAGATGATGTCTTTCGATCTGTAGCGTGTCAGCTTGGTTCTGCGTTGCTGACTGGTGGACTCACTCCGACTCCCTGAAGGCGTGGTAGGCGAACGGCAGCAGCTGGTTCGCGAGGATGGCCTCCATGATCTTGACCATGAACTTGAAGTAGAGCTCTTCCTCCCTCAGGTCCCAGGCTGCCACGAAGATGAGCAACTCCCTGAGCAGATTCCTGCCATTGTCCTGGGCGAGCAGCAGATGACACCGCACGCCGTGCATGCTCCTCACGCTGCTGAAGACGGTCGGATCGGAGTGGTAGCCCGGCTGGCCCTCGGTCGGCTCCACGATGCCCCCCATGATGATCATGGGCAGGACCTCGATCTCCGTGGGGCCCAGGATGAGCGGCACATCCGTCAGCAGCCCCCTGCCCTCGTCGCCGGGGATATCGTCGTAGTCGTCGTCGGCATCATCCTCGTCGTCTGGAGGCGGAGACGTCGGGCTCGCTACATGGCTGATTAGCCCAGTCCGGTCGGGGTCAGGCTCCAGACGCTTCAACAGGTCGTCCTTGCCGTTCTGTAGGATCTCGGCGCCGAACGAGGGCGGGTAGGTAACGCGGAAATCGATCTCACCTGCCGGGGGCGACCGCTTGATGCTGGGGTCGAGCAGCGAGTCGTCTGTGGGGTGTGTCGGCGGCGACGGGAGAGAGCCGCTGGCGGTGTCTGTGTCGAGCGCCGACCCGTCAGGATTCATGGTGATGCTCGAGCGCATGCGGTCGACTTCGACCTGGAGCTGGTTGATGCTTTTGGCGAGGGCCTGCACGCTCTCCTCGTTCTTGGCGTGCTGGTCGACGACCTTTTTGTACGTGGTGGACTGCGTGATCTGGTCGCGGTAGCGGGCGACGACGTCGGCGTAGAGCATGTTCCATTTCTGGTGTGACGTCAGACGGATTCACAGAGAGGGAGGGGGAGAGGGAGGGAGCGCAAACATTCTTCTCGTCCTCGCCCATGGTCTGCCAGCGACGCCGGCATTCGGCTGCGATGTCGTTTGCGCCGGGCTTGTCGCCGTGCTGCATCAGCGCCTTCTTGACCTCGTTGCCCGTCTCGCCGATGTACAGCAGGAACGGCGACGACGCAGGCTGCTGCGGGATCTTGAACGCGTCCAGGCTCCTCGCGGGTGGGTGCTCAGACACGGGCTCTGCAGGCGGTGCGTCCTGATCCTGCGGCTTCAGCTCGTCCATCCTGTACTTCATGTCGGCGAAGTTGGGCAGCTCGTTGTCCAGGTGACTGTCGAACAGCTCGATCCACAGCATCAGCTTGCGCTGCTCGTTGCGGGCGATGAGGTTGTTGAGGAACTGCAGGCCTGTGATGAGCAGCTTCTTGTAGGCGTTGATGACGCCCTGCCACTTGTCCTCGTCCTGGGTGCCGGCCTCGCCGTCGTAGCCGCGGGCGGTGACGCGCACGCAGACGTTGACGAGGTTGAACATATCCTTGTCGAACAGCCTCTCGGCGGCGAGGTTCTGCGTGCGCTCGCCCTGCACCAGCACGTTGCGCGCAATGCACACCAGCTGGTTCAGCCTCTCCAGGTCGCGCAGCAGGCCCGGCGAGCCGCTCGCGATCAGCGGGCCGCTGAGGCCCTCGTACTCAGGCGCGGCGGGGTCTGGCTGCGCAAAGCACCGCTGCTCGAGCGACGGGATGGCGGCCTTGAGCACGGCGGCCAGATCGTCCCAGAACTCGCAGGCCAGGCCGAGCTCGTCGCGCAGCTCGAGGCGCTTGCGGCTGTCCTCGAGCGTCTTCTTGACCACGTCGCGCTCGAGCATGCGCAGCGTCTCATCGCGCACGTAGCCCGGGTTGCGGAAGTGGACCGCGTAGGGCGCGAGCGCGAGGCGAAGGCGTGTGAGGTAGGGGCGCGCGGGGGGCATCGTGTCGTCTCCAGAGCTGGCGACGCTTTGCGCCTCGTGTGTCGGCGCCATGGCCGCTCTGTCCCAACCCTCCCAGCGCCGGATCTCGCACAGCAGGCTCTGATACACCCACGCGCGGATCGGGGCGGGGCTGCGCAGGAGGCGCGCGCCGTTGTTATCCGCCAACTGCTGCGCGACGGCGTGGTACTGCGCCAGCGCAACGGGCGCAAAGGCCAGCCGGTCGCGGGCGTGCTGCGGCGCTGCGGAGGAAGAGGAGGTCGTCTCAGAGTGTTCGTCCTCGCTGCGCTCCGGAGAGTGCGGGGTCGTCGACTGCGCCGTGTCCAGCCGCAAGGTCTCTTCTTCGTCGGTGTCTGGCCGCGACCCTTGCGTCGTCGAATCCGAGTCGAAGGACATGTCCTGATATTTTTTGCTGAGCGCGCCGTCCTCCGTCATGGATTGGCGGGGGTGGGGCTGATTGTTATCGATTAGATAGTAGACGTGGATTGGTCAGATGCGACCGTGCGGCTGAAGCACTTGCCGAGCCTGGAGTAGCCCTTGCCAGACACCAACGACACTCGCACAGGGCATCCAAAATGCAGCACACCGACCAGTCTTCAAATTTGGATCAGTTCTAGCACACAGATGATGCTTGCTGCTGGTCGGTGAAACCCCATTATTCATTCGCCCAGTGAAACCCCATTATTCGTTCGCCCACAACCTCAACCCTCCAAACCAGGAACTATTTGCACAATCTACTTCCAAGGCCATGCTGCCTCAGCCCATCTCGTGCTGCTGCGATTATAATAATCAGCGTTGTTTCATTCAAACGAACACATAGTGCTCACCATTGAGCTCCGCCGCCTTGTCCTTCCTCATCCTCGATGCACTTCATCTTTCCGCTCAAAGCCGCTTTCCATTCCCTCAGCCCCTCACCGCCACCATCTCCCTTGCTTCTGATCCTTCAACTCCTCCAACTGCTCTCTTATCCTCCTCAACTCCAGACCATGCTGCTTGTGCGTTTCATCCAGGAGTCTTGCGTGTTCTCTCCTCAACTCCTTGAATTCCTCGTCCAGCTGCTCGTGCCACGGGTACAGGACAAGGACTTGGAAGCTGAGAGCCGAGGTCCCAATGACGAAGTTTGTGAGGGAGAAGCCGCGCGTGAACCACATCTCGGATCGAATGGACCCGGAAAGATCAACACGGCCGTGTAATACAGTCGTCGACTTGGATGCGGTTGAATGCTTATGTCTGGCTTCGCGGTGTTGAAATTCTCTGTTGTAAAAGCAGCGTGATGCGCCCAGTCCGAAACTTAAGCAAGTCGCTGGAAAGCAAAATCATGTGCGTCGTGATGTAGAAGGAGTTGTGCTGCGCAACATGCGGCATCAGCTCTCTATGTAGCAAAAGATCACATGTTCAATTTGTAGACCTCGACCGATCTCGACGGCTCTTTGTTGCAATTGGACCAAGACTGACTTACCATAAAGTGGCATGATTCTTTTTCCGGATTGGGCCGATGGGGGTCTAGCACCGACGAACATCAGACCACACTTGCTGCGCACGCGCAGGATCCGAGAATCACGACCCCAGGGTCAAAACGAGCGGTAATAATGTCATTGGGTAGCTTGGTTGTGGCGAGGAACAAAAGGGTGGCGGAAATCGTGTGTTGTCTCCACAGCGCACAATCCACGCGCACATCACGATCTGAATGCAAGAGGAGGCACGATCGACCTACAGAGCTGTCATGGGATGTGGCACCACGCCGTCACCAGTTGCACCCGCGAGGTGGCCATCGACATTGTTTGCATCGTCGAGTCCCTCCTGAATACCGATTGGCCGAGCAGCCGGCTCCTCAAACCAGAATCTTGGGCAATTGAGGCGCTGTCAGTAACGCTGAGGACTGTCGTTGGAGCAGCCGGAGGATCTTCAGCATCCTCGAAGATGTCTGAAGCACCGTCGTCGACGGGAGCCTCGTCATTGGTGTTAGAGAGATACCCGAGATAGTCAGCGACGTTGTTTGAGTCAATAAACTCCTACTCGACCACAGAAGATGACAAAGGCTCTTCGATGGCATCCGCCGGAGTGACGCGATTCGTGACTGATCCCGTCTCAATCGCGGCTGATATGCCCTGGGCCTCCTCAGCACCACCGACTGCAACAAATCGCTCGGAAACAGCAATGAAGATAGTCTTGATGGCCTCTGGCGACGAGGGAATGCGCTCCGGCGAAGAGGTCGAGGGCACTTCCTTGACGGAGATGATCGACAGTGTTCATGCGGGGCGCGACAATGAGCGAGGCAGGCCCGACTTGACGCAGGCGGTGGTGGTATCGAGAGGCTTTGTGGTCGGATCGGTGGGGGATGAACTATTGCGACCTGCGAATATATCAGCGACTTGTAGATCGAATGGAGCGGCCCGAAGCGAACAGCCCGTCTTCTCGAGACCATCGCCGGTATGAGTCTGCATGAGGGAAGTGATCATACCTTTGGGGGTGTTCATCGAGTGGGCCTTATCCTCGATCACGTGGTCGGGCACAGGAGTGTACAACGCGGCAAACGAGTTGATAGATGCCATCGTGAACGAGTTTGGCGTGGTTGAGATGTTGTATGGTTGAGTTTTCGTTGATGGTAGTGGGGATGGATAGAAGCTTGCACGTCAAGAAGACTGAAAAAGCTTGCAGGGAGACGAAGTACTGGTGAAAGAATCTGTGCGGCTTACAAAATTGCTAAGGAGCGTGGTGGAGGTGTTGTGCCAAAGACTTTGTATTGTATCAAAGGTTGAGAAGGCGCGAAAGATGAAGGGGAAAGCAAGCGGCGGAAGCGGCGAGTTGAGGCATCTGCGCGGGAGCTGTTGTCACTTTGTTTTGTCTCTGAAATTTATGACACCCGCAAGATGAGTTCAGGGTCTTTGCGTCGCTTCAGACCCTTTCAACCACCGTGATCATGTTTCGAGCCTAGACTCTAAGATCCAAGTGAAGAACTTGGTTGCTTGATGGAGTGGAGTATTTATACGTGAGCGAGATAGGTATAGTAGTTTTTAGGAGAATAGGATGATATAGAGGGGAATGCACAGAGAGTTTGCTAACAGCCGCATGATCGTGGAATGCGCATCGCAAGTACGAAAAATTCGATTTATGGGTCATCTGCCCGACAGCAGCATGGAAGCAATCGAACGTGTAAAAATGATCTTTGGGTCTGGGTATCGCAGGGAGAAACGAGACTACTTCATGTAGAGGATAAACAGCCGTGGCAATCTAGGGCAGTACTGGAGTATTCTTGACCCATTCTGGAAGCTCCCAGCCATGCTGATGTGACAGCTGCGCCCACGCAGAGCGCACCCAAGCCAACTTGTTTGCAAAGTCAGAGACCGACAAGTCGCGCAGGGCACCACCTGGACCACAATGTCTTCTGAAAATGCGCTCTAGAGCTGCGTTTGTGGTCAGCAGGTGCAGATGAACAGCATGGCGTAGGCAAACTTACATGCAGATGACTGAAGAGCATCAAGTAGCACCGTGTCCTGCTTCTCAGACCATTCCCGATCACCAATCAAGGTAACCGAAGACGGCGGCGGTGCGCTGCGCTCGCCGAAGAACGGCACACGTTCGAACTGATTCCCATTCGCATCGGTCTCCGCCATAGCAGGAACCTCCACGAATCTGAGACGTCGTCTTCGGTGTGGGTCGGGCTCACACTGCATGCGTGCGATATGAAGATCTTGCCAACGCTTCCTCCGTTCCCTCATAGAGCGTAGGGATTCTTCCTTGTTGACCATCTTCTGTTCCTCTTTCTCTCGTTGTCGCTGGAATTCAATGCGGGTTTGTCGATCTTGCTCTGCCTTCCGCAGGGCACTTAGCCGTTTCTTCAAGTCCTTCTCTACGACCCGCAGGGGAGCAATCAGACCACTTTCCACGCCTTTGATGATTCTATCACCTTGACCCCGTCCTTGAAGTTTGACCTTCCAAGAGTCCATCGTGTCCTTGAATCCGAGCATCTCACAGATGAAGGGATGCAGGACTTGCATGGCCTCGAGTGACTCCCTGACTTCACCCACTTTCTCTTGCAAGTTGTCGTGCATAGCTTCGAGGACGCGAGTCAAAACTCGGAAGAGATAGGCGAAGGCGTCACGCTTGAAATCGCAACGAGTGTCTTCTTGAATGTTGGTACGGATGCTGGCGAGACGGTGAATGATGTTGTCTTTGCTTGCCGTGATTTGATCGAACGAGCAGCCTTCTCCGCTCAGCGTGACAAGTGCCCTGTCACACGTGCGGTGGATCTGCCTTGCCAGTCCAACTGCGCAAAGCCCTGGACGCTCTCCGTCGTGGACGAAGTTGAAGACTGTACCCAGCGTCGGGAGTGTTGAGCGTTCAGTGGTAGCATCATCGTCATCTCGCCCACCGGCACCCTCAACATCTTCGTCCTCGGCATCTTTTTCCTCGGCATCCTCGTCTTCAGCATCTTCATCCTGCTCATCATGCCGCTCACCGTCCTGGCCTTCGCTGCTTGCCTGGTTGTGGGTGGTAGAATCTATCTCAACGTCGCCTTCCTGCCCGTCATTTTGTTCCTCGGCATCATCGTTGGTATCGTCAGCGGCGGATACACGACTTCCATTGAGGTGACGGTTTCCGTTTCGCTCAGCCGTTGCCTGCGCAGCTTCCTCGTCGTTCTCGCCATCAACCTCTGTCGCCGGAGCAGGATGAAGAGAGGAGATCTGAATTTTCCGGCTCCTGTTCTTCCGCTTTACAGGCTCGGGAGCAGACGCAAGTATCGCGGCCCTCGTCTCTTGGGCTATGCGCTGTGCAGCCATGCCCTTGCGTCCAATTGCAGCAACAGGCACCGCTGTTATCATGGCCTCTGATGTGGTTGCAGGCTCAGCCTGTGCCCGAGTGGCGCGAGAATGTGTGGGTCTGTAGAGTATCCGCACTTCGGCACGAGACTGGGCGAGTGTCTGTGCATCCTGTCCTCTCTCCTGTCGTCTTACTTCTCGTGACTCTTGCCGGGCATCCTTGGGTACTTGTTGTGGTGCATCCTGACGTAGAGTGGCTATTGGCGCCAGCACATCGTCCTTGAATGAAGGTTCGCCCGGATTTACCATCTTGGGTCCTTTCAATTTCTTCAATTTCTTCGCCGGCCTGCCCTTATTACTGGGCTCAAAACTGGTAGTTTTGTCAATGTGACCATCAGGGTTTGCCTTGCGCTTAGTTTTGACAGTCGGAATAGGTTGCGCATGCTCTACGCGGACTTTGCCCTGGACCTCTTCATCCTGTAGCTTAGCAGCGCCTGCCTCAGAAGTTTGGGACGCTTTGCTGTCACCACTCTTCCGTGACCATCCTCGGTGCTTCTTAGGCGCCGCAGGCGACTCTTCTCGCCCCCTTTTCTGAACTTCTTCTTGGGGCTTGGCACCGCCAGCCTCATTGGTTCGAGACGCTACGCTGTCGCCGCTCTTCCGTGGCCGTCCTCTGCGCTTCTTAGGTGCCGAGGATGCATCTTCGTCTGATAGCTCTGTGACTGAGGAGGCCGGTTGTTCAAATTCCACCTCTTCAGCTGCAAGTGACGATACGCTATCGCCACCCTTCCTCGGTCGTCCTCGCTGCTTCTTCGTAGCCGGAGCGACTTCCTCTGAGGATGCTACAGGCGATGTAGGAGGATCGAGAATGTCATTGTCGCCGAAAGCTTCCGTTGGCGCGGAGACATCGAGGGTCTCGGGGATCTCAGCAGATTCGTCATCGTTTGGCTGCACCTGACTCGTCTCCGGCAGAATGACGTCCTCCTCGTCTTCGAGGGCAGCAATCTGCGCAGGCAGAGAGCTTCGCTTCTTCTCCGGACTGGGGCCGACGTCGTACATCTGCTTGCCTCGAGCCTTCTTCTGCGAGCCCTCTGAGACCAGACTAGATAGGCTCACTCGTTTGAGACCACCCGTCTTAGGGAGCTTGGAAAACTTCGGCGGTCCTGACTTGGGCAACTTCCCGCCTCTTGTCGCTGGGGCCGGCGTCATAACTAGCGGCTTGGGCAACGCGCGTGCTGCGTTGAGAAGAGTTGCGCCGCGCTGGGCAGCAATTGACGTTGTGGTGGGAGTAGTAGTGTGGCACCGGACAGGACTAATGGCTTCGGCGAGGAGCTGCTGCGATGCGGCTTCAGTATCGAACGAGGGCGAGGAGGGAATGCTGACAACTAAAGATTGTCAACGATGTAAACAAAGCGGGCTGAATGCGCCGGGCTAATACCTCCAGGTGTGGGCGCCATGGTGCGCTATGGGAGCAGCACTCGGCTTCGTGAAGCTTTTGCTATCTCATGGCGGTATTTCAGACGAAAAGATGTCTTGTCGAACATCGCCGGTTGTGGGGAAGGAGCAATTACTGAGAAGGCAGTCGCGATGATGCGGGCCGACTAGCGCGAACCAGCGCCGTTGGCAGTCGTGAACCACCACCAAGACGCGCCATCACATGCCCCGCATCGACCACACCACATCTTAACATCAACATGACACAGAACACATCAATGACAGCGCCAACCCTCACAGTGTTAGATCTCACACAAGGTCACGCATTCCAAACGCCCAAGAAATGCATCAACGACGGCGATGATGTCACATACTTCCTGTCATCCAAAGCCTACGCCGACATCATGACCTTCATATTCCAGTTGAACACGGCGATGATCCCTCGCAAGATCACAAAAAAAGAGTCAGGAACAGCATCAGTCAAAGAATGGTCGCTGGACGATGCAACAGTGCCGCATTCCCCCGTGGTGCAGAGCCTCGCCAAGCTGCTCGAAGCACTGACTTCCATCATCGACGAGGCGCCGCCTGACGCCGGACCCCGAAGATTCGGAAACGTCAGTTTTAGAACGTGGTACGACATCGTGCGTGAACGTGCATCAGACCTGCTCGAAACTCACCTCCCAAAGGAGGTCTTGGCGCACAAAACCACTTTGGCCAATTCGGCAAAAAGCGAACTGGAAATGTACTTTATCGGAAGCTTCGGCAGCTCGCAGCGCCTTGACTACGGTACGGGGCATGAGCTCTCTTTCCTCGCGTTCTTGGGATGTCTGTGGAAACTGGGCGCATTCTCAGCTTCTTCAGATGGCGACCAGGAGCGCGGGATCGTGCTTGGCGTCGTGGAGCCGTATCTGGTGCTCATTCGGCGGCTGATTCTGACATACACGCTCGAACCTGCTGGAAGCCATGGTGTGTGGGGTCTTGATGACCATTCGTTTCTGTCGTATATCTTTGGCAGCGCGCAATTCTCACCGCCTATCGAAACGCCCGCGGATATGGCAACCGAGGGCTCGCTGAGGAGTGCGCCGAGTCCAGGAGATGTAGCAAAGGCTGCTGCTGTGCAGAGGGAGAGGGGGAGAAACATGTATTTTAGCGCTGTTGGCTTCATCTACGATGTCAAGAAGGGGCCGTTCTGGGAGCACAGTCCGATCCTGTATGATGTTTCTGGTGTGAAGGCCGGATGGGCAAAGATCAACAAGGTTCGCACCGAACAGAGCATCTGGTCTGAACTACAGCTAACAAAAGCAGGGCATGATAAAGATGTACAACGCCGAAGTCCTCTCCAAATTCCCCGTGGTCCAGCACTTCCCCTTCGGCTCCCTCTTCAGCTGGACCGCCGACCCCAATGCGCCAAAGATCCAAGCCAGTGTGCACACCTCGGCGCAGCCCAAGGCCGTCACACCATTGAACTCGGCCACTACGGCACGGCAAACAGGGCCACAGCCTGCGATGCGAGATCCTCGGGCAGAACAGAGTATGGGCGCACCTCCAAGGACCTCGCATCCACCTCCCAGGGACCCTCTTGCTGCTGGTAACATGTCAATGACGGCAGCGACATGGGCGAAAGCTTCCGGGCCACATGTACTTGCGGGCCCGAATCAGCCTACGCGCGCACCCCGGGTGTCGAGCACAAGAGCACCGCCGCCTCCGCCAGGAGCAAGAGCAGCACGACTTCCGCCGCCAGGAGCAGGCACAGCAGTACATGGGCCTCGATTACAAGTCCCGCAGCCCACTCCGGGAGCAAGCTCAACCCGCTTGTCTCCTTCCGGTTCAAGCACTGTGGCAAGAGGTACAGGGGATGCAAGCGCGTCCGGCGGAAGGGAATAAGTAGCGTTCTGCGCTGGCGGCCTTAGTAGGTAGCTTTAAGGCGTCTTACCGATGTTGTTGTTAAGACATTATATTGTCTTAGTAGATGGTTGGTGGGGTCCTGGCAGAGTGTCCGACGCACCCGTGTGTCTGACGCGCTCGTGGAGTACGTTAACCCTACTCGCATATCCTATCTTCATTTGCGTACTCATACACTGTTCAACGAGACGCTTGATCGAAGCGGTCGAGAGGAGCGCAGAGGAATAAGAGCAAGAGCAAGAGGAAGAAGAGTTGGAAACTGAAGCGAGGGAGGACGAAGTGATGACATACGACGTCAACGAGGCCGAATTTCATGGCGATAGATTGGTTATCTTGCATACTCGACATTTAATATACAGGTGACGTGCAAAGATGACAACTTTGTCAGTTGTAGTACTCCTGTTCAGTCTGTCGACGTACGCAACAGCCTCCTGTAGCTTTGACGCGACTCTTGCGAGTGGTTTGTCTCTCAATCTCCTCTGGTATCCTCACTTGGTCTCTGTCAGACGAATTTTGTGCACCGGCTGCAGGCGATGAATGCAGGGTAGTACTTACTGTATCAGCAAAACTTGTCAATTTGTAGGACCTACAGTGGAAGTCGAACTTGCTGGAGAGTTTCACTGGTTCGTGCCTCTGATAAGTCTCTAGCGATTTAGAAACTTACAATTGGCAATTCCCTCAACTTTGCAACTTGGTGTGCGATCTGTAAAATCCACTCTGAGTATTCGATCATCCTCTCCCTAAGCAGTTCACGGCCGAATAAGGTCTGCCCGTTCGCACAGTCTTACAAACACAACTTAACTGATGTCGGGGTAGGCTAAGTTATCCATGCCTTCTTTGTCGTTGCCATAACAGTAAAAGAAAACGTATTTAACGTTCTCAAACACCAGTCTATACAGTTGTCCTTCCCCAGGTAAGTAGTTAATTCAACGTGCACTTTCAAATGCGTTTGCAGTAAAATCTTTAATGATGGGCGGAGGTAGAAGGTAGATACGTCTGGTCACTTGGCCGATGCGCCTTAATGAAACGTCTGTCCTAACATATGTAGTAACCATTTTAATCATAAATTTGCGCAGTTTGTATGCGAAGTTTAGTGAGTCAACTCACCTCAACTCCTGGTTGGTTTCACGGTCTAGTCAGTCCAGAACGATCTGTAACGAGGTGAGATTAGGAGCGCTGAGTAGAACCCTGAAATCCATGATCTGGGAGTAGCTCAGGGACAAGAAGAAGTGCATCAACATTGGGAATAGAATGGCTGCTGCCTACTGTCCGCGTACTTCTGCTAGTTCTGCCTGTCGTGGGATTATATGATTTGAGAACTGCGATGGGAGGTCTGACATTATCTCGACCATTAAAATACACCCAACTAAAGCTGGGTAAATTGCTACTAACACCCGGAAACTTAGACTCTCAAATAATGCAGGCTTCACATGCAAAAAATAGCAATTTTGCAACAGGTTTAATTAAAATAAGAGAAGAGAACAGCACAAAGAGAGCTACTAGAGGCCCAAGGTAGCTAGCTACTTAAAATAGAAAGGCTGTTCTCTCGAGCAGAAGAAAATAAAAGTAAAGACAAGAAAGACCTATATTTAAGCAGAAATGTTCGACTCTAGTAGATTGAGGTATCCCAAACTACTAGCATCTAGACTTCAATTTTGAACAAGTCCTAACATCAACAGCTTACGATGTTGATGCAGTAGTTTGGCATTTAACAAATCCATTGACAGAAGAGGCGCCTGTATGAGTTATGCCGCCAAGAGTGACGCACTGTCCGGTTTTGGAATCGTAATTGACAATGCAACGGTGTGCTCCTGGTGCACCTGCAGATAGTTAGCAAGAATGTTTAAGTACTGTAGCACTTTCGTGTTGTTCGGTATCTACGCGGCAACGATTACAGATAACAAAAAAGCTCTACTTACCACCTGAGTAGGCATTGATGCCATGAATGAGAGGGTAGATGTATAGGCTGTGGATTTTCGAAACAGCCCACGTAAACCCCTCGTGGTTGGCGAAAAAATGCGGGTAGCCACCTGGACCAGCGCGATTGTTCCACTTGCAAAGCTCATTTTTGCACGCGTCCAGCTCAGCTGTGCTGAAATCGTTGCCAGCGCAATTCACGCCTGCAGCAACGGATGAAGCAAGCGCTGCAACGGCAAGAAGCGGCTGTAGAAGTGTTAGATTGAACTATCTTTTGCTTCACTGGTAGTTCTCCATACTTTGATAAGCATATTGTAATGATTTCAACAAATTTGGCTTGAGCGTAACAGTTGATGAGCTGAGTGGAGACTGTCGAGTAGAAAGCAGAAGGAGCGATGGGATGTAACTCTCGGTTGTAGCTTGCTACTTATATAGACGAAGTGCTTCAATCATCTCAAAGACTTGCATTAATAGGTTCATTGACAATTGATTGCAATATCGCCGTCTGACTTAACATACGGGCCGATGCTACAGGCTGCCTCCTAGTTAAGAGTGAATGTACAAGCACTCGAGACATCATGTATACGAGCCAACTAACGCACAGACCGAGGTCTTCCGTTCTTCCATGTACATTTGTAGAGAAGTATGATGGTTCCTTTTGTTATCGTCTGTTTTCTATAACATACGATGAATGCATTCTTACCAATTACGTATCCTAAGCTCTGAAACGCAGAGGCTACAATTGCATGGTAAACCGTATTGAGAGAGCTGTTGCTTAATGTGCATATGTCTGGGTTAGCGAACCAAAGGTCTTATTCCCGTTAAGAAGAAAACGGTTAGCTTTGCTAGTAGAACTACTACTACAACTACTATTCTTCGGAGAAACGTTTAAGATCGGCCTTCTCAGAGTAAAGCCTTCACTTTTACAGAAAATAGCTCAAGCCAACGATTGTGACCACAAGAAACGACAGGACTCTCGTTGACAGGGTATAATCCTGGTGTACTATGCTAAGTCGACCGATGTTTCACAGACTCAATCCACGGTTGAAATGCGCCTAAGATGGCACACACATTTAACAGCCTTGTAATGCTCCTCCGTATGCTTTCAATCTCGTACCGAATACACCCGCGAGACTTAGGCGATCCACTAAGTGGCGCGAAGTAAGACCGATTGGTGGCCTCAATCCCGAAGGTCAACGTCGAACTTAAAAATCATAAGCTTTTGAGATCCAGCGCTCCAAGAAAACGCTAGGCCGTTCGCCAGGCCAATTGGTGGTTCATCGGAGCCTCATCAGAGCTTTGCGGTACTCGTATAGTGCACGGATACTCTCTTGGTGTAAGGAGGTGCCTAGCGATGAGCTAAGATCTCCGCGGCATGAGGCCGGCGCCAACTTCCCGGGAGTTCCGGATGCCACTGCGATCGGATTAGTAGGTCTGTCTTAATGAACTGGTAACGTTGGACAAAGATTGCCTTCTCATCTGAAACCGTCAGGCCATCTGTCCGCGCAGGGCAGCGCTTCTCATAGGCCAGCTCGCTTCTCGATTGGGTTAGGTCTCCCGCTTTCACGCACTGTAGATAATCGCTCCCTCAGGTAGACTCAATCGACAGTTCACATAGCCACACTCATCACCATCCGTCGTACTGCGGTAGATTAAGCCGGAAGCTCCGAATACGATGGTACCGGTAGATCAAGCCGGAAGCTCCGGTAACGGTCAGACGCTAGCCAAATACCGGCCGAGAGGACCGTGTAGTCTGTTGTCGGCCCTCTGAGAACAAGGCATCCTCGCTCTTGGTTGTGTAGCCTACTCCTTACAGAAATTTCTAGGCCGAGTTTGCGTCTACACAAATACGCGTTATGTATAAATATGAAGACCGCTGGCAACAAATCCTACTTACAATTTTCCACGAATTATGGGTTCGCCAACTCTTGCTGCTCGAGGAGGTGGTATTCACAGAGGAAGTAGCCGTGGGGGAATCGCTTTGGAAAGAAGCCACCATATCCTACGGCCTTCCTCTTCAACCACCTCTCAAGCTATAGAATCTGATCTACCAGCCTCATCTGCTGCAAAGCTTCTTGTACAGCCTGCCATTATAGCATTTAATGCTGCCCATCCCAATGACGGCGAGGGTATTCTATGGGACATCTGGAATAGTGTAGTCGACGATGTATCACAGACGCCAACCCAAGACCTCAGCAGGGTTGTTGAGGTCCTTGCTGCTGTGGCAGACTTGACGGAACCAGCTTCGTTTGAGATTTGGGGCGACCGGACTACATGGAAGCAACTCCCATTACTTGGACCTGTTATCCGGGAGCGTTGGGATGATGGTAAGTAGTTGCAAGCATTTGTTTTATTTTCCAATTTGATAATCTGCAACGTTTGTACGTCATGTTGCAATTAACTAACTATCCATTAGAGCAACAATCTCAAGCAGTAAAAATCAATACGTTTGCTGCTCGTCTTACCGCTGCTGGTGTGCTCGATCTCTCCCTCTACGCGATTTGGACACTTCGTTCTGTTTTAGAGGATTCAGAGCCTGGCCAAGTATGCAACGAAAACAAGGACGAGCATTGCAAGGCAGCTGCAGCATGGTTCATCTATGCTGGTGATGTCCTATACACGCTTTGTAGGGAGGAGAAGCAATATGACGGTCGCGCTGCCAGACAGGGCAAAAACGTTATAGGAGAAAGCTGGAATGGGTATAACGAACAAAGATGGAGGCTTTGGGTTGAAAGATTAGAGAAGATCCAAGATGATGTTGCATGTACCGAAACAAAGGCAGTCTTAGAGGAAGCATTGAATTCGATTAAGCAAGTTGGTCCTGTTTAGAGGCCGTTGTTTGTAGTAAATTTACGAGTTTATGGACTTTTCAGATTAAGAATAACGTAACGTGTCCGTGCACGCTATGTGTGGATTAGCGCCTTAGCTAGGAAAATTAAAACACAAGCCTTCTAAGTTTAATAACGTACTCCACAAGCGAGCTGGCCACCCAAGCGAGCTGGCCACTTTTGCCAAGACCACACCGAACTTCACTCTCCCTGTAATGCCTCAACGCAACAACGTAAAAAAGCCTTTAAATAAAACACATATACAGCTTGCCCTCTAGGCTATCTAGCAAGACGCGACACTAAGCGTGCAACGCGCTGCAGCAATATACTAGGTCTCTTAAAGCACCCTAGGCACGCGCCTTACTAGAACCTCTTCACAACGCGATTGCAAGCCTAACATGATAAGGATGACTAGTACTAAGAAGGAGGTGATTGTCCAGCATGTATTGAAGCTAGACGAGCGAGGATACCCACCCTGGCTTGCTGATGTGGAGGATATGGCCAATTCTCTGCTTGCTGAGCACCAGCTGCACCACCAGCCCTACGTTGGCAAGAACTAGGCTGCTAACTTTGTAAAACGTCGGCCAGAGCTTAAAGTTAAATTTAATTGCAAGTATAACTATAAGAGAGCTCTGTATGAGGATCCTAAGGTGATTACATCGGGAAAAGTTTTTCGAAATCCGGCCCAGACTGGCTGTTGCTGACAGTCGTGGCATGGTCGTGCAACGGCTGTTCAACGGCCCCAACAGCCCTAATTTGCGCCTAACAGCCCTAATTTCGCGCCAATGTTGCTAACAGCTAAAACGCTAAGTGCCTATATTTAACAAACTTAAAATAACGTTGCAATATTGTTGCATAGCTACCCTTAGTTCTGCTAGCACTAGTATTAAATATTTAAAAATTGCAAAATTTCACGTACAGATAGAGCGAAATTGTAGCTTCAAAATAAGCGAAAAATTATTATTATAGGCCTACTACAACGCGAGTTATAGAGCGTTGAAGGTTTGTTTGTTGAAGGTTTGTGTTTTGAAGTTGCGACAGCACACCACAGCAGCTGCAGCTGCGCCAGCACACAATGTATCAGCTGCAGCTGCAACAGCACACCACAAAGCACCTGCCAACAAGCACACACTGCAGCACAGGCAGGCCTGGGCGTAGAATTCTTGGTTTACCTACTATTCTTGAATAATATTCTTGTATTTTCTAACGTTCAGGCTGCTAGAGCCCTAGCAAAGAATCTTAAGCTTAAAACCTTCTACGCTTAATAACTATTCTATAAATAGGCCTATAATGTTGTTTAATAGCTTATTTTAAAGAGGAGACTTAGTAGTATATTAATATAATAAAAGTATAGTTTATTAAGCAGAGCTACTATTGTAGCAGGACTAGGAGTTGTTGTGGCTATTGCAGCTATTAGGACTGTTAGAGCTGTTAGCTCAAAATTAGCTAGACATTGAATGCACATTAAATGACTGTTGTAGGCCTACAAGTCCTACTGTTGCCCACAGTACAATGCCACAATTTCCCGATTTCAACAACGGAAAAACTTTTCCCAATGTAGGGACTAGTTCTAACTAGTAGAGAATACTAAAGCTAAGTATAGTATACAAGATAAAGACACCCACAACTTTAACAAGTCTAGCTTTATAATAGGCGTTATATTAACAGGAGCTGTTGTTACAGGCTCTGAGCGTTAAGGGAGACTAAAGGCAGTGCAGCAGGGCGACTGAGAGTAGACTAGTATTATCTAAGGCATCTGCGCGAAGGGCTAGTCTATCCCACCCTTCATTATCTTCTCTAGCAAGTACCACCTCTCTGCCTAGTACAAGGAGCCTAGTATACCTAACAACTAGGTTCTTAATATCTCTAACAATAGCTAGACTAATAACAAGCTTAGAGTTAAGTAGTTAAAGCACTTTAATAAGCACACAAAGGCGCGCACTGTTAGCAGCCATTAGCTGCTTATTCTAGACAGCCACGAGAGCCACAACTTAGTCGAATTCCACCAGTACTGCGAGGAACACAAGATTATTACCCTGTGTATGCCTCCACACTTATCGCACCTACTGCAGCCACTTGACGTAGGCTGTTTTGCCCCGTTGAAGAAGGCCTATAGCCGCCAAGCCGAGCGGCTGATGCGCAGCAAGATTACTCACATCACCAAACTTAAGTTCTTGCCATGCTTCAAAGTGGCTTTTGACGCCTTAATCACAGAGAGCAACATCTAGGGGGGATTTAGAGGTGCTAGCCTAGTCCTACTTAACCTAGAGGCTGTGCTATTAAAGCTTAAAGTACAGCTGCGCACACTAATGCCACCTACTGTGGACAACAGTATATAGGAGTCTAAAACACTAAGCAATACCCTAGAATTTAGGTCTTAATTAAAGCTAATTTAAGAGAGGATTTAGAGACACGCTAATAGCTTACTAACGTCTATAGTTAATGCTCTTAATTAGCTTACTAAAGGCGCAGAGCTAATGGCGCATTTACTAGTTTTAGTGCGCAACTAGGTTGCTGACCTACAGGCAGCTAACAAGGCTGCCACATGTTGTAAATTACACAAAAGGAAGCAATTATAGCAAGAGGGGACTCTAGTCTTTGCTAAGGGAGTGTGGCTAACTACTCTAAAGGAGTTTAAGGCCTGTAGTGATAGGAAGAAGGCAAAGAAGAGGTTGCGTGTTAATAGGAGCACTTAGTCTCTAAGGCGCTGTGGCACATGTAGCAAGACAGGGCACAACGCACAAACATGCAGTAAAGATACACAGAGTACTATAGACTAGTTTAGTATACTGTGTAGTATAATATATTATAGTTGTGTGCTGTAATGTTGCAAAGTAGGTGCAGTATTGGTGTGGTCTTGGCAAAAGTGGCCAGCTCGCTTGGGTGGCCAGCTCGCTTGTGGAGTACGTTAATGTGTTTTACAAGCGAGTGGCCCGTACAAGCGAATGGCCCACCCCACCAACTTTCTGTAACGTGTGAACTTTAATTAGCTAAAACGTACCTCATGGGCGAGTGACCGGATTTTGCCAAGACCACACCAAACTTCAACTTCTCTTGCATATTACAGCAAGTTACTGCAAGTTACTGTGACTTACAGTATACAGCACTAATCTACAGTATTTTGCGCATCTTTTATGCACGTTTGCGCGTTGTGCCCTGCCTTACTACACCTGCTACAGCGTTATAAAGACTAAGTGCCTAGTTTAATACACCTCTTCTTGCTTGCCTTCTTCCTATTACTACAGGCTTTAAACTCCTTTAGGGTAGTCAAGCGCACTCCTTTACTAACAGTGAGAGTCCCCTCCCTCTAGATCCGCTTCCTCTTGTGTGATTTACGGCGTGTGGCGGCCTCATTGGCAGCTTGAAGCTCTGCGACCTGGTTAGGGTTGATACCCTGGATGATGCTGGTCTACTCTTGGTCGCCCTGCTATACTGTATTTAGTCTTCTACGACGCTCTAAGCCTGTAACAACAGCTCCTGTTAATATAACACTTATCATGAACCTAGACTTGTTAAAATTGTAGGTGTCTTTGTCTAGGATACTATACTTAGCTTTAGTATTCTCTACTAGGCGGAACTAGCCCTAGATTACCTTAGGATCCTTGCAGAGGGCTCTCTTGTAGTCGTACTTTTGATTAAACTTGACTGTGAGCTCTAGGCGACGCTTAACGAACGTGCTAGCCCAGTTCTTGCTAACAGGAGGCTGGTGGCGCTTAGTGAGTAGAGAGTTGGCCATATCCTACACATTAGTAAGCTAGGGTGGGTATCCTCGCTCGTCCAGCTTCAGAACATGCTACACAATCACCTCCTCTTTAGTGCTTGTTAGCTTTATTAAGTTAACCTTACAATTGTGTTATAAGAGTGTTCTAGCACGTTATTGTCTTAGTGTTCTTTCTAACACCTTGTAGATTGTTGCAGCGTGTAGAATAGTAAGAGTCACGTCTTGTTTAAGAGCCTAAATAGCAAGCTATATATCTAGTTCCTTTAAGACACTTTAAGCCTTTTTGTGTTGAGACATCACAGGTTGTATGAAGTTTGGTGTGGTCTTGGCAAAATCCGGTCACTCGCCCGGGCCGGCCACTCGCCCGTGAGGTACGTTAGTCTATTTCTTGCTATTAAAGTGCAAGTACTCCTAATGTATTTAAGACTTAGCATACTAATATATCTTCTATATTAATAAGGAAGGCTTCCTACTAGCCTTTAGGGACGTGTTCCTTAATATGTTTACAAAGGTTAACTACTAAAAGGCCTTTAAGGTATTAGGGCTTGTTCCTACTAATACGCAGGTAGTGTTAGATTACCTTAAAGTGTAGCTGTATACCCTACTAGCAGTACCTCTACCTAAAACGCTGTAGCAATCTAAGACGCTAAGCAATACACACAAGTTTAGGTCTTAATCTAAGCTTGTAAGTGACTCCTTCTAATAATTGCCTAGTGCAGCACAAGAGGGGTTCTTAAAGCTTATAAAAGAGGCTAAAGAGATACTGCATAAAAATGTCCTTATTAAGGCCTGCGTGCAAGAGCTTGAAGAGTAATTAGTAGTAATAACTAAGAGAAAATCGCGTAAGAGAAAGCAGATTCAGCATAGTAGCACACTTGAGTATGGCCCAGCAGCATCGCGGGTAGCTGCTGAGGCGTGTGTAGCAGCTCAGCCATCTAAGAAGACTTAGGGTAGAGGTAGTTAACTAGGAGCTTAGTTAACTGTTTAGCGCTGTAGGAACTGCAGTAAAACTAGACACAACGCACAAACATGCTAGGAGGGTATAGAAATATCTTCTAAATCTAATATAAGCACGCAGTATACTAGGTTACTATTTAATAGCAAGTAGTTGTAGTTGCAGTAACTTGTGTTAGTCGTGCTAAGAGAAAATGGCCAGTTTGGTGATATGGCTGGCTCGGTGATAATCTACGTTAGTAGTCATGCTATTAATGCGATGCGCTCCCTATCACCACTACCTGTATACAACTCCTGTGGCCGCAAAATTGCTCTACGTAAGAAGTTTAGGTGGCTAGAATAATTATACATCTGTATAGATTTATCCACTACAAAATCTCGTGATAATAGCTATTCTGTGTAGCTCTACAGCCTTATGTTTGCAGGTGCTTGTTTTGGTGTTTCGGGGCATCACGCGAATCCGGGCATCACGCGCACGGACACGGGTAGAGGCATTGCAACACCATAGAAAGTTGATCTACTGATAAAGCTAAGCTTCAAACTATCTAGGAGGTACAGCAGGTTGCTTTGTTATTGTTGTGCGCCAAAATCTGCGTAACGTACTCCACAGGTGAGTCGTTCATACGGGTGAGTCGTTCATACTGCCAAGACCACACCAAACCTCCACCCTATTATGGCTCGCATTGGCCTACTTTGGCCTTGTATACACTAGTACAGCATGTAATATTATTTAGCAACAGCTTCTATAGGCTTTTTACACGTGTGCAAGTTATGCCCTACCTTATAATACTATTTATAGCATCTTTAGGTTGCCTTACCTCCTTTAACACGCGCTTACTTCCCTACCTTCTTACTATTACTACGCGCCCTAAACTTGGTTAGAGTAGGTAATTAAAGGCCTTCCTTAGCTGTTAGGACGTCTTCCTGCTATAACTGCTTTCTTTTATGCAATTTACGTTGCGTAGAGGCCTTATTTACTGCTTAAAGCCTAGTAATTTCCTTTTAAGCTAACACTAGCTTGTGCACTACTATAGCTGCGCCTTTAGTAAGCTTTTTAAAGGCCTTAACTATTAAAGTTAGTAAGCTACTTACATGCCTTTAAATCCTCTCTTAAATTAGCGTTAATTGCAACCCTATTTATAGGGTATTGCTAGGGGTTTAGGACTGCTAGGGAGCATCTTCTACAGTAGGTAATAGTAGGGTATATAGGCGGACATTAAGACCTATTATAACCTGTTCTAGCTTAAAGGGAACTAGTCTAGCGCCTTAGAAGCCTCCTTAGATATTGCTAGGAGTAAATAACTCCTTGTAGGCGCCTATAAAGCATAGCAGGAACTTAGTTTTAGTAATATGTGTAATTCTGTTACGCATAAGATTCTTAGCTTAGCGCCTATACGCCTTCTTTAAAGGGGCAAAACAACCTACATCTAGTAGCTGTAAGAGGTGTGATAAGTGTGGAGGTATACATAGTGTAATAATGTTTGCTTCCTTGCAGTATTGTTAGAAGTCTAGGGAGTTGTGGCTCTTATAGCTGTTAATAAGGAGCAGCTAGTACACTCCTTAGGTGCGTGTCTTTGTATAGGTATTAAAGTGCTTTAACTAGTTAAGACTAAGCTAGTTAGTAGTCTATCTATTCTTAGAGACTCTAATAACCTAGTTGTAGGGCAGATTGTCCTCTTTATACTAGGCAGAGAGGTAGTTGCGGCCTTTAAAGATAATGAAGGGCAGAATGGCCTATCCTGTGCCATTAATGCCCTGTATAACTGTTGTCCACTCCTAGTTGCCCTGCTGCACTGCCTTTGGCTGTCCGCGACGCTCTAAGCCTGTAACAACTGCTCCTGTTAATATCTAGCCTATTATAAAGCCTGTCTTATTAAAGTTGTACGTGTTATTATCCTAGATGCTATACTTAGCTTTAGTATTCTCTACTAGGCAGAACTAGCCCCTAATAACCTTAGGGTCCTCACACAGGGCTCTCTTGTAGTTGTACTTGCAATTAAACTTAACTTAGAGGTTAGGGCGGCGCTTAACGAATGTATTAGGCTAGTTTATGCCAACATGGGCCAAATTACGCTCAGCGCGCAAAGAATTGGCCATATCAGCTACAGCAGCCAATCGAGGGGCATATCCTCTGGCATCCAGCTCAAGTATGTACTCAGCAATCACATCCTCCTCAGTCTGATCCATATTCCGTGATTTTGGCGTGCAATTGGCTCGTGCAGTGCGTCCTGCGTATCGATCGCGTAGCGTGTTGTAAGGCGCGTTATATATAGCTGCAGCGCGTCACAGAGTGAGCGTCGCGTCTTGTTTAACTGCCTAAAGCGCAAGCTGTATTGCAGCTTCTTTAAAGGGCTTAGATTTGTGTTGTTGTTGAGGCATTGCGTTGTGAAGTGGAATGTTGGTGTGGTCTTGGCAGTATGAACGACTCACCCGTATGAACGACTCACCCGTGGAGTACGTTATAACGAGACATCAATATGCTCCGCATCCTCCCCGACGCTAAATCACGTGGTGTCGATGGTATTTCGAAAATCACCCATATTGTAAGTGGCTCAACAGCCTTAGTTTGGTGATAGCTGTAAAGGCCTAGAACAATCGTTAGCTGACTCCGATCGTTGGGTGCACGGCCACGGTACGGTATGTATGTCAGCAGAAACTGTCCCAGTTTTTCTGCTGTCCATAGGGTGGTGGTATTACGATGAAATTTCTTAACTCTACAGATGCTACAGGATCTGTTCTGCTGCCTACTATTGTTACTCTAAATTAACGGCCCAACTTTTTTCGACAGATATAGCCCTGCTATAGTGTGGCATCGCTGGACCTTCTGCGTCATGTGATATGGTTGGAATGCCTGCCTTTGATACATCTATAAGCTGCAATTGGACCTGAGAATTATTGTCATCATCATCCTCAAATAGATTACTAATATCTGTGGAGTGTTCGCGGCCCCCTCTTTTCTGTATTGTGTAACCCCGGCTGAGCTCGCCTGTGTTATAGCCCGATCGGCTGCTGTCCACTCTAGAACTGATTTTTTTGAATAGAGGCCGCATGAGCGGAACGCATGCGAGCACTATGGCAACAGCGGGTTCCATGCCGGATAAGATTGTGGTAAGCGTCCCACTGTAGGGCATGTCCATGAAGTTTAGCGACGGTAGTACGATCTGTCTGTAGATAGTGATAGCCCAGGTTCTGTTCTATGTTAGTATCCTATGATTTATACTTTTGCTGTATGGCTTGTACGAACCCAATACCAATGCCCAGTAAGGCCATGGCGAGAATCTTTCTTCCCGTAGCGAGTTGCAGTCGATATAGGTAAGGCATAGGTAGCACAATGATAGCGCCATCTGCTATGAGATTTACGATTCCCATGGCGGAATAGAAAGCTGGTTGGCTACCACAGGTTCCAGGCATGGCAAAGTTCCAATTTTTGGAGAGCGGTCGGCAGATAAGGAGTGCAGCAATGATGTTGGACGTGTTCCACAGGAAGATTAAGCCACCTATAGCTCTGGCCCATGTGATCATTGAAGGTATCGGTATTATGGTGACGTACATCAGTAGCACTGATATCTTGCTGAAAAAGACTGTAGCATTCCACAGAAACGAAAATGAAAAGATGGCCTTAAGAATCTGTTAGATTGCAAGACAACTAAAGCAGATAATAATAGAAGATTGTGCGTACCTTGAAGAAGAAGACTGCAGTGTCCTGATTAAAGCGAGCATATATCTCAGTTAGATGGAAACTAAGCCCACCATGGGTTACCATCAGTATGCAGCTTGTATGTAGCCCTATGTTCCAGAGCTAAAAATACAGTAAACATATGAATATTTGGATCGCTGGATGGTCTGCGCACATACGAGAGCAGCAGCAATGCAATAGTCGCTGTAATCGTGACCCCCTCTGATGGTTTTGGCGATAAACCGCAGCCCCACAGCGAGTGCCGGGATAACTATACATAGACTGGAGGTTACTAGCACAGCTACCTGATCTTTGTTTTCGATTACAATACTCTCAACCATGATGAAGCCCTCGAGATTGTGTACTGGAAGCACGAACGCAACTGGGCAGTGAGAAAAGCATAAAAAGAAGAACAGGCATCATCAAGGCCACCAAAGACTAGAACATGAGAAATTGCTAGATTTCATGCCAAGAAGGAACCACCAAGGAAGAGTATCGAGGATACCTCAGCCTTCATCATGCGCATGTTTGCAGAGCCGATTCATACTGCGGATTCCAGGAAGCCCCCGCGATAGCCGGCTAGAACAGGGATCGCGGAAGAGGCGGCGGTCAACAAAGCGAAATCGAGTTTTTATCGAGCAAAGATAGACATGTTAACGTAGCGTCACAGTTCTGGAGAGGCAACCGAAGGATTATGCACGGTACTCCTGTACCATAGAATCCTTTGATCTAATTAGCGCATGCACGTTAAAGTTGTGCATTCCAGTGGGGCAGAGCTGCATCAGCAAATACCCCTCACATTCACTGAATTCTTCGGACACGTTGAGTCTATCATAACTATTACCACTTCCGATTTGCGCACATTGAAGCTGGCTGAATTGGATGCAGGGATGTTTAGAAGCGGACCTTTGCCTAGAAAAACATACGTGCCGCTGAAGAACGCTGCCGTGTCCGCGCCGCAGCCATGCATGCGGCAAGAACATAAGGATTAGTATAAGCTAGACTAAGTGTCCATTCGGGTCGCAGATTCGCTGTCTAATTCCCCGTGATAATCGCTTGCTGTTGCGGCCAAAATAGAGGCAAAATGTACATACATTTGCACCCCCGAATTGGCTGGTAAATAGGCATGATATCTGCTGCGACACTTACGATTCAGATACTTGGCACAGCAGAAGTCGCTGCCTTTTCAATGCGCGCCGCTCGCTGGCGAATGATGGCCCGAATCAACCCGAGAGGAGCGGCTGACGCCTGTGCCTTAATTAAGGATCGAATTCAGGCATCCCTTTGGATTGCTACTACAACTAATTGATTGGACCTTGAGTGCAGCCATGACAGGACAAATCTTGATTTGCACAATGCGACAGTACCACTTGGCTTGTGGATTGAGCATATGCATACCGTGATATATAATCTCTCCCTGGCTCTCACTACATAACATCTTCAGCTAGCCACTTGTTGCTCGGCCGACGGCAGGTGGCAGGCGGCGGACGGCAGGCGGCAAAGGCAACACAAGTTCGTCAACCTGAGTAGAAATCAGGGAACATGGCCGGCCGTCATACTTCTGAGACGTGAATTCGCAAGAAAATGCCAAGGCTTGTGAGACACGCACACCTCAAGGGCGGCTTGCGACATAAGAGGTTTGTGCTCGCTATACTGTATCGAAGTGGAATTTGTCGAAATCCACGCCGTTTTGTTTCGTTGAACGGTCTTGTCCTAAAGGACATGAGCTATTTCTGCCTTGTAAGATCTACGGAGAACTATTCCCCCATGGGCACATCCTTTGCTCTGTGCAGCGAAGCAAGCCCATCAGGGTTGACCTAATAGCCAGGAGGAGTGCGAAAATACACATCTTGGCTTTCAGAGGCATGCATTTGAAAAGAGGCCTGTAGACAAGCAAGAGCCGTCCGTACCACATGAGAGAGTTTCACAATGTTGTGTTAGGAAAGAGTGGCAGCAGGGTTTTGCGGGGCAAAGTCTCTGGTGTGAGATTATCTCTCATCCTTCCGGTGGAGACTAACTTTCTCTTGCGCTCTCCGCCGCTGGCAAGATGCTAACAATCCACTCACGAGGAGATATGGTGTAGCTCTGAGCCGGTCAACCTAACGTCTAGTGTACGCGCTAGGACAACTGTACCCACCATGTCCACGACTCAGTGAGTCGTACGCATACATAAGCTATAAAGTCTCAAATAATCGCTCTGATATGTATGCACTGTTTTCCACATTCCAAAATGGGTTCTCTTGCAGAAAACAACGACAAGGTTGCGATTGTCACTGGCGCTGCGGTAATGCCTCTCGTGGCTATTCTCGGACCACAGGCTCACTTTGATTCTTAGAGCGGTATCGGGGCCTGGCTAGCTGCCCATCTACACGAGCGCGGCTACCGCGTTGCCCTGTGTGGCCGACGACAGAAAGAAGGTCAACAAGTCGCTAGCTCCCTCGATGCATCCGGACACTCAGCGATGTTTATCCAATGCGACGTCACGTCATATTCTTCACAATCCGAGCTTTTCCAGAAGGTCTGGCAAAAATGGAATCGTATCGACGTCTTAATCGCGAACGCCGGCATAACCGATCAGAGCTCGGTATACAATTTCCACAGACGAGACGCACTAATTGAAGATCTTCCTTCTGAGCCAGATACCTTATGTACAGACACCGACTTCAAGGGGATAGTGTATGGTACAACTCTGGCGACTCACTTTATGCGCCACAATCCTCACGGTAAAGGTGGGAAGATCATCGTTACTGGGAGCATGATTGGTATCTATCCAAATCAAACTTTCCCAGAATACTGTTCTGCGAAAGCTGCGACGCATCAGTGGGTCAAAACTACAGGGCCTATCCTTAATCTGAAAGAGAACATTACGGTCAATTGTGTCATGCCAGGGGGGGTCGAGACACCCATAGCCAAAGGTTTCAGCAAGGCCTTCTTTCCCGAACAGATGACTTCGAAGTCACAGTTACTGTCCGCCTACGATCTCTTCCTCGAGGATACTGAAAATACTAGGTCAGGTCAAACGGTTGAGGCAGCATACAACAAGCTGGTGGATTGGGGACATCCGGAATACAAGAGCGGACCATTTGCAAAGCGCACGGATACGGTCTTTGAACCGTGGTTTGAAACAATGCACGGCGAGAAGAGTGGGCTGCCAGGTACTATTCTAGAATGGCCAGATCAGAGTCACAAGATTTTAGCCGTCACCGGAGCAACGGGCACACAAGGTGGAGGAGTCATAAACGTGATGAAGAGGACGCCTGGCTGGAAGATTCGTGCGCTCACAAGAAATGCAGATAGTGATGCGGCGAAAAAACTTGCTGCAGAAGGAATTGAAGTAGTGCAAGCCAACTGGGATGACGAAAGCTCGCTATCCAGCGCTTTTCAAGTAAGTGAATGAATTTGACACAGACGGCAGCTCATTCTCTAATGTGAATCAGGGAGTTCATGCTGTTTTTGCCGTGACGCAATGGTGGGAACCTCTTTTTCAAGGAAAAAGCCCCGACGAAGCCGGGGAGATTGAAGAAAGACACGGCATGAACATAGCAAGAGCCGCGGCTGCAACCCAAACCATCGAACACTACATCTGGTCTACGGCACCAAGCCCGAAGCATGTGCTGAAGGGAGCATTCGCCGTACCGCACGTAGACTATAAGGCCAATATCGACGTTCGCATCAGAGCGGAGTTGCCCCACCTGGCTGCCATTACTACATACTTGTACTTTGGCTATTACCCCCAGAACATGGCTTTCTTTCCGCTTTGCAAGCCGATCCCATACGTGAGTCGTTCTTCTCAACGCCAGGAAAGTTACTTACATAGCATTTAAGGATGGCACAGACTGTTACATCCTGACTTTACCAACAAGAGGCGATGCCAATGTTCTGTATGCAGGCGATATGTCTGTGAACCCAGGTATTTGGGTCCGCCAAGTACTTGCAGCTGGAGACAAGGCATGCCGCAAGTATGCCAACGTTGCACTGGAGAAATGGACCTTCCAGAAAGGGGTCGACGTCTGGTCTGAAGTCACAGGAAAGAAATGCATATTCAGTCAAATCTCAACTGAGACTGCAATTGGGCTGTGTGGTGAGGTTGGAAAGGAGCTGGCTATGCAGTTCAAGTTTGGCGAGTTGTGCGATCCGTGGGCTGAGGATGATAATTTCATCACAGCTGAGGAGCTCGGTATCGATGAGAAAGAGGTGGTAGGGTTTAGAGGAACAATTGAAGGGTTACATAAACAAGGATTCTGGGATTAAGCAGGATCAGCAGAACAACACCGGCGCGTGATAACAACACTAGACCTATCCTCAAAACTGGAATGCCACTGTTGTCAATTATCTTTAAGGTTCTTGGTTTATGTTTTGCCCACTGATCTCTAGACACAACTACTATCAAATGTTTCTTCAACACAACAATACGCGATAGGAGCTTTAGTAGCTCTTGCAAATGATTATGAGCGCAGATTAATGTTCGCTAAATCAGACTTTTCCTCTCCCCTCCTATTCTATCACATGTCTGAGCGCACTTGAATTTCGACTGCTGTATTGCCCGCCCTTCATGTTCACAAAATTGAATATCAACTGCAATGCCCATGAGCCAATCCTAACATTTGTGATCAAGTTCTGGGAATGATAATTGATAGTGTAGGACCAGGGATTGTACTGGGCATTGGCGTCCCTACCATCAACAGCAATCTGAGGACCCTGCTCATTAACCTTGGACTTACAAACTGTCCATTTAGTCTAACCCTCTCCGTATGGTTGCCCACAGTATAGCCCCCAGGGGCCATTGCCCTCCAGCGCTGATTGGCTCGCTGCCGCGCACGGCCTGCGCGGAGGGGGCATTACTGCAGGGGCATTGCTCAACAATCGCTGATTGGCTGCAGAAGGACTGTGCAGGTTGCAGGAGCAGAAGAAGCACAAGAAAACACAGGAGAGAGGAGAAAAAAACAACAACAGCGCAAAGCCAATGCTGCTGCCGCTGCTGCTGTTGCTACGCTAGGGTATGTTTACCTACCTACCCTTGTACGGAGTGCTTGTGTGCCAGGAGCACCAGCACGCAGTCTACAGTCTTGATAAGCACCTAAAGCAGCTCCACAAGCTACCGTGTCCGTGCGCGTGATGCCCGGATTCGCGTGATGCCCCGAAACACCAAAACAAGCACCTGCAAACATGAGGCTGTAGAGCTACACAGAATAGCTATTATCACGAGATTTTGTAGTAGATAAATCTATACAGATAACGTAGATTATCACCAAGCCAGCCATATCACCAAACTAGCCATTTTCTCTTAGCACAACTAACACAAGTTACTGCAACTACAACTACTTACTATTAAATAGTAACCTAGCATACTGCGTGCTTGCATTAGATTTAGAAGATGTTTCTGCACCCTCCTAGCACGTTTATGCGTTGTGTCTAGTCTTGCTGCAGTTCCTACAGCGCTGAACAGTTGACTAAGCTCCTAGTTAACTACCTCTACCCTGAGTCTTCTTAGATAGCTGAGCTGCTACACACGCCTTAGCAGCTACCCGCAATGCTGCTGGGCCATACTTAAGTGTGCCACCATGCTAAATCTGCTTTCTCTTACGCGATTTTCTCTTAGTTATTACTGCTAATTGCTCTTCAAGCTCTTGCACGCGGGCCTTGATAAGGACGTTTTCATGCAGCATCTCTTTAGCCCCTTTTACAAGCTTTAAGAACCCCTCTTGCGCTACACTTAGCAATTGTTAGAAGGAGTTGCTTACAAGCTTAGATTAAGACCTAAACTCGTGTGTATTGCTCAGCGTCTTGGATTGCCACAGCGTTTTAGGTAGAGGTACTGCTAGTAGGGTATGCAGCCGCACTTTAAGGCGATCTAACACTACCTGCGTGTTAGTAGGATGGTTGGTTGGTTGGTTGGTATTCATTTTACGTCTAGTTGATGAGGATGAAGTCCATCATCTCGCCTCCCGAAGGGCATATACGACGTGCTAAGCTATGGAATTACAGTGCTGCTACTACCTTAGAAAGCATTTCTTGCCTGCGCGGATATTACTACCATTTCAGAACTACAGCTCCCCGTCCAGTTGAGGAGACTAAGCTGTGTGTGTACATTAGGGTGGATCCCTTGTGTGTGTTTAGAGGCAGTTAAGTGCTAGAGAAGTAGGAGAGAGGAAGAGTAGGAGGGAGAGTAAGGAAAGAGTACAGTTGTTTGCTGCTGTTGCAGCACAGGGTAAGCTACTAGGGGCAGACCTTGGTGTAGTACTGTGTGAGTTGGACAAAGGCTTCAAAAGCCTCTAGATCCCTAATCAGCGCGGCAGTATACGCTAGGCCATCGTTCTGGCTGGATGGTAGTAGGCTGGCGGAATGGGTATACTCCAACGTCCTTCGTGGGTACCCCCCAAAACTTTGTCAATAATACATAGATTCTAGTGAAATAGGGCTTAAAAGAAAGAGAAAAACTACCTCTACATTTCTGTAGTAGAGGGTTTTGTTATAACTATTAAACTGCACAAGCTAGAGGCTAGAAAAGGTTAAAAAAGGGGGGGTACCTAGCGAGCATACCTATTAACGTACTCTATCACCGAGCCGGTCATATCACCAAACTGGTCACTTAAAATCCCACCAAAAAACACAGAAACTATACCCCTGCATCTTAATAACTACTTTATAGAATCTTCTAAAAACTTTAGAATAGAGCTACATCTATACTAATAAGACTGTTTAAAAGTCTTAGAGTGCTTAGCCCTATATTGCAGATATTGTTTAGAAGATACTAAAATACAGGGGTAGCTGCAGGCTATCTTAATATCTATACTAGCTATTAGTCTAAGACTTTTAAATAGTTTTATTAGTATAGATACAGCTCTATTCTAAAGTTTTTAGAAGATTCTATTAAGTAGTTATTAAGATGCAGGGGTATAGTTTCTGTGTTTTTTGGTGGGATTTTAAGTGACTGGTTTGGTGATATGACTGGCTCGGTGATAGAGTACGTTAATAGGTTTACTTTGCTAGGTAGTGTTAATAACTTAGCTAATACTAGGCGGAATAAGCTAATTCTTTTTTTATTAGAAGGCGCAATACTAGGCGCTTCTATTGAATAATAGATTATGTAAGCGTATCTCTGCTAGTTAAGAAGCTATAAGCCAAAACGTAAAAAAGCATACCCTACCCATCCGCCAGCCTAGATGGTAGTATAGGTAGTTAAAGTGGCCATCAGCCAAAGGCTCCTAGGGTCTTGCGGCAGAGCGCAAGGTGCTCTGGCGTCTTGTCGCGTCCACATGAATAGGTAAGTGTTGCGTTGTTGTGGCCAAACTTTTAGTAGTAGTACTGTAGTACTATGCGAAGTTGCTGTGCATAGATCAAATTAAGAGCAGTCTAGCTAGTAGGGTAGCTCTTAGTAGGTCTAATTCACGTAGTCTGCTGTGAAGTGAGTAGCCTAGCTCCTATCTTCTATACTATGTAGAGAGGCTTTCTTTCTTCTTAGACCACTAGGTCTGCTGTGTGTCATGCAATGTTTTGCGAGCGATGGATTTAATGCCTGCTAGTGTAGGAACAGCAGCCTTTCTAGTAGGGAGTGATGGGTAGTAGGCTTTAAGGTTTGCTAGCCTATCGGCCGCTTCGTTTCCTTCAATGCCTAGATGTCTAGGGACCCATTTAACAGAGACGTTGTGTGTCTCTATGGCACCATGGCACTCCAGGAAGGCCTATTGAGAGGTAGGGGATGCGCTGCCCATTAGGCACCATATAACTGAGGTGCTGTCTATGCACAGCCAGATTCGACGAGTGTTGAGGGCTGGTTGTCTTATAGTGTGCTGGAGGCCCCTCTATACTCCTACTGCTTCCACGTTAAAGACGTGTGAGGTAGGGTGGAGTAACTAATTTCAACAGCTCTGACGAGAGGGCAAAACAACAGAATCAGAGAGCAGAAGAACATAGAAAAGCAGAGAAGAAGAAGGTCAGGCAATCTAATAAGCTGTACAATGAGAGGATTGCTCAGGAGAGGCGTGAGCAGCGGGCAAGAGAGAAGGATGAGCGTGAGCAAGTCGGAGCTAAGAAGGCCAAGGAAGCAGCTGAACGCAAGGCTCAAAGAGAGCGCGATAAGCAAGCTTGCGACGCTGAAAAAACTGTACAATTGCCCCAAAGAGGCAAGCGCAAAGCTTCAGCAGCTCCTGCAGCAAAAATATCAAAGAAGCGTCGCACTGTGGGTGCTGCGCGTGGGGTTGATGCTGCTGAGCCCCCTGCAGCACCTCGCACCCACACCACGCGCAGCGGCCGAACAGCAACTCTATATAATTAATTTGTATGAGAGAATATTGTCGCAAAGGTCTATGGAGCAATCCACCACAACATCTCGTGATAATAACTATTGTATGCGGCTCTATAGCTTCATTTTTGCAGGTGCTCATTAAGGTGGTTCGGCGCATCACGCGAATCCGCGCATCACGCGCACGGACACGGTACCGTGCACGGACACCGGGTGGGCCGGGTCACCAGGTGGGCCACCCCACCAACTTTACCACCTCACTAACAGTGAGGCTACAACACCACGTAGAGTAGATATTATTATATAAGAAGTTGATGAAATATACTATCTACTACTGCGAGACTTTTGGCGTATTCAGTTTTTTTGTGGGCTTTGTGACGCGGCCACCACGAGTCCTGAAGCCCAGGGGTGCTGAGCTGGGCTCATGAGACTCCTGTAAACTGCCCTTTGCTACACCACCACCACGCTTTGTTGATTTTGACCGTGGCTTTGCTGAGGCCTTGGGATTAGTCTGTTTAGGCAATTAGGATACTTTTTCTGCGTTCTTGAGTGTTTTGACGCGCTCTCTTTCAGCTGCGCGTTTGGCAATCCCCTAAGCCTTCTCCGCCCTCTTTTGAGCTGCCTTCTCACGCCTCAACGCTGCCTTTTCTTGCCTCTTAACCTTATCCTTCTCTTTCAGGATCTTGTTGTTGTGCTGTACTTGCTTCTAATCAGCCTTTGCAGCGTCATCTGCGATTGCCTGCTTCTCTATATCCTTCATACGGGTCTTAGCACGTGCAACGGATGAAGGATCCCAGAATATGGCCCCCCCTTGTACATTAGGGTCCTGCGGTGACAGTGGCAATACTTTATTCTTCTTTTAACGCTTCTTCTTACTCTCTAGTGCTGTTTTAAGGCCCTGAAGTTCCTGATCTTTGAGCTTAAGAGCCACGTGCATCTGGTGCATCTGCTGCCTTGCCTCACTCTGCGCCCCTAGGTCCCTATACGTCACTGCACGGTCAAAAGATGA